CAAAATTTTAATCGACACACTATTGTATTTTTCCGTAGTTTAGAACTTTGTTGTTTAATTGTAAAGTAACAAGTTGTAGTCTGTTTTTTTTTTTTTTTTTTTAGGACTTTTCTTTTTTCAAAATATTAACTTTTATGGAAGGACTCTACCAGTAGAACAAGAAAAGAGATTTGGTAAATTTATTTTTTTCTCCATTCAATTTCGTTAAACTTTTTTTTTTTATTTTCCTTAATAGGACTCCACTTCTTTCACTCTTCATTATTCAAACAATTTTAGTAGAAGTATTTATTTATTATTAATACCTCTTTATTAAAAAATTTTAAAAAATCAAAAACAAATAATATAGTTATTTTCAAGTTTAATAGTTGGATAAAATCCAACTACTAAAATAAAAATCGTGTATATTACTCTCTGCGCACCAAGAAGTAACTGAACTGTAAATACTTTACTATATATATATATAGTCCTATTTTTTCTTAAAATATCCATTTTTCCTTTTCTTGTCTATTATTTCTTAAAATGTCCATTTATCCTTGTCTTTTACCTTTTAGAAGTAGGCTCGTGACATGCTCAATCTTGGTAGAGTAGCCTTTAGGTCCAAAAGAGGGGTTATGCTCATGCAAGAGAATTTGACCCATACCCACACTCACACTCAAAAGGTAATGGCATGTGGAGGGCTGTGATTGGTGGCTTCCATCTGGTATGTTATAGCCACAAGATGCCCACCCACTTCGGCTGACCAAAAAGCCCATTCACAGTGTTTTGTTGCATCATGGCCCATCACCACAGCCACTAGAATCTGTATTTTATTAATATACACACGTCAATATTAATATAAGTTTTGTACGACAAGTAAAGTTATATAAATGGTCATACACTAATGCCCACAAAAAATGGAAAAAATATTGGTTTTACACAAGAGTTGGAATTCCCTTTTTTCGGCATGTAGATTTGTACTGCGTGTGTGTAATGTGTGTATATATATATTTGTTTTTTCTGGACAGGAAATTTAGGAACTTTTATTTATGGGCCATATTCAAATTAGTTACTAAAAAATAAAATTTAAACAAATATTAATTACATTTTTTTTTAATGAATGTATTTTAAACAAATATTAATTACGTATTGAACATAAATAATTATTTATAAATCAAAATTATTTTATATCCCGTTAAGTGTACAAAATGAGAAGAAAAAAGATAACTAGTTACATTTATTTTTCTTCCTTTTGAAAAAATACTCCCTCAAGATTTAATTGTAGGCTTCCAAGAGTGAGATAAAAAGGATATAAATTAAGGATTCTATATAAACTTCATAAATTAAAGTAATCTTGCTAGTATAAAATTGATTTTTTGAAATTGAATTTGAAAAAACATATATATATATATAATTTTTTTTTTTTTTTTTTTATTGGTAAGAAACACATTAGTACACCCACTTTTAACCCTGTGAGGCTCAAATCTTTGACCTTCTACTTTAAAAGATGAAAAAGTACCATCGGGCCTACAAGACCTTTGGTCATTTTCACGACACACAATTTCATGGTAGCAAAAGGTGTTTTATAATTTTTAAAACTCAATTATTTAGGCTCCGTTTGTTTGGATGTAAAATATTTTTCAGAAAATATTTTTTTATTTTTTGGTGTTTGGTTGTCATAAAATATTTACGAAGAAAAAAAATTTTAAAATTTAACAAAAATAATTTATCCATCAATTTTTCGGAAAGTTATTTTATATGTCCAGTTCGATGGACTCAACCTTAACCTCTCCGTAGACTTTTGACAAATAGCAAAAAAGTAAAAATAAAAAAATATTTTACCCAAAAAAAAAAAATTTCAAAAAAATATTTTATATCGAAACAAACGTCCCTTGGGCTCTATGTAATTTTGCCCCTATATACATGCATGCTGCACATATATAATTATGCTGATATAGTGATGATCCAAACAAATAAAGAAAATAAGCAAGTTTACTTATGACTTAGAAATTTTGTTGTGGAGGGCACCTAGAGTTAGTGTACCATACGGGGTTCTTATGCTTATTTTTCGTGATTTTTCTCTTTCCTTGTAAACCATAAAACTGATAAGAAAAACTTCAAAACTTTATAACAATGCACATTTTCTTTATTTTGGTTTAAAAAACACTTTATTTTTTTATTACTTTTTTTATTTTTAATATGGAGTTGATTAAGGCTGTTTACATTAATCTACCAAAGACCAAACCTAAACACGTGTGATTGAGTCAGGTGGTAAAAGGCAAAATGATAAAAGACAATAGAAATGCAATCACCCACTAAAAAAAACCTATATATATGTATATATATGGGTGTGACTAAGGGAGGTGATAAAAGTCATATATAGAGCTATGGGTTGGTTATATAGTTATATATATATATATATATATATTAATATGAGAATGAAAAGAGATGCCCAAACACAAACAAAACAGATGGTGGGCGATGATCAGGATGGCAATTGATGGGGACCAAAGAATATTGCTTGGATTGCAACTCTATAAAGGGTAAGGGCATAGCTTTTCAGATTAACCTAACTCATCTACTACTTCTAAGCCATGCTTTTGAAATCCTGTTTTGACTTACTTTTGCAAGGTAAATATACAAGAGTGACTTGCTTTATTTCACATTTTTAGTAAGAATTTCACTTATATTTATGAAAGAAAATCCACTAAATTGACTCCTCTTTCGTGAATAATTAGTAGCACGTGCTTGTATGAGAAATTATTAGGTAATTAATAGGAGGATCAGTTCACTTTTTATTGAAAATGTAAAAGTATGAAAATCTTGATACACACAAAAATAGAGAGGGTTTAATTTGCTCACTTTTTATTTACCGGAAAAAAATAACTCGGTTTTCGAAATTTTATATTTTCATTTACAATGTTGGTGACATTTTGTAAAAAGGTTGAAATTAAGTTAGTGTGAATGACATAGTTCAGGTCCAGAGATGCACAATATTTGTTATATGAAGCTATTATAAGAAGAAACTTGAGTTGAGTTCAACTTTGTACCAAAAAATACAAGTTTTAATCATATTTTTCAATTATAAAAGTTATTAATAAAAAAAATGCATGAAATTAACATGTATTTATATACATATATAAATATATAGGCCACATTATAAAAGAAATGATATAAAAAAAAAAAAATCCCTTTTAGAATGGGCAGTATGGTCAAATTAATAAAAGTAAAGCTAAAATAAGAATTGATCACCATTCTTGAATATAATAATATTAATATAAGGCTGATATCAACAGATCCAATTTAAAACTAGCACATAGCCCAATGTTACAACTAATCTTTTGGCTAAGCCTGACATTACTTCATCTAATCTCTAAAGCCAACTTAAATATTTAATTAAATACACATCTTATTCTTTGAATACTTAAATAATTTACCTCCAGCTTTGTGAGGACTCTAGGAGAATATACAAATAAATATTAAGTACTTCTTAATTTGATGCATTGGTTAGGTAGGTCTATACACATTGGACTTTGCCTCTAATTCAATAACTAATAAGGATACCATCATCATTGGGGACTTGGTTGTCACAAGTAAGTACTATGGTCCCCTTTTTTGTCTTTTAGTTTTTCTTTTTCTGATTTTATGATATTAAACATTATAACCTCATATTTAATATTAAATAAATAACTTTAGAATGTTACAACTAATTAAATGGTCGGTCATTAACATTCACAAGTAACAAGATTATGATTTTTTTTTTTCCTTCCTTTTTGGTAGGTAACTCTCACTTGGACTAAGTTCATGGTGATTATGATGGTGAAATTTTAATTACGGGTGTAATTCTAAATCACCAACATCTTGCTTAGTATTATTATTTTTTTGACAAATTAATGAAGGAAGGACTCAAACACTGGCACCCGCCTGAAAGAGCTGGGTGCTCTACCAACATTTTGTTTATTTTGAGTAATAATAAATTGGGCCATACTAATAAGAACATGGAATGTACATTTAAAATAATTCCATCATTTTGTCTAAAATAGAAATAGAAATGAAAATTTTGAGTAAAAAAAATTGTGTAAAATTAAGTTAAAACTATGTACAGTTAAATTTTGCCTTATTATTGTCCCAAAAATGGTTCCCTCCATATATTCTTGTCCACAAATTAGAACATATTGGTCAAAATATATCATTAATGTAATTCAGGAAAAAAAAAAATACCACTATAATGTCTTATACGCAACATTAATGTGACATGTGAGTCTCACGTGACTTTTTCCTTTTTAAATCCATTTTCTAATATAAAATAAATAAATAATTTTTAAGTCTTTACAAAATTATAAGGGTTATTTGCTAATGACAATGCTTGGAAGTTCATCCTCCATCTATTGTTGTCCAATGTTATTGGAACATGGGTTTAAAAAATAAAAATAGGCATTAACCATTTTTTTTTACGGATTCTTTCCTTTCGACACCTGTTTGCCGCCACCACCACCTTCCTCCACTGCTTGTTTAAGAAGGAAAGAAGAAAAGAAAAGAAAAAGGAAAAGAAAAACAGTTTAACCCGAAAAAACAAAATGAGTAATTTCCATCTTTTTTTTATTTTTATTTTTTATTTTTTAAAACAAATGTTTCAATGACATTGGACCACAACAAATGGAGGACCCAAGCATTATCCATTTGGCTAAATTGATAATTCAAAGAAGTTTTGTAAATCTAAGAAACTTCAAGAGGATTTTTTTTTTTTTTGGCATTTTCCCATAAAATTTATTTATTTTATTTTTTAAAAAAAGAAGAAGAAAAATATGAGTCTAACGTATCCAAATATATCCAATCATAATCATCCAGCTATAGAAAATGCAAAACCTTCTACGCCAGCAACCAATTATTGAAAACCTACCCTCCAACTCTAAGCCATCTACCATATGATTTATGAAGAACGCGAACCTACCTATCTGGTAGCAGCTAAGCATGACCAAAACTCAGCCAAACCAGCATTCCAAAAATCTAGATTTGACATAACATTTTGATAGAGAAACCAAACTGATGAAGAAAAAAAGGTATACAATGTCAATTTACAAAGAGAAACGAACAAGTAGGCAAGCTTTCCATTATGAGCCAACAATAAAAATTATACAATGAAATAGACAAGAAATCTTGTCTTTTCAGGTTATCAAGCTGGTTTTAGTTATTCCGTAGCAGGTGAAGACAATGAAAGGTTTAAAAGGAATCCAACCATGATTCCAATGAGTCCCACAAAAATCGCAAATTTGAAGGAGAAGCTGGGGTCACTTTTCCGATTTCTTCGTCTCTTCATCATTTCCTGTAAAAGAGACAAGAACATACAGAAAACATAACAATAGTAGTCAAAATTTTCAGCAGCTTACGATACAATATGTTTTGTTCAGTGCATTTGCATAATGACTTGCAGAAATCTATCACAAACTTTAACCAATCGCATGCCCTGACCTAGGAAAAACACGTAGAGGGAACGAGCACAAGTAGTGGAGTCCCATAACAGGATTGTAATCGAATCATTATATTCTCAATTAGCTCAAGTCAATCTAATATTTTTCAACTGAATGTGCATACCATTCATCATAACTCAGCTAATTATTGAAAAGATTTCGAATTATCTGCCTGTTCTGACCATCAATTAGGTCATTTTATTTTTTTGTCACAGGATATATATCTCAGAAGTCAATTGATAGAAAACCCCAATCCCAGTCTTAGCTGCTGTAAAACATTTTATACCTCCTCAGGAAAATGTAATACATTTTTATGCACAATCTGTTAGAAGAAGGTATGACCAGAACCAAGTCAAACAGACCAACTTTTAAATTAATTTTCACAGCCTTCATAGTTTTTTGAGGCTTCTCGGTGGGTAATGCCATAATGTAGCATTTTTCTCGACCTATGTTACTGAAACCTTATAACATAATAAATTAAATTAGTAGCTGCACATTCCTAACCCTTTCTGTGTATGTTAAGGTCATATCTATCAAAAAATCAAATCAGAAACAAGAATGGTAGGAGGAAAAATATACAGAGCACACTAACCAGTTCCTGATGCAACTGCTGTGTCTGCCGCACGGCTGCATCTCTGTCATCCTTGAGGCGCTGTAAAGCCTTATTCTACATAATGATAAGATAAAAGTAACAGAAATAAGCATATAGAACAAGTCTAAGAAAATTTAATATTCTTGCTCAATAAACTACATATATAAACACACATGTATAATATCAATTACCAACTAGTAGACACACAATATTTAACTAAAAAAAAAAAAAACTAGTAGACACACAATGGACTAATGGAGAACTATCAGAAAAATGACCTTTCGCATTTCATTACTTAAAGCCATTATCTTGATTTCTTCCCCAAGGAAGTTCCCAGAAATAGATTTACTGGACAAAGTTAAGTTTCCAAAAATAATGATGCATCTTCTTTTATGAAAGTGAAGCAAATTGACAGCATAAAATCCCAAACACCAGAGAATGAAGTGAGTTTCATGTGCAAAGATTATATCATTCTTAGTTCTGGAAAAATCTCCAGAACTCGTCCTACATGATTCCATCACTCATCCACTCATAAATGAATAAGGAACTGCCCACACAATAAATAACAAATATAACAGAAAATACAGCTCAGGAACACATAAAACTATATAAAAGGTTAAGTTATATTATGATTGTTTAAAAACAGCTGAGAAGATGAAACCAATTATGAGAAATGCAGGAAAGACCCAGAAACTGATTACTCACATCATCAAAGCTTGTGGAGCGGAACATCTGCAATTGGAAAAAAAAAAGCAGAAGTTATGACGAGGAAAGTTACGTGCAAGATTTTATCATCCATATCAAGAAATTAGTGGAGCAACTGTGCTTTACATTACAGGACAGAGCAATTATCAAAAATTGATGAAGTAAAGAGAAAAAAATTGGGGTGCAAACTGCAAATAGCTCTGCTCCGGTTTTATGGTAAACTATAGAGTTCTGCCCTAACTTTACTGAAAAAGAGGGAAAAAATCTACAGAATACCATAAAATTAACTAAACAAACAGCATAACTACAGTAGAACTCACAGAGCCACTTTGTTTTAAGCTCCTATCTTCTGAATTTCCACCAGCTGCATGAGGAGAGATATAGACAACTCGAAGCTTGCACTCCTCTATTGTTCTTCCACTTTCCTTAGTAAACTGGACGCAACAGTTTCCATTAGTTGACCAGGAAATATCATTTACCAAGCCATTCAAACAAAGACAGTTGTTTACAAGTAAATATTCTTACAGTATCTTGTGCAAGCTTGTCAACATCGGTATTTGGAGGCACTACCGTGCTCTGTAGGAGAAATTTATCTTTGCATTGCATGTCTGGTGGATATTCTCGTTGAGCTTGGAGGGTGACTATAGATACAGCAGTAAGTTGAAACCAGTATTAGAAATGGGGACATCTTTAATGAGCAGAGATATAAGTATTTATGAATTACGAGAGAGTGGTACACCATTCACAAGTAATTGACATTTCAACAGCAAAGTACAGAACTTTGTGTGTGTGTGTGTGTGGGGGGGGGGGGGGGGGGTTGGTTTCACCACGGTGTAGGAGATCTTCTATCAGATACCTAATTTATGGCCACTAGTGTAGCAAAAAAAACTTATAACAATGCATTATGTAGTGATACTTTTCTGAGATAAGATAGCATTGGAGGAAAATGAACCTAACAGGATAGGAGTTGCAGACAAATAACTTTGTATATTTTATTTGTTAATTTTTAGCCTCCAACTCATGCAACTGTTAAAATGGCAAAGATTATGTTTGTCTCCAAAACTTGGATAGCCGGACCAGCATTGGATGATGGCTTTTTTAAAAATATATTTACATGCATGCAAAACATTTTTGTGTCCTAGTGGTGTTTATGTGTGCTCTTTCAGGATTTAGTGTCAGGAAATCTCTATCGTGCTGTATCTTGGTCCCCTCTTCACATTAGTGCCACACACATGGCAATCACTATTTTGCTAATGTTTATGCATACTGCTACAGAACTGAAAAACCATCACAATATGTGAATAGTCTATCCTAGAGGTATCTTCATTTTCTATTAAAAGATGAGTAATACCTCTTATGACGCACGAGTCCCAAGGTTGTATAACACCAGTGTTCGGCCGAACAAAGTATTTCTTTGGGGAAGTGGTTTTGACCTTGCAAAGAAAAAGAGTGAAGCATGTAGATGATACATAATCAATTGAATATCATGATAACATTATAAATGCATATTTACATGCAAATGATTAGATTTTAATTGGATTAATTGGACATGATCAAAGATAGTACCTTAAAAGCAACATGATGTTCTGTATTGTTCATAACTTTCATATCACAATAGCTTTGTTTTTCCAGCTCAACTGATCACAGACACAAGTCCATAAGACTTTCTACAACTTGTCATTAAAAAACTACATCCATAATTAAAAACATAGAAAACTAATTTTCATTCTTTAGGATGAAGATGACGAAAGTAATTGTGTAACAATTGAACAGGATATGAAGGCAGATTGATATTATATTGTCTGTAAACTGAATTGCATTCTTTAGGAGAGCATTCATTTAAATTCATCCATTTAAAACACACCTCCAGAGAATGATAGCACCATTTTTTTTCTATCAAAAAAAATTTTCACCCCATTTTATTTTGTGGCTTAGTTGTTTCTCAACCATCTCACGAATGTATTCATTTTTTTTTTTTTTTTTTTTTGATAAGTAAAATGTATTAGAAAGCGTTCAAACTGGGAACGCGTCCCAAGAGCTATATAGAGGCCGAAGCCAGAAACAAGGTCCTAAGGACCCACCGAACCAAAAAAATCAATAAACTCATCAATGGGTATATAATTTCTCCCCAAAACCCAACTAAAAAGAGAGCTAATAATATGAAACTTCAAAGCCCCTTAAGGAAGATTTCTCCCTTTCAAAAGATCTTCTATTCTACTCCTTCCATAAGCACCACCAAACACAAAGGGGAACCACCCTCCAACACTTATGGGGGTGGGTCCTACATTACAGCCTCGCCAAGCATCAATCAAACCCCTCGAGGACCAAGGCATAACTTAATGGACGCCGAAAAGGCCAAAGATAAGGCTCCAACAGCCGTGAGCTACAGGGCAATGCAAAAGAAGGTGATCCACAGACTCGCCACTCCTCTTGCACAAACACCACCAAGTAATTTGTCTTCTCTTTCTCAAATTATCCAGGGTCAAAATCTTGCCCCAAACAGCAGTCTAGACAAAGAAGGCCACTTTGAGGGGAGCCTTGGCCATATCGTCTTCCAAGGGAAACTAGAACAATGAAAATCAGAGATACTGTATTCATTTTTAACTTTATAATTTCTTCTTTTGCTGATCATTGATCTCAATATCTGGAAATTTAAAAACATGTTTCTCAACTACCCAACATTTTGCATTTGTAGAGCATAATTAGCTTATGATTATTTTCTATAATGCTCTCTACTTTTTTCCTAAGCATTTTTTTAAAATATAATTTTCTATTTACCTTATAGGCATATGTAAAAGACCATTACCAATAATGGACCCGCATATTCATATTCCCCAATTCTAATCTTTTGCAATATTTTATTCCACAGCTTTACTGTATTAACAAAAATTTAAACTTATTCCACCATAAATCTTCTTATTTTACTTTTGATTATCAAAGAACTTCTTCTATCATTCTTCTAATACATTCAATGATTATAAATGACTTAAATTCAATATTTTCTCAAGGTAACTCTTTTACATCTTTTAAAATTCCTTATTTTTCACCAAGACCCTTAAAACCTCACATCTAACACAATTAACATGATTAAAATCGCTAGTTTTCTTCTATTTCAGTTGAACGTTTGTAGATATACACAATCCTTTGCACCTAATTTAATATAACGATAATTTTGTGCTTTTAGATTTGGTTCCTCTCATAGACTCTTACTACATTTTTAGCTCTATGTTTACACAGTTACATCATTTAAAACATTTCTCGTTTCTAGTCTTTCATCGAACTATACACCACACTGTTTTTTTTTTTTTTTTAATTGATTTTAGTTTATACCACATAATTTTCCTGTTGAGGATGTGGATGCCATTTGTATTTAAACCCCCTTTTTTCTTTTGTGTTAGACTCAGTTTGGTTGGAGGGTATTGGAAGGAAAAGAAAAGAAAGGTAATGGAGGGAAATCAAGTATTGTGTTTGGGATGGTTTTTAAAGGAAAAGAAAGGAAACTGAGGGATTTGGAAGGAAACAAATTATATAGGATGTGTTGGTTTTGTTAGCCTTCCAAAAATGGGAGTAAATGGAAGGAAAGGAAAGACTAGTTTTTTTAATGAAATTTTTTTAATACCAAATTTGCCCTTCTTTTTATTAAAGGCAAAATCTATGAAAAAGGGTATGGTAGTAAATTCATGATAATACTTTCCTTTCATTTCTTTCCCCAAACATGATTACTATCATTTCTTTTTCTTTTTCTTTTTTATCAACCATACATGATAAGTGGTTAACTATATCCTCTCATTTCCTTTCTTTTCTTCTCTCCCCTAACTAATCTTATCCTTTCTTTTCTTTTCCATTGTACCAAACACAGCCTTAGGGTTTATGTTGTTTTTGACATGCAACCGAATTTATGAGGTTTGTGTGAGAGTACTCCGTTGTAAACACCCATTATTGATGGTGAAATTTCAGGTGTTCTCCGTGGACGTAGGCAAAACGACTTGCCAAACCACGTAAATAATGGGTTTTCTTGTGTGATTGTTATCCACTAATTGTTTCTATTCCCATCATTTCCCATCATTTCCTTCATGACCATTGGATATATCAAATTTTCTCTCTCAATCAATGTTCATTCCAAAATTGTGATTGATGTGTTCATAAAAAATTACTAGGGTACATAAACACTAATTGTTGATTATATTATCTCCTAATATTAGGTATAAAAAAAAAAAAATCCCAATTAGGTAAATTTATTCATGCACACGTGCCCCCTGGTTCAATAAAGTTCATGATTTGTATTTTACATTCCTTTATTTTCTCTTTTACCCACTTAGTTTCTCATTGAATTTCTAATCATAGTGTCTGACAACAGCATACCCTTACTTGTCAATGTTCCTTGAATATGATTTCATAATGTTATGGTTCATGTTGACGCCTGTGCTACTCCCATATAATAAACAGAATACATAATTGCAGAAGGCTTCCATCACAGTCTTTATACAATTGTCAAATTCCCTCCCTCTGTCCATCACTGATTGTCAAGCAATCATTGCTACTCTCACTGATTGTTTCTCCCTTTGTCCATCACTAAACATCTATTGAATAAACCAAAAATATATAAATTATTGTTACTTATTTAAACAAACTCAACATTGAACAATACCAAGGTTGCTTCATGGATTTTTCTCATCTTTCTAAATCATTTCAAGAACCACAATCCTTCATAGACTACATCTAGTTGTCACTTAAAATATTCAAGTGTCATAAGAGTACTTGCCTGACCAACAGGCGAGTGGCTTAGCGGTACCAAGCTCCTACTTTCCAAAAGGAGTCAGGAGTTCGAGCCTCGGTAGAGGCATGTGTGTGTGAGTACCAACTAGGAAAAAAAAAAAAAAGAAAAAAAAAAGAGAGTACTTGCCTGTGGGACATGTCTCTGTCACCTAACTACGTTACAAACAAACTAGAAAACAGAGTCCCAGATGGCCATTCTTGAAGTTACAGAATCCATGCAAAGCAGAAATTGAACTTTCAACATTAAAACTAAGATAAGAATAAATGAACGCGGTTTCAATTTGTAATAATCATATGTTTTTTTATTGGTATGCACGTATTTTGTAGCAAGCTCTCTCAGACACAGATTCACCTCGTTCATCAATTGCTGATACAAATATAAATGGAATTCATCACAGAAAATCTATAGACTCAAGACCAAGATACACAGATCAGCCATTTTAGCATTCAAAATGACACATCAAGCATTTGTCACTAAATCAAACATCTCCAATAGGACCACTACTAACACATACATACATACATATATACATATAGCCCTAATTTTTATGGGTTTGTGTCTTCTTAAAGTGCTTCATACGAACACCTTGACTCCATGAGCTTTTCAATTGAATAAACTAACTAAAAATTAAGCAAAATTATGAAAAATTATATATATTGAACGTAACAATTGAAATAGAGGGAGAGATAGATTGGGCGTACATTGAAACTTGAGCTCGTCGGGCTGAACGGAGATCAACTGGTTATTACCACTCATGGTGATGATGGCCACACCAGATCGATCCCCAAATGAGCGAAACAATCAATTAAACCCTATAGCAACAACCTGTCATAACCAATAACAAAACACAAACCCTATGTCAAAATTTCTGTAGATAGAGAAAGAAAGTGTGACAGATATGCATATAGAGAGAGAAAGAGAGAGAACAAAGAAAAACCTGAAGAAGAGTCAGGATCATAAAAAGAGAAAAGATCAGGAGAAGAATGTATTAGAAGTTGGGAGTAAGTACATGTGGTGGTGGGAGCGAAAACGACGGATTGCTCGGTCCAATTCTGGGCTCTAAGGTTCAGGCACAAAGATCGGTTGGTTTTATGGTCCGAATGAAGTTCTAGAGAGAGATACTATGCTTATCTATGTGTATATATGTATGTGTCTGCGTGTAAGTTTGTATATATCATATACTATATATAGAGAGAGAGAAAATTTAAATTGTTGGGCACCCACTCGTTGCAGAGAGCTTCAGTATAAAATACAGAGAAAAGTGCAAAAAATTTCCCTGGACTGTTAGGGTTTTGCAACAAACCCCCTTGAACTACATAAAACCTCCTTCAATTAACAAATTTTTGCATTTAACCCCTTTGAATTAACAATATGGTGACGGAAAAGCAAAAGACAACATTACCCTCAATTAAAACGACACAGTTTGAAGAATTATACAAGCATTGATATATATATATATATATATATAGAGAGAGAGAGAAGAAGGGATAGATGGTCGGCCGTGGATGATGGCGACTGCGACGGCGACGAGCTCGGATCCGAAGCCCTCTCCTCCGACGCCCACCACCTCTCTGCCCTGCGCCGCTGTAAAACCCTCCAACTCCCCCTCATCTCCGGCACTCCACCGGTTCGGGTACTTCGTCAATCTCAGCCTTGGTACCCGTTCCCAGCGCCTTCTCCTCGTGGCCAACACCTGCAGCAACCTCGTCTGAAAACACGAGATGGATTGTTTGGCGCAAGATGTCCCATCCAAATCCGATTTTGACTCAACAAAGCATTTTCCCAATCGGATTTTGGGTTTAGGGGCTAATCATGGACGGACCCTTAATCGGGGATGAGAAAGATGAAACCAGACAAGACCCGTCGTCGACCCAAATCCGGCAGGCGCAGAACATGATAAGTTGGAGTTTTTACGTTGCCGGAGGTGGAATTTACCGGTGACCACGAGTATGGAGATGCGTGGTCATTGACCGTGATACGTGAACTAGCTGTAACTATTTGTTATTCAACAATGTCTAGTGTTGAAGATCCAAATACTGATATTACAAAAAACAATATATTGATTGTAGGGAGTAAATAATTTCGAAAAATTTAAGCGAACTATGTCGTAACTCAATTATTCTGATTTTTATAAACATTGAAAATTATTAATCTAATTTTTTAATTTGTAGTCTTTTTTATTAATTTTTAGGCGGTGGTCGGCTGTGATGAGGAACTGCAGTGGGCAAGGTAGCGAGGACGGAACTGATGGCGGTTCGCGGCGGCGTGACTGGCGCAGCGGTGGGCGACGGCTGGTGCAACGGTGAGCGACGGGCTCGGCTGTGGCCGGGGAGCAAGGGGTCTTCGGACGGCGGCCGGCGAGCAAAAGAAGACACAACTATCTCATTAATACCGGCGAGCTTCATATTACAGCAACAATTCACCCACAACTACTCTCACCACTGCTCTCAGCAACAGTTTCATACTACAACCTCCACCACCCTCATCGACGCCGCCATACCCAATTTCCCAACCTCCGCATGTCACCTAATTGAAGACAACCCAAGAAAAAACCACACCTTCAATTTCACCCACCACCACTTACCACTGCCCTTGATTTCACCCACCACCAGTCCCACCTCACCACTGCCCTCCATCTCTCTTTCTTTTTTCTCTCTCAAGTGTCATGCGCTCAGAGGGGTGAGAGGCATCGATGAGGTTAATAATGGTGGAGATGTTTCGAGAGGTTTGGATACAGACTAGGACTCAAAGCTCAGTGTCTAGTTTGGATCTTTGAATTGTTCTGCGCTTGATTCTTTTGGCTTGTCTGTAGATTGTGGTAATGGGTGTAATGATTCTGATTATGACCATGGGTACAATCACCAAATTTACAAATTATTCACCATCTACAGATTTCAATGTAAGAGAAATTTTATACTGATCAAAATTCTTTTCCACTGAAACATTTGATTTCAAGAGAAAAAGAAGGTTTCTTTAATTGGTTCAAGAAGTTTGACTATATATGTATCTATTACTTCTTGATGAACTTTGATAAATGTGATCTCGTATGATTGAATAAAGTTCTACAGTGAACATAAATTTTGGAGAAGATGAACAGTAATTTGTAACTATATGTGTGTGATGTATATAGACATAAGGATAAGGACGTGTTTGGGTGTTTAAAGGGTGTTTGAGTTTAATTGTTACAATAATAAGGGGCTTTAGTGTCTTTTTAACCTCACAAGGATATTATGGTCATTAAAATTATAGTGTATACCGGAACAGTGATGGATCAGACCCAAACAGTGATGGATCCCACCAGAATAGTGATGGATGGAGTGATCTGCAATAAATTTGTATAGTTCAGGGGGTTTTATGCAATTTTGATAGTTTAGGGGGTTAATTGCAAGTTTCTCAATAGTATAAGGGTTCTTTTTTTGCCCTTTTCCCTAAAATATATTACGTATAATATAGATATATGTGACTGTGTGTGTGTATATATAGTAGGAGTATATTATATACACCCAGAGAGAAAGATGGGGAGAGGGGAATAGTGGGGCACGTGGCGGTTAAAGATGTATGATGACGTCCGACTCTAAAGCGAAAGTTGGAGTGATAGTCTGGATGTGGGACCCACAGACACTCACTTTGAAGGTAGGCTGACGTGGCTTCGAGTTTAGTTAATCAATCACCCATTTTTTTTTTTTTTTTTTTTTTTTCTTTTGGTAAGTATAATCAATCACCCATTTCCTTTTTGAAAAAATTGAAATTAATTTCGTTTATATTTTTACTTAAGGTAAGTAAATTAATTTGTTTTATTTTCAATTTTACATGATAATGAACAGTTCTTCCAAATGAACCATTATTAATTTTACATCCTACTTTATTTAACTTGGACCATTACTTCTTCCAAATGACATGGCAAGGTCAAGTCTAATTCAGATTCTTAATGAGTTCAAAAAATTAAATTTTTTGAATTTTTTTATTTTAAATTTTTTTATTTATAAATAAGTATGAAGTATTTTAGAATTAATTTTTAAAAAATGTTAGGTAAGCCTTTATGCCTACTATCACAAATTATATCCAATAATCAAATTCGACTTATACAAGTATTTCTTCGACTAATTTATAATTTATGATAAAAATATTGAAAAACGTATATGCACACATATCAATATCAATGTATTCATTTCAAAATTTTAATTAAAAAAAGAAATATAAATGATTCACTATATGGTATATGAACCAAGTTAGTCTCTTTCTTTCTTTCTTTTTTTTTTTTTTTCTTTTTTTCAAGGATTGCAATGACATAATATGTGTGCAGTAGGAGATGAGTCAATGTTCATAAAAGCCCATCGATGCTCATTGGCTCTTGCCACAAAGAGGGGGCAAGAGTAATAGACATTAGTTGTTGATTCAACTTTAATACCCATTTATGTCTACTTTCTTTTTTTTTTTTTTTTGGTTAAAATATGTCTACTTTCTTCTTCCAACCTTTAGATGCATAATGTGCATTGGACCCACCACAGATTCTGTTGCATATTCAATTTCTGAAAAAAAAAAAAGAAAAAAAAAAAGAAGCTACTTAAATGGTTTCTTGAAATGGATTTACTTTAGAGACCATATATATATATATATATATATATATAAATTGCGCTAGTAAATCAATAAATATTAGATGCATCAGACAAACCATATCATTAATGTACTCATTTAATGAAATATAACATATTATATCGTTATCAATAATATTAGATGCGTCAGACAAACCATATCATTAATGTACTTATTTAATGAAATATAACATATTATATCGTTATTAATAATTTTAAAAGTGGCACAAAATTTTTTTAAAAAATAAGATACTTTATCATTGGATGTATACACTAATAACATAATGCGTCTCCCGCATCCAATATATAAACAGGTTCTGCAAACTTAATTTAGTTCCTCCATTTTCAAAATTAGAGACTTAGAATGAAAAAATCTCGAACTTCACATGGATACGAAGTTTCATGAACACAAAACGTGTCATATTGTTCTGCAAACTTAATTTAGTTCCTCCATTTTCAAAATTAGAGACTTAGAATGAAAAAATCTCGAACTTCACATGGATACGAAGTTTCATGAACACAAAACGTGTCATATTTTTCCGGGAGTCTAGAAAAAATCTTTCAACAACTTACATTTCTTTCATTTTCACATTTTCAAAATCTATTCTCGCGACACCACGACGACAACAACAAAAATAAAAAATAAAAAATTAATAACCTCATTGAGCAGTCCAATTTCCAGCCATGAACATAGGTGAAAAAAAAAAAAAAAAAAAAAAAACTTGAAATGATGAGTGAGACCTACCCCTGGGTCCTAGCAGAACATTTTATTACATTGTACTGCGATAGAAGTCATCAATAGTGGGACCATTTTTTGAATTCATCACCTATACATTGTTGCAAACATGAAAGAGATGGTAACAGCTGCATCTATGATATGTTCACCTATATAGTTACAAACATGAGCAATAACTATATTATTAATGCTATATTAAAAATATATATATAAAAAAGGGCCAATATTATTAAAAGAACTTCATGCTGGGAATGTATGAAAAGCATAGGACCATCTACATTATGAATGCTATATTAGGGACTAGCATATGATGTGGAATGCCTGAAGCTCCTCCTTAAGGGCCAATATTACTTTCTAAATATTAAGGTGGTATTTTCTTTCGAGTTCTAATGGTCACAAACTCGAAAGAATTTGATGACAAAGCGTACAGCAATATTTTCAAAATAGCTGGTTTTTCATTGAAAAAATTAAACAATGTATTACAAACTTGAGAAAGAAGTGTTCATTGGAAGTCATAAAACAAGCAGTCTGATTTCACTTTTCCATTCTTCTTCCTCTTTCTAAGCTGTTTCTTCAATGGCATCCGAGCATTCATCAGTTACCTTGAAAAACAGTTAATTATATGTTTATCACAAACCCAAAAAAAAGAAAAAAAGAAAAAAAGGAGAGGGTTTGTAGGAAATACCATGCTTAAAATGCAAAATACACTAATGTACTGCTGCATTGATGATTCTCATTTGAAAGTGGAGAGCCTAGGAAGCTTGTCTCTCAAATAGTACAACCTTGCCCTTCTGACTTTCCTGTGCTTAATTACTTTGATCTCCTTGATGTTTGGCGAGTACCTGCAATAATAGAAAATTAGACACCAATCGTGTCCGATTCTGTTAATACATAATTAAAGAACAATATTAAAATTATAATCAGGCCTCATCCTATTGATATAAAAATCATAACATCGTACGTAGATCCAAAGTTGGGAGACAACTTCAGTAGGGAAACTTTTCGAGGATGACAAATCTTTCCTAAACTCAAAGAAAGAGTTATATGCATGGCTAGATTCTAAGCATCACCTGGCTGAATTCCTTTTCTCAAATTTAGATATCCCACTTCAAATTATTGTCACTGAAACAATGGATTCAACTCCAATGTTATAAATGCCTCTATACACTAGTGTCAGAGCATGTGGAAAAATCAGTGTCACATTCTAACATGATACTACTATGTATCCTTCTTTATAATAGGATAAGATCGTCTGATTAGAAGTAAAAGATAAAAAGAGTATTTTCTAGCAAAGTGAGCCATGGCCTCAATGGAAAATAGTAGTCACAAGCAGCTTCTACTTATTGTAATAGAAGGGCACTAAATGTGTGAACATTGGAACAAAACCACAGGTCAAAAGGTTGGGACCTCGCGAAGAACATATGACAGATAAATCTTTCCTCTTCACTGGTTAAGAAGAAGAATACCATTTAACTCCACATTAACACTATAAATACTTCCGGCTTGCAAGGGGGGAAAAAGAAAAATCATAGTCAATGCTAGATTTCCCCAGCTCCAAAATAGAAGCAACATGTGGTAAACTACGCCTTTGAACTCAACTGAGGAAACAAAATTTGACCTTTTGACCTCAGGATAGATGAAAAGGACATAATGAACTAAGGATATACTCATGCTAAGACGATTGACACACTCATGCTATGTTTGGTAGCATGGAATGGGTTCTTTGGAATCAGAATTGAAGGAAAAACTAGTTCAAACTTTGAACTAATTTAGTAATTGAAATTCCAATGCACCGATACCCAAGCAAATTGAAGTCAGGAAGAATCCTCAGAACACAGGAATCCAAGACTATATTACAGGACAGTTGACACAGTCTATTCAGCTTAATTTTTTATTATTATTTTTCCTGAATTGTTCAGCTTAATTTTTTATTATACAACAATCCTTTGTTGATAAGGAGTGCATTTTGTTGACTTGCAAATTCAAACATTTTGAATAAGAGCGAATTATATATATATATGTAAATTTGTTTTTGGACCATTGGTGTAATGGTCAGACCTTGTCTCAGAAATTTGGACATAGGCTGGCTAGAAGATTAGATTTGCCCAAAAATTCAAAACTCAGCTGTTTGCTAGATGGAGGCAATTGGACTATGGTAATGCTACAGGATGATATCTTCCACCCCTTGAGGGTGTTTCTTACTGATATTCATGTTCATCCAGACCCTGATAGACTTCTTTGGAAGGATGGAATATTCACATTCAAGAAGGCTTGGCAAGCATGTAGGACTGCTTCTGATTTGGTGGACTGGTCTGGTTTGTGCTGCAGGAAAAGTAGACCTAGATGGTCCATACATTTTGTTTTTGTGATGCTGGATAGATAGCCTTCTATGGTGAACCTGCAGAGGAGGAAAATTTGGTTGACAGCTAGGTGTTCCAACTGTCTACATGATGTAGATAATACAGATCACCTTTTTTTCTCATGTTCCTTTGCACAAGCAGTTTGGAATTGGCTTGCTGATCTGGTGGGATGGAGGTTGTCCTCTTTTAATGGTCCTAACCAACTTGAAGCCTGGGTTGATTGGTTCTGGCAGAGACACCACGATTCTAAGGAGCTGAGAAGCTGATTTTTCTGCTATGATGTGGGGTGTATGACAAGAGAGGAATGCAAGGTTATATGGAGCAGATTGCACTCCCCCTGAAGCTCTTGCTAGGAATATGTTGTTGGAAGCTCTTGATGTTCATCATGTTGCTGTTTCTGATTTTCATTTGTAGTTCTATTCCTCTTTGGTTTTGTGTGTACTGGAAATGGGCTTTCTCATTATGAGTTTAGTCTTATTCCTAGTTTCTCACAATTTCTGAGGGCATGCCCTCTTTGCACTTGAATTCTTCCTATTTTTTTTATATAATACAGCACCAATTATGATATATATATATATATATGTAATTTTTGAGAATTTCCAATTACACTAGCCCTTGTCCTATAATACTAAGACAAATTCAGAGGAGAGGATTGATCTTAGATGTTGTTTGATAAAACTGAACATTAAGTACTTAAAATTTTAAGAGCTGAATTTTAAGTGCTTAATTTTAAAAGCTTTTCTTATCCCCAATGAAAAAAAGAAGATATTTTTGACTCATCCAGATAGAATGCATTTAAAAAAAAAAAGAAAAAAGAGAAGGGTCCTCGGTTATATGATTGCATGCATTTCAAATCTACACAATAAGAACAGGATTGTCAATTATTATTCTTCATGCTCAGGTAAAATGCGGGCATTTAGGATTTCATATTGATGTCAATTAGATCTTACATTACAAAATGGTGGACTAATATGCTACACAAATCAGAATGAAACCATACAAATCCCACAGAGAAATCCAATTGCATCGTGATTCAGTCAATAACATCCATGAAGGAAGGTATAATAGCAACAATTAAACATAAAGATCAGTTGTACAAAGTAGAACTAAGTTAACTAACGTATAGACCTAAAAACAGTGCATGACCATTTCAGATTTATCCTTCCAAAATAATATTTATTTTATTTTTTCTTCACTTTACAATTTAATTATATTACAATTGTTTCATATATATGTGTGTGCGTGTGTGTGTACACAAATATATACTGCTATGAGTAAATCTGGCTTTCTTAATCTATAAAAATTCAAGTCAGGATAATCAGAAAAAGTAGTGAATACAACAATTGTTGACTACTCAAAGTTGCTTCACCATTCCAAGTGATAAAAATTGGAACCCAGTCAAACCACACCAAAAAATTGTCAGTGCATATCAATCAGCAAGGCAGAGACTTATACTTACACAGGAAATACAATCTCAACTCCAATCCCCGCTATGATCCTACGAATCCGAATTGTTGTGTGGATACCGGCATTTTGCTTTGAGATAACTATACCTTTATATATAGACAATCTACGCCTATTTTCTGGAACTTCCTATAACAAATTAAATAAAGAGGATCACAAAACTTCCGAAACAACAATTCAACAATCTAAATCAAATCAATAAAATACAATATTACTAGTTTAATTTCCACAATGTCGCCAGTTCTGAGGTCCGGAACAGGCCTTTCCTTCTCTGATGCTTCAATCGCTTGTTTATTCAATATCTACTCAAACAACACCAAAATGCGTGAAACAATTTAGTACTTTTCAATAACTAGCAGTTGAATTAACATTTTTGAAATTTCGACTCAGGTGAATATGCCTATAAGCCAATTTTCTTTAGCACTGTTTACACGGCTTGAGTAACACAACTCAACCAGTAAAACTTCACTAGGCCAAGCCTATGACACTAGTCACGCTACTATAACTTTGCTAATGTGATTTTTTCATTTTCATAGTTTTCCGGGCAACCAAACAGAAAGCAAGAGGGGAAAAACAAAAATGAGTGAGAGAAAGAGAATTCAGAATTTACCCCCATTATATCGCCTAGCTTAACTATTGGCTTTCTCGGCGGCTTTGACTCTGATTCGACTTCTAATTTAACTTCAGAGTCCGGCTCTGGTTCTGTCTCAGTATCAACACTCTCAGCAGTTTCTGATTCTCCTCCGGAGTTCGATTCGGCTCTGACAGAAAAAGACCTAGAGGAAGCCACTTCTGCAACGAACGCATCAAAACTCAACCCCAATTGGTTCCTTGAAACCCTAGAAATCGCAATTCCAGTGTAATTCAAAGAAGGGGGACGATGAGAGACAAATGCACACAACCCTAGCTTCTTCGGAGAACATTGTGTAGGGTTTCTTGGCATCATAAATAAAGCCTGTGTATCAAATGTCGAATTTTGTTTTTGGAATTACTATCAAAGAATCAAGTGGATAAATATGTGTATGTATGTATATATATATATATATATATATACACACACACACAAATATAGAAACATGACTGTGAATATAGATTGATGCATGGTTAGAGAGAGAGTACCTGAGGAAGAACATTGGTGCCCATGATTTGAAAAGTTAAAGAGAGAGAGAGCAGGGCTTGTTAGGTTTTGCAGAGGGTTGAATTCATGGAGTGAGTAAGCGCAAAAGCCTTATCCGTTGAAGTCTGGGGTTTAGATGAGCTTTGTCAGTTTAGTGTGGTGCGCTCAAGGCTCATTATATCCCTTGTTAATGCGTGACATGCTAAAGTGCACCTAATATCTTAATTGCTTATAATTTACCAGGCATATTGAGAAGGAAATAAATATTGGGGGGCTTATGATGAACTCTGATACCCTTGTCATCAAATGTATTTAGAGTAACTGTATTCCTCGGATGGTGAGTGTTTAAGTGATCGACATCATTGAAAACATATATATATAGAAATGTTTAAGTGATCGACATCATTGAAAACATATATATATAGAAATGTTCTACTATATGTTCTAAAATATTTTTGATTGAAAACTTTTTCCTACTAACACTACGAACTTTTAAATTTAAATGAGTAATTTTGAAATTTCAGAAGAAAATAATACATTAAATTTATGTTTCATCTTATGTATCAAAGAGATAGATAGGGTTGGGGGATGAGAAGAAGTCAATCACATAGTATTAGATTGACCTAGAAACAAGTGAGGAAGATAATAATAAAATTTTGAGAAAAATAATGAAATATAATATTATAAAAAATAAAAAAAATTCAATGAGGGCCTGGATGGTAGAAAAAATAAAGTGTGTGATAGGTTAAACTTATGTTAGTGGTGGTAATGTCCGCGATCCAATGTCCTTAACTAAAATAACAATGAGGAGGGTAATTTTGTCATTTTACCATTAACTATTTAAAAATATTTTGGTTTTTAGCTCTTAATTTATTTTTATTATCCTTGTCCAAATATGAGGAAAAATCAACATTATATTCTCCCTCATTACTAGTTTTTAAATCACTCAACTTGTACTATGCTAAAGGTTTGGGGCTCAAAAAAGTAAAAAAATATGAAGTTCCTAGAACTAATCCTCAAATTATAGGCTTATAGCAATGAACCAATGGAAATTATTTGATTCCACGAAAAAGACAAACAAATAAAATAAAATAAAAAACCAATACAAGAAAAGGGATTTCGCCACGTGGCAAGCGTAGAGAAACTCAGAGCCCGCGTCACCTTATAAACTTTCTTAATCTGCCTTCGTGGCGCCTTAACATAACGCAAACACAATCTTAAACCTCCGTTAACTGCCACGTGGCCATTTCGCCGACTCATTACTGCCTTCCCGCCAACATCGCGTTCTTTCTTTTTCTCTCCCCCTCATTCGTCCTTTCTCAAAGCAAAAGTTTCCCTTTTAATCAAACATAGCAAAATTCTCTCTACCCTCTCTCTCTCTCTCTCTCTCTCTAAAACTGATATTACTCTCTCTACCCCTCTCTAGATCTATCGATTGCTTTCACTATTTTGGTCAAAACCCTACCGATCATTGCGAATTTCAACAATTTCTCGCAATCCACAAGAATTTCACCATCAATCTGATCCGCCATGGCTCGACTTCGCCCTTTGGAGCTCTGTCCTTTCTTTCGGTAAATAGCATCATCATTTAAAGAAATATTAGATTTTTTTTTTTTTTTTTTTTTTTAATCAGAGGCTTTTGCATTGTTTGTTATCCAATTAATCGGTAAAATTTTAGTTCTTTGAGCACTTCCATATATTCTTTCAAATGTTTTAATGGTAGTTAGAGGTTGTTGAACTTTAAATTTCGTTCTTCAGAAGATGATTCTGGTATGAACTTTGGTTGCAATTGGTGGTAAAGAGCGGATTCCATGTCATTTTAGAGCCTAAGTTTGTTTGTTTGTAAAGATGGCTCGTACTACTTTTGATACAATGAGGGGAACTCCACCTGGAATTTTGCTTATAAGAAGCATTAGAGCCAGGGATTGGGGCCTAAAAACCTATAGATACGTGGTTTTGTTAGTTACATTTATAGCATATGCCTGTTACCACGCATCTAGGAAACCCAGTAGTATAGTCAAGAGTGTTTTGGATCCAGAAACCCAAGAGGCCAACCAGTTGTATTCTTGGCCAATTGGTGAAGTTTTCATCAAGAGGAAATTGTTGGGTGGTGAAATGAAGAGAGACAAAAACAAGGGTTGGGCACCATTTAATGGACCGGATGGGACATCGAAATTGGGTGAGATTGATGTTGCTTTTCTTGCTTGTTATTCGCTAGGAATGTATGTTGCTGGACATCTAGGTGATACTCTGGATCTTCGGTTGTTTTTGACTACTGGGATGATTGGGAGTGGCATTTTTGTTGCACTTTCTGGGATGGGCTATTTTTGGAATATTCATGTGTTTTGGTTCTACCTGGTTATGCAAATGCTGGCCGGCTTATTTCAGGCGACTGGATGGCCTTCCGTTGTGGCTGTTATTGGTAATTGGTTTGGCAAGAGGAAGAGAGGATTGATAATGGGGATTTGGAATGCTCATACTTCTGTGGGGAATATTACTGGGTCCCTTCTTGCTGCTAGTGTTCTGCAGTATGGTTGGGGCTGGTCTTTCATACTTCCGGGTGCCCTTATTTTTCTGGGAGGGATAATGGTATACCTATTCTTGGCTGCTTATCCTGAAGATGTTGGATTTCCTGGCCTACACGATTCGCCGGCAAATGCACAGACAGTGCCCACTGCAGAGACGGTGCACGGTGATGTAGAAGCTCAGACAAGGAAGGATTTTGTTGAAGGAAAAATGAATACTGTCAATCTATCTGGGTCTGTGAGTAGGAAAAGTGTGGGGCTTCTTGAAGCTTGTTTAATACCTGGAGTAATACCTTTTGCATTGTGCCTCTTCTTCTCAAAGCTTGTGGCATATACGTTTCTGTACTGGTTACCGTTTTATCTAAGTCAGACAGGTATTTTTTTACCCTCCCTCATTTATATTAACTAATTGATGAACAGAAAATCTGAATTACTCATTTTGCCTTAATCTTTTCAACTGACTTTTTGAATAGCTTCTGATTTAAGTTGATGGCATGTTCTATTTCAATTTCTGTCCATGAGTGATGAAACTAAAGAGATTGCAAACAACCGTTGGATGTTACAGAAGTATATAACATTGAATATATTGACACGAATAAAATGATCCTAATGAATTAGCCAAGTTGTTGGCTTTGATTTTTAGTTGATAGAACTCCTGTTAATTACCTAGATTTTTTGGATTTGGTACACAAAATAATCTTTATTGAGAATGTTAAGAAATGAAACAGATTCTAAAGGAACGCAAGAAATGTGCAACGGCTACACTTAAAAATGGTGGTTTGAGGAGCCATTTCTGTTAAGCTAGGAAGAAGATTATCTGTTCCGTATGGTCTTGTGGAAATTGAGGCATTGTGTGTCTTACCTGATGCATTTAATTGTTTGCATGGACCACAAAAAAGATTTGTTCGAGAAAGTCACTTATCCAAGAGGACGACAAGATGATTACTTCATTTGTCTAAATTTAACATCACATACATAAGTAAAATTGCCGAAGGAAAGGGCAATAGCTGAACACCCAATGAAAGAGGAACGTAAGAATAAGAATTGCTTTCCAGATGAGGACGTAACTACAATAGAAGAGGAGGCAAGGCGTAAAACTTTACTTCGATGGCATAGCTTTTTGAATGAGGGTGGCGTGTGGGTAAGTGATCACACCTGATGAATCACACTTCCCATTGCGCCATTATGATCAATTATGTTGTAACTAATAATACTGCAGTATATGAATCATTTATCCATGGGCTAGAGCTGCCTTGACCTTAGGAACAAAAGAAATTAAAGTATTGGCCTCTAATTCCTAAATAATGTCAAAAGTTAGGTGCGTACTTGGTTTATCCTCCAAATATTTTCCGTTTACGAAGACCACTCTGGATACTTGTTTATGGCCACTTATCATCTGTCAAACACAAGGGAGGAGGAAAAGCAATCAGTTAGCAAATCCATTGAAAACAAGTCTCCGTGATAAACATTCTTGAAAGTATGCATGGTGAGGAAAGAGTAAGCTATTTTGCCGATAACCTTGATCCATCATGAGCACTTTCTCACCACTATAGTGAGACAAGTGTTTTAGTATCTTTCATGACTCTTGTTGTTCCTTTATGGCTTGGGTGCAATAACATAATTGGAAGAAATGAGGGCCGAAATTTAACCTACCTATAGGAAAGATGGTTAGAAAGTTCAAGAAACCCATTCAATGGTTATGATTGAGAAGACTAATAAAAGGAAGAATCAGGAACACCTATAAAAAAGATTGTTACACATTTCAGGAACTAGGTCATTCAGTAATGAAGTAAAGTTACATTTATCTTAGCGTAGCATCCTTAACTCATAATGTTAGTGGAGTATTTGATGGAACTACAAGTAGGGTTGGTGCTAAGGATTTATATGTAAGAGAAGGCCTCAAATATGTAGGAGGCAGGTGTGGGGTGGACAATTTGATCGACAGGCTGCTGGTACAATATTCACACACTTAGATGCTATTAACATTCTACTGTGAGTATTATATGCCAGTGGCATCTATCCAGCACAAGATCCTTTAGATTCGATGTCAGCTATACTTCAACCTCATAGCACCTTTGCAGTTTCTTGTGTCACCTTACTGTCTTCAACTTCGGTGATTCTTCTGCCATTTTTGACTTGTTCTGGGGTTGGCACCTGCTTACATGATGTGTCTTTGGTGATGCCTGATGCTTGCTCTTGCTTGGCTATAGATCTCATTAGCAGAATTGTAATTTAAACTAAAAGTCTTGAGAACACGATAGTAAGTTCATGTCATAAGGGATCATTCTGAGGCAAGTAAATTAGATGTTCCTGTGTGTGAAGAGAGAGAGAGACAGAGACAGACAGAGATAGAGTGAGTTGTAGTTTGAAATTTTTAGTTTTATAATGGCAAGTTTGCATCTTTTAAAGATCTTTATATGCTTGGATGGTAGAACAAAACCTATTTGTAAGGGCCTGTTTGGTACGCGTTTTGTTTTTGTGTTTTTGTTTTAACCCGACACAAAACAACTGCTTTGTTGTAGAGTGTTTTGAATAGTAATCGGAAGCATGTTTGGTAATGTCCATTTGTTGCAAGGTTTTTTGGAAGCAAAAACATGAAAACATGTTTATTAAAAAAGTGTTGCAAGTTTGAAAAATAAATGGTTAGTTTAAAAATGTCATTTAAGAGTTTTAAGAAATTTATTGTTCATCGCTACAGCACTGTTGCTACAGTGCTGAAACATGTAAAAACACTAAGTTGGTGTTTCGATTTTTGACCATTATTCACGAAACATTTTTGCACTGTGCAAAACAAAACTTTTTTTTACCAAACACGTGTTTTCCAAAAACACTGCTAAACAGGCCCTAAGTTTCTTGAACCTTTTTTTTTTTTTTTTTGTAATCTTTGGAGTGACCACCCTGGTTTCATAGTTCGCATCTTGTCCCTTTCATGATTTTGCAGCTATTGGTGGGGAGTATGTATCTGTGAAGTCTGCTGGAAACCTTTCCACTCTTTTTGATGTAGGGGGCATCGTTGGTGGAATTCTAGCTGGTTATATATCTGATAAACTCAATGCTCGGGCTACTACTGCAGCCAGTTTCATGTATGCGGCAATCCCTTCGATGCTCATTTACCGCGCGTATGGGAAAATATCAAAGACTGTTAACATTATACTTATGATGATCGCTGGTTTATTCATAAATGGCCCTTATGCACTTATCACAACTGCAGTCTCAGCAGATCTTGGTACACACAGCTCTCTGAGAGGGGATTCTCGAGCGCTGGCAACAGTCACTGCCATTATTGATGGTACAGGGTCTGTTGGTGCGGCCCTGGGTCCTCTTCTTACTGGGTTCCTTTCGACAAAGGGTTGGGATTCAGTTTTTCTGATGTTAATGATCGGTGCTCTTATTGCCGGTCTTCTTTTATCTCGCTTGGTCATAACTGAACTCTCTGAGAAAACTAGCTCGAGTATGCCTTTATCCGGTGGCCAGCACACTGTTGGAGGTAACGTGGTATCTTTTATCTTGCAACATTTATTTTGGTCTACTTTTCGTTTCTCAATAAAAATGAATGAAAAACAACAAGGCTTGCTTATTTATGTATGTATACATGCATGCAGATTTTGGATATCTCATAAAACTAAACCATCCATATATATATTTTTTGCCCTTCATGGCATTGAAGTGAGATTTGACCTTTAGAATTGAGAACTACTGAAACTCATTTTACAGAATTCCATAGCAGTTGATAATTCCATACGACACGGGAAATCAAGGCTTATATATAATAATTCTTTGAAATCAAAATTTTTAATTTGATGTAATTGTAACGAATGAAGGAATTTTTTATTTTATTTATTTTCCATCATAACCAAACAAGGAAAAGTTGTAATTAAGCAAGGAAAATTGGTTTTGTTTGTATATCATTTTTGCTTCATAAATTAACAAATAAATAGAACTTAAATATTGTAAGTGTTGTACAAGTACCCATTATAAACATATTGATACAAAGTTAATTAACTAGGAAAAGACAAACTTTTAACATTATGTATCTTCCAATGCAAAATAAATAAATTAATTAAAAATTAACTTTGTTTAATAAAAATATAAAAAAGTTTGATGAAAATTTAAAAACAAAAACTTGTTAAGTGGCTTAATAATATTTGCATTACTCTTTGTAGCCATAAAATAATAATTGTCCCACATTGTGTTTGGTGGTGTATCTGGCGAGAGAGAAACAACAGAAATTTTGAAGGGAAAGAATCAACTATTGCTCACTTAAAATCTGTTATTCTCCGTTCTCTTTTCTGTTATGTTAGAGGAAGCGCTTGCTCCTCGATTGCTGATCTTTTTGACCTTTTGGATTCTTTTGGTCCTTGGGGTTTTTGTTCTTCTGTATTAGGGGCGCGTTCCCCTTTTAAACGCTTTTCTAATATTTTTTACTTATCAAAAAATAATAATAATAATAATAATAATAATAATAATAATAATAATTTTCATTATTAATACCTTCAAATCATATTCTTTATTACATTAGCCCTAAAATTAGCTAGTATCTTGCGCTGCATTTTCTCATTGAATTCTGAACTAGCTATATCGGGGTTTGAAGACCTATAACTTTTTGCAAGGTGGACCTACAAATATATGCCTGCGTGTAAGTGGTGAAATAATGATTATATCATATGACAGTAATTAGAAAAGTATCAAAATTAAAAAGTCGAAGATGAATGGTGAAAAAAAAAAAATGGACTCCTATTACCTGAGATTTAAGGTGAAAGTTAACATTTGATTCTTGGATAATTTGAATTTATACTTTGTATCTTGACATAATTTTCTGAAATTGTGAATTACAAAGGACAAGTTGGAATAACTCAAGTGTTTCGTTTTCATTTCATATTAAAAAAAAAAAAATGGAGGAAGAGCGGTGAAGATTGCCAGTGGTGCACGGGTATATTGGTGTGGTTTTTTCTAGATTTCAGCTTCCATATTTTCCTTAATGTCTTTTTTACGATGGAATGATTTCTGTAGTGACTATAAACAGCCTGATTTTTCTTTCTCCAGAAAGATATTAATATATCATGTAAGCTTTGCGGTGTTTTTTGCCTGATTTTGCTAGTTTAGAACATCTTTATGTTCATATTGGTAAAAGACACGAGAGAAAGTAAGATGGTCACTGTTTGAAAGAGAGCAGTTAGTTATTGGGCAGACACCACTGCATGTTTGTTGAGTTGTCTTCGTGGATTGTCTCTGAGATTTTCAATTGGACTGGACTATAATGTGAACATTTTTTTTACCTTTTATTATTTAACTTATGCAACTGAATGATTGTAATTTTGGACCTATTTATTTATATGAGTTTTCCAATAATGGCACAAATATTTACCAATCTATACTATTGCATTCTTTTGGACTTGATGGTATTTCTTCTTCCTTTGCAGCTTCTGAATCCCGACCCCTCTTAAGTGACCAGAAGTGAATCAGATATTGGTCTCGTGAAGCATAAAAAATGCTGAGTAAATTAACAACATATTCTAGACATGTGAGTGGCATAATAATTGTGTGAAATAACAAATAGAATTTTTTTGTATTTGTGAAATTTTACTGGCCTGTTTGGAGATCATAATGAAAATTTTGGTATTCATATTTGTAGTTCTATATGTAAACTGATGTTCAGTGTGTAGAAGAACTTCTTGCTGGCTTTTCAAGTGGATATACTTTCTTTAGCCACTGATTTGTATTGTTGTGCTGAAAATGGTAAAGTTGATATACTTTCTTTAGCCACCGAGTGTATTGTGCTCATAATGGTACTGAGACTTTTCTTTTTCACCGATTTCACAATTTTGATTCATGCATCAACTTGTGGGCGGTCGATTACTTATATTGAGGTGGTCCTTGCGGTACCTTTCTTCCCCATTTGTCCTTGTCGAAAAATTATTGATAATGAGTAAATGCAATAATGGCTTCAGAAGCATTTTAGAGAAGTGGAAAGATGTGTTTATCTCTAATGTCTATGAATAATAGTAAAGCCCTAAAAAGTTTTCCTTGGTGATGATATTTTTGTGCAGCAAGTCCTCTATATTTGCAACCAGTTATAGCCCGTGTGCGACATGTTATGTGCTGTTTGGCAGATCAGGACTATGTAAATAATAGTAAGCTAAGAGTTTCCAAAGAATGGCATGTGAACATTATACTTCCCAAAATGTGGTTCTCATCATTGATTGGAATTTGGAAGCAATCAAAGTTGTTGTATCTCTTCTTTGACAGTTCCATGTGAGACATTCCATCAATCTCTATCATTAGGTTTTGGGATTGAAAAACATATTCCCTCTTTTACCAACTCAGTGTTGGCTTCTCTAATCATTTACAAAATTATATAGAATGTAATAATAGTCTTGAATCTGTTAAAACATTTTTATGATGCACAAAGAAAATTGTTACTTTTGTTGAACAGTTAGATAAGTTCAATGATTGTGTGATTAAATTGTTTTTTTTTTTTTTTTTTTTTTTATATATTTTTTTATATTATGCTTTTGGATGCCATATGTTCAAGTTCAATATTTTGAAAGCCCATTGTGAAGAGCGAGCCCTCTTAGTTGTTGTGGCATGGTTTATTGGTCCTTATGATTATAATTCTTGTGTATATTTGATGTGAGATCTATATCTGGTATAAATAGTGTGTAAGGATTATAAATTCATATATATAGTATATTGTAAAAATAAAAGATTGAAAGAGACTGGTGAATAGGTGTGCAAATATGCGGATTTGGGCAATTCCATTCAATTCAATAATTCTGTCACATTGTCTTCCTTTTGTTATCCCCTTGCTGTCACACAAGGGGTCAAGGCTGCCCAGCTGTGGAGAATAGAGATGGACAGCTGGAGAGTGAAAGGACTATAATGACCTCACAGATTCCATGTATTTTCAAATTACATCCGCTGATCTCGGGCTGAAAAGACGACCATTGTTGTACATACGTTCTAGAGTATTCCAGGTGTTACTCTGTCCTTGTTTGGCACTAAATTGCGCCAGTTGGCTCTTATGCACACCACACACGGAATTTTCACATTTTTGCAATGCGGGCTTGATACAATGATACCACCTCAAGGTTCCAACGGAGATTATTTGTCGGTGCCATGTTGAGCGCTCCTTTCGAAGGCATTTCGATATGTCATCCTATTATAAAAAACATATTAACAATTAGATGTATTTTTAGTTTTTATAATGGGGACGAACTGTGAGAGGGGAGGGAAATAGTGAGAGACATATGTCTTTATAATTGTTAATATGTTTTGAAATTAATGGGGACGAACCGTGAGAGGGGAGGGAAATAGTGAAATTTTGTAAGTATATGTATTAAAATGAAGAAATTAGTGGGGTATATTATAATACTAAAAAATAAAAAACATTGTGGACAGCCCCGGGTTTGTGCCTGCTAGTCTATCTTATTGTTGTGATTTGTGAAGTACTAACGAATAAAGACTAGTATTATTACTGTATTTTTTTATTACATTATTTACTAAATACTTGTAATTTTTTATAATTATTTTTGTATATGTATTAAGGAACTGCTTTCACACTATATTACAAATAAAATGGCTATTTGTGGTGGTCCCTTTGGTCTTTTCCCCAATTGTGTTTCTTGTGACGAAGGTATGGTCACGAGTTTGGTGAGGGAGACGTTAGACGAGGCGCCACTGTGCCAGGCTCAAAGCTCTTGTGTTGGGACCATTTGACATTTATGACGCAACATGACTTTAATTTTACAAGTACCCCCTCCCAATGACTTCAATTTTACAAGTCAATTGGAAAAACACACGCACATACACACACAATCACAACCACAAACATCATTGCCACCATTTATGCTCCATCTTTATTGTTATTCATTTAAGAAAATGATTCTACCACCTGTTGAAGTATGACATTTCTTGACGAATTTATTCAAAAAAGTTAAAAAAAAATAAAAAAAAAAAAATTCTACTTATTGTTTATAAAACAACACATTCAAGAAAATTATTTAATCAGAAATTATCTATATCGATGAGTAAAAAAAAAAAATCCACTTTAAATATAGGAGGAATTGCAAAAAACTCTTCTAAACTATTACTTATTTGTAAAATACACCCTTTATGAATACTTTTAGCGAGAAACCCCTCAACTATATTGAGGGGGTATTTTAACTTAACGCGTGTAATAATTTTTTGGGACAATTTTTTGGACCAAATTACCCCTCCCCTCAACATTGTGGATTGGGTCATTGTTCAGTCCTCCATTAAATCTGGTGAAGTTCAATCCTTCCTTCTTCTCCATTCACATTCACGCCACGACTGTTTAAGAACTGGATACCTCTGCAAACATCTTCCTTGGATGTGTTTAATTTCATCTACCTTGCATGTTTGTAAAATAATGACTTCAATTTTACAAGTCAATTGGAAAAACACACGCACATACACACACAATCACAACCACAAACATCATTGCCACCATTTATGCTCCATCTTTATTGTTATTCATTTAAGAAAATGATTCTACCACCTGTTGAAGTATGACATTTCTTGACGAATTTATTCAAAAAAGTTAAAAAAAAATAAATAAAAAAAAAATTCTACTTATTGTTTATAAAACAACACATTCAAGAAAATTATTTAATCAGAAATTATCTATATCGATGAGTAAAAAAAAAAAATCCACTTTAAATATAGGAGGAATTGCAAAAAACTCTTCTAAACTATTACTTATTTGTAAAATACACCCTCTATGAATACTTTTAGCGAGAAACCCCTCAACTATATTGAGGGGGTATTTTAACTTAACGCGTGTAATAATTTTTTGGGACAATTTTTTGGACCAAATTACCCCTCCCCTCAACATTGTGGATTGGGTCATTGTTCAGTCCTCCATTAAATCTGGTGAAGTTCAATCCTTCCTTCTTCTCCATTCACATTCACGCCACGACTGTTTAAGAACTGGATACCTCTGCAAACATCTTCCTTGGATGTGTTTAATTTCATCTACCTTGCATGTTTGTAAAATAATGACTTCAATTTTACAAGTCAATTGGAAAAACACACGCACATACACACACAATCACAACCACAAACATCATTGCCACCATTTATGCTCCATCTTTATTGTTATTCATTTAAGAAAATGATTCTACCACCTGTTGAAGTATGACATTTCTTGACGAATTTATTCAAAAAAGTTAAAAAAAAATAAAAAAAAAAAATTCTACTTATTGTTTATAAAACAACACATTCAAGAAAATTATTTAATCAGAAATTATCTATATCGATGAGTAAAAAAAAAAAATCCACTTTAAATATAGGAGGAATTGCAAAAAACTCTTCTAAACTATTACTTATTTGTAAAATACACCCTTTATGAATACTTTTAGCGAGAAACCCCTCAACTATATTGAGGGGGTATTTTAACTTAACGCGTGTAATAATTTTTTGGGACAATTTTTTGGACTAAATTACCCCTCCCCTCAACATTGTGGATTGGGTCATTGTTCAGTCCTCCATTAAATCTGGTGAAGTTCAATCCTTCCTTCTTCTCCATTCACATTCACGCCACGACTGTTTAAGAACTGGATACCTCTGCAAACATCTTCCTTGGATGTGTTTAATTTCATCTACCTTGCATGTTTGTCAAATCAGTCTCCGTTTTCTTCAATTTTTTTTGTTTACTTACCCAGTTGCTGCAATGCTCCTGCACAGTATCCGAATTTTCTCAATTGCTGCCTTCATTTGCATTTTTCTTGTGCTGCCATTGAATTATTTTGGGAAAGAGATGCAACAGAAGTTAATCCCTTCAGAGTCACTGGACGTATTCACCATTGGGAATGTCAAAGAATGATCAAAATGGTACGAATTTCATCAAAATCAAGTGCTAGATTAACTACTTGGAACTTCAAGAAGTTTCAGATGCTGTAGCCTTCCATACTCTATTTATATTAAAAATAAAAAGAACAGAAAAAAGCAGATTTTTGTTCCATTCCATTACATATTCAACCACAGCTTATTATAATGCGAACTCAAAGAAGTAATGAACTTATTGACATAACATGTTAAAACTATCTGCTTATCAATTGTTTTTCCTCTCTTTGTCTCTCTCTTTTATTTATTTATTTATCTTGCTTTACATTGTCCTCACTTTCATCATACATTGTCCTCACTTTTATCTTGTTAAACACTCTCTTGAATTTGGGTTTCAAACCCTCTGTTTAATTCAAACCCGTTTGTTGCTGATCAACTGTTTCTTCACCTGCAAATGCTTCTTTTGGAAATTCTTTGATTTTTCGGGGACAATATGTAATTTTTACACAATGACACATTATACACACACACACACACAAAGAGAAAGAAAGGATAGGTCGGGCAAGATTCATTTATTTATTTATTTTATTTTTTATCATAAGGATGCAAAGAAGATGAATAGTGTTTGTATTTGTGTATATATATGTGTGTGTGTGTGTGTGGGTTCTATGGGGTTCCAAGTTGACACCAACAGTATTCCTTGTTGGGTAGGTGGGGATGATCCATCATCCTAGTTTTGTTTTGGGTGCAACAGTAAAGGGAGAGAGGTTACGTTTGCAATAAATTTATATTTTTAAGATGCGAAGAAGAAGATAAATAGTGTTTTTTTTAATTCCCCAACTTTTTCTCCCAACACCACCACAACCGCCCCCAACTTTTTCTCTCTCCATACCAGCACTGCAACATTTCTCTCATCTATTATCGAAATCTTACTGCAGCACCATAATGAACAGAGAGGGGGAGTGGCTTGGCCGTATTTGCCAAATTCGCAGGTTTTTTCATGACCCAATCCACAATGTTGAGAGGTAATTTGGTCCAAAAAATTACCTAAAAAAATAATTACAAAGTGTTAAGTTAAAATACTCCTGTCAGTATAGTTGAGGGGGGTTTCTTGCTAAAAAAATTCATAAGTAGTGTTTTTTACAAGTGAGAGATAGTCAAGGAGAATTTTTTGCAATTCGCCCTTAAATATATTGACAGTAGAATATTATCAAAGGGTAAAAAAATTAATTATCAAATAGACGCGCGCGCGCCGGGGGGGGGGGTTGAATAGGTTTGTCTCCTGCTCACCAGTGTGCCTGAAATCTTTTCTGATTGAATATAAATTTGGTAGTGCCTAAAATCTTTTCTGATTGAATATAAATTTGGTATCAAATCTCATATTGACTGAAGAGAGAATTTGGTACCACCACCATGCTAGTAGCCTAATAGTACCAAGTCTTTACTTCTCAAAGAGAGGTCATGGGTTCGAGTTTCAGTGGAGGCAGGGGTGGCAATTCGTATTCGTGGGTTATGTTCGTGTCGTGTCAATGTAAGTTTATTCAACAGGTAAACGTATTAACCCGTTTAATGACATGTTTATCAAAACGAGACATTTAATATTTAATCAAATACTAAATAATAGAAAAAAATTGACATAAAATATTCAAAAAAAAAAAAAAAAAATCATAAAATTTATGTTGAAATGACTTAACTATCCATAGTAATTAGGTTTAAATAGGTAACATATTACATATGTTATATTCACGATTATAACATATTGAGTTAAATGGGTCATAAACGTGTTACATGGGTTGAACCCCTCAACTCTAACCCAATACGGTTAAGTAAACGGGTTAATCGTGTCGACCCTTTTATGACCCAAACCCGTTTATGCCAAATTCAAACTTTTTTAACTCGTCTCGTGTCATAATTTGCCACCCCTAGAGGCATGTGTGTGACCAACTAGAAAGAAAAAAAAAAAAAAAAAAAAAAAAAGGAGGAGAGAATTTGGTAATGTTTTTGCCGCATGGGCTTGGTGATGGTGGTAAGATAAGGGACTGGGTTCTAATATGTCCCGGTTTTGAGCTCTAACACACCTCCATTATAACCTTTGATTTAACCGGTACTGTCGTTGTGGGGCCAATTACAACACCCTCGATTTATAGTTTGGGATAAATCCAAAAGGCCTTACCCAAAGGAGTTTCAGGTTTCAAATAAAAATAATAATAATAATTTGACAATGTTTGGGTAACTTTAGAACCAAAGAGAGATAATTATGCTAGTCATGGGCTATAATGATTGTCACAGTCTGGAAAAGGAAGTGATTACGCAATTCTAAGGAAATTTACATTTGCACGTATCAATCAAAACACAAAAAAGTTTTATTATAACACTTTTTTGCAAAGATTATAGAACAAAAAATCTTAGGATTTTATGACAAAAAAACAGTTCTATAACAAGTTTGAAATTTAGTTGTGGTTGACTTTTTCAATTATGAATGTACATTACTTTCTTGTATTCGTTCTTAAAATATCAAAACAATATAAAAGTGCTAAACCACAAAATTTGCCAGTTTTCTTATCACACGTGTCAGCCCATATGCTTGATGGCACAAAATTTCCATGCACTCAGAGGTAAGGATAGCAAGATAATTGTCCACACTGTACTCTCCTTCCCTCTATATATCGGCCTCAACCACACTTTCACCTCTTCCTCATAAAACACCTCCCTCTCTCCCCCATTCTCTGTGAATTCCTCACTTTTCAGACTCACTGAGTCATGGCTCTCACACGTGCCATGCTTGCGGTAACCTTGTCACTCGCTCTCGTGGCATCATCATCACTTGCTCAATCTCCCACATATGCACCAACAGCCACCCCCATGCCTCCCACCGCCACTGCAACGCCACCTCCAATGGCCGCGAGCCCACCACCCATGGCTGCACCGCCTCCAACTACAATGCCCCCGTCGACAAGTGCTGTACCCCCCACCATGTCACCACCACCTACGATGACACCACCACCTACGATGACACCACCACCAATGATGATGACACCACCAACGATGACACCAACCATGTCCCCTCCAACCATGACCCCTAGCCCCTCCATAAGTTCCCCACCTGCACCCGCTATGCCAATGCCACCAATGAGCCCTCCTCCATCCCCAGGGCCTTCAATGAGCCCTCCTCCATCCCCAGGGCCTTCTTCGGGAGAGACACCGGCGCCCTCAACTCCTGGCTCAGGAGGCTTCATGAGTGGAAGTAGCATGGCCATGCTAGCTTTGTTCGGAGGACTTGCGATCCTTGTTTAAGATAGCTAGCGGTCATTGATTCAAAACTTTTACTTAAATTTGCTGTAGATTTATATAATTATTTGTGTATTCTTTTTTTCTTACTTCCATGGTTTCTCTCTTTAATTCTCTTTCATTTCCATTTTCATGGTTGATTTTTGGAGCTCCATTTGTGATTTGTGATGAAGACAAGGATGGTTGGAGATTTTTCAAATGTTACATCTCTTTTGTAGCATTTTGACCTTAGTTGAATAAGAAAGACTTTGTGATTCTTGTTTTTTTTTTGTTTGATCAATTGCTATATATCTATTTGTGTGTGTCTGATACAAATTTATCTTTTCAGTTCTAGACCACTTAAAACCAAATTGTTATCTTAGTTTTTTGTTTTTATTGACTCATTTGGCACATTAACTATGCTAACAAATTAAAACTATGTTGAACCACCAATGAGAGCTACTAGCCACACACACACACAAAATAAAGTAGGCATAAGGGTAGTTGGGAGTTGAGGGGGATATAGATGGAGGAGTGATGAGTGGATGTAATAGGGATAGTGGGGAGTGGAGAATGAGAGGAACAAAAAGTTAGGTGCAATGCAAGCTGGAGAGGAAAATTATGTGGATGAAAGGAAGGGTGGGAGTATATATATGCCTTTTGGACATGAGGAGGTGTCCTTTGGACTTTTCTGTGTGTGTGTGTGTGTGTTTGTGAGAGAGAGAGAGAGAGAGAGAGAGAGAGAAGATTAAAGGAGGAGGATGCTTTTAAGTGGTGGAGGGCTGAGTTGAGGATGGTTGGTAGTGGTGGGGTTAATCTGAGACAAAGGAAGATGAGCAAGACAGTGATATGCACATGGTGTGTTAACCCACAAAAGAGAGAGAGAGCCAAAAATTCTGACCTATATTTTATCGCAACATTAAATAACACACTTAACATTCCATTAAACATCTTGAGACACATAGTGATCTTTGTGAGACACATGATGATCAACCCCATCTCCTCCTAGAACCCTAAAAGCTTTCTACTTTCTAGTCAACTTTGAGTCTACCCAATGTTTAAAGTAATAAGAGCAGCTTCAACATTAATGAGTGATAGACACACTATAGTTATGAACCACCTGCAAATATATAATATTTAGTTCAACTAACAAGTCATGAATCATGATACACCATTAAAGAGTCTCTAAATGATAAATACTATGCAAGTAAGTTGGCATGTTGTGGTTGGCAACTGCTTGAACTGGTAAAAGAATTGATGCATTATATTTTTATTCTCTGGGGCCAAAGTTAAAAGGTTGTCTTTTCATGACATGTGATATAAAAAAAGGCATTGGATTCCATTTTAAAGGGTCCTAATGAGAATCAACAAACAACAGCTTTTTATCTTTGCCTTTTCTCTCTACAAGGACTGATAACTAAGTTGCATGCATGATTTGTGAATCTTCCACTTGCTAACCACTTTAATATAATCAGTAACTTTTTACTAAGCAGTCCCAAGTTAATTTGCAATTCTCTAAATTCTACAACATTACCTCTCTTTTTCCTATTTTAATTAAGTCATTTGTTTTCTTGGACTCAAGTATGGATCTGCTGTGTGTACTTGTCAAAAAAAGTACGGATCTGCTTTGTGGTTAACAATTAATATTTCACAATTTCTAAAAAATTTACTAATAATTTTTTATTCAAAACAATTGATAGTTAATAGTTGATTGCCCTTGTAGTTAACCTAAATGTGCTGATTTCTCAAGGAGACTATTTTTTTATTTAAATTTTCCCTAGCAAATTTAGGGATAGGAGACTCGAACACGAGCACACCTGCTCAGAGAGCTGGGCGCTCTACCAACTAGGCCACTGGTAATGCCCTCTCTAGTAGTCTATTTAATATATTTATTTTTGAATCATTTTATAAATGTCCTTGTAAGACCAAGCATCTTACAAACCAAGGTACAATTTATTAGGACATCTAAAAGGGCAAGCCTAAAAATCTCATCTTGATTGCAAGCCCAATTTCACCCTACCCTTTGTTCAACCCATATCCTTGAAACAGAGAACTGCCACCACACAACAATAGTGCAAAGGATACATGTATCAAGGAAAATGGTTAGCAGCAGTCACTGCCAAATAAACATGCATTCTGCTTCACTTTTGAACAGTTGAAGACTTGAGGTTAAAACAAGTATTGAAACTTGATTGAAACAAAGAAAAGCTAAAAAAAAGAGAGAAAAAAAAAACCCTAAACTGGAATGTTGAATTACCTCATGGACAAGTCCATTTCAACATCTAGAGCTCCATATCCAAATGCTTGGTTCTTTCCATAATGAATCTCTTTGAAGTTGAGGTAATCTGGGTTTCTGGGTTCCTACTTCCGCAGTATTTTCTTTTGCTAAATAACCTTTGATCCCTCACCATGATTCTATCACTTGAAAGTTGTATGAGCAGTATAGTTGTATAATCTATCTTTTCCTCTGTTTTCTACGACACTCGTAGCAATCAGTACATGGAGACTTATTTCTTCTTGAGTTGGCTTGGAGCTTGCTGGGTGGGATTTTCAGGTCTTCCACTAATATCCCGCGAAGCTTCTCATTTTCCTCCATAAGCTCCTCGATGACTTGCTGGTGTTTCAACACCTGGAAGTACATGGAATTTCATGTTTCAACAAATTTCAATTGAACAAAATACGGATTAACAAAAATCCTCCTGGGACTCTTATGGAAATAACCTCACTTTAATTAATTGGTCTGAAATTTAGTGAAAGAATATTTTTATGAGTTACATCAGTGAAAGAAGGATAACAAAGATGTAACATACCATCTGAAGCACGTTATTTTCTGACTGCAAGCGCCCAGCCTGCAATAGTAAACACCAATAATTTAGCATTTCATTTAATATTACACTTCATGATATTAACTTAAATAAACCAAAAAAAGGAGGGAAAAAAATAGGAAAACTTTCGAGTATTTTTATCCCATTGTGTTGCATATGATAATTGAGCATGATACTTAAAACTAAAATGGTATTTTACAAGTATGCTGACATGGAATCGTTTTACGTTGTCCATGAAATACAAATACGCAGCCATTCGAGTTCCAAATATTCTAATCAAATTGTTCAAGGAAATATCTAAATATAAGCAACATAAATGAATTTAAAAATGGCACTTCGGCAAAACAAACATGACAACATAATAAAGGTGGCAGCAAGCCTAGCAGGTAAAGTCTCTATGCAGTCATATCAAGACCTGGGACCGAGTCCTGCGGTTAAGGGGTTATTGGTAGGTGAAGGCCCACCATGCATTTTGTAGCCAAAGCTATTGGACCAAAAAATATCACAGCAAAATTGTAATCCCAAGTAAAAGCACGCTTCATCTGTTTCATGGAATGATTGGACAAGTGGAAGTTTCTGAAGTAAAGCACCACAACTTTGAAGGGAAAATCCAGGTTTGAAGTTAACATAAGTCTAAGCAACTAACAGAACTAATTAAAATCTGAGATCATGGTTTCTGAATCCCAATGTGAGGAGGATGTGATGGTAACAAATTTCAAACATCCGCAAAATGGTAATCGAACCAAAAAGTTCCATATGGATAGTTTTTATTTCTCCAAATGCAGTTTTCTCTTAATAGAGAAGATGATACGAAAGTAGGTAACAACTAGCATAACTGGTAAGTCTGTAGGTAGTTATAACAGATAATCAATTCTTTCCTTTATCTGACTTACTGTTAAAAAAAATCTTTCCTTTATCTGAGTTGGGGATACGGTAAGATAGAGGACTACACTCCATTAAAGTAGCCCATCCACAAATTAGAAAAAGAAAAATAAGATGTGCATGTCTATTAACAAAGAACAGTAGGTCTAGACTTATTTACTGCTCCTGCAACTTCTAGAGCTTCTAAAACCAATCAAGACTTGAATCAAAAACTTCTCAAAGCAACTAATGGCATGTTTTTTAAAGGTTGCGCAAGAAAGAGTGAATAAATTGTATTTACTAGAAAATTTTAACCTGACAACCATGCACTAGCCAAAATCTATGCATATAACATAAGACAAATATTCCATCTGAAATCAGAGTAGTGATAGAAACAGATATCTAGTCTCGTAAAGGCATAAGCAGTAACAAACGGCAGAAGCTTCCATGTGAAACTTGAGCACAATGCCGAGAAATGGAGTTCTAGACCTCTCAAAGCAGTTAAAATAACCTGCAAAATTTCTACAAAGCACCAAATGGAAAAACACGTATGCTTTGTCACATACCAGCTTGCTTAGTGCGCTGTCATCATCTTTCAAAATTGGATTCTGCATAAAACTGCCAATAACCTTTTCTGTTCGGCTTCCATATGAAGATTCTGGATAAGGGCTTTTTGATTCAAAATTTTCATAAGTAGAACCTGCATTTGAGTTTCCATCTTTCGCCAAGCCTTGAGATGTGTGGTCCTCTACTTTTGTTGCTGACTGCATAATACTTCCAATTGGATTATGGTTGGAGGGGTCATTTATCATGCTCATACCACCTTGCAGCGATGCTGGAAGGATGCCTTGACCGAGGGATGAGTTGGAAGAAATTCCAAACTTCATCATCATCTTTGTAACTGCTTGCTTTATGGTGATTCAATTTTAGATACATGAAAATGAAACCATAGCAGGTAATATAAATGTGATAAAAAGAAATGCTACGTACTACGAGGCAAGATTGAATTTGATTCACCACCCCAGGCTTCACAGCAAGACCTGCCAAGTGAACATATATGTTTTAGCTGTTAACATTCAGAATGTTAGATGTATTAGTGTTAGAGCATCTGATGCAGAAGAGAATTGAAAAGAATAGAACACAATTAAAGTAAAACCTAATCAATCGCTATTAAAAAGAAATGTCTAAAATTAAGGAAAATCCCTTAAGTCTATCTAAAACTTAGGTCTAAAAATTAATCCCTTGAGTCAACACAAAAAAATAAGTGCGCATGGCATGTTGCGCTTGGGCTCCATCATGATCTAGTCCAATTCTACAAGGGTTAGATAATTATTAGGAAATTTCTGGCATACATATAATAACACAAATGGATATTACAACATCAATATCATACATAAGACTCAAACAACATTCATTACTTCATCATACATACCAACCCCAAAACCATGGCCAAAACCAACTCCACATCCAATGCCAGCTTCAATATTCTTTGCTCCCAACTTCCTCAACTAAAATTGGAAAAAAGATAGTAACAAAGAGTAAGTTTTGAGGAGTCATAAAATTTAATTACAACATAAAAAACAATAATTCCACAAAAAACCCAGAGAACTAACATACGGAGGCATTAACATGTCCAGCGACACCAGATAAGGCAGATGTTGCACCTCCGGTAGCACTCATAACTTGGTTCAGTACTGGTATTGCACCTAATACATAATTTAAATCAAAATGAAAATATAAATAACATCATGTAAGCTTCTGGTGAATAGGTCTCTTTTTTTTTTTTATAAGTCTTCTGGTGAATAGTTGTCTTAATGAAGAAAAAACAACAACCTGAGCAACCCACTCACCATATCCAACTGACATATTCATAAATAAAATAATAATTACAAGGAAAAAAGTAGCTTTCCATTCCTTTATCTTGCAACAAAAATTTCATCAATAATCACAGCGTTGATGGAAAATATAAAACTAGATGAAGCAATAAAAGCTTTGAAATTCAATAAACAGACAATACCCATAATATTGAAAAAGGTCGAAGCTCCAGGGGCTCAAACTCATGGCACCTTATGTGGTATGATCACAAAATAGTATGACTATCAATGATACACCTTATTGCACAACTACTTTGGCTTGACTACATGAACTCAGTTATAACTTTCAACCTGATCCAGGGCTACATATTGGTCTTCTAAACCACCTCGACAAACATTCTTTTTGGTCTCCCTCTGTCCTTTTAGCCTTTTCAACTTAGTTCATGATAACTACTCACAAGTGCCACACTGGTCGTCCTCACTACAAGTCAAAGAAACCATTTTGAACGACATTCTCTCATCTCATCTTGGATCAATGCTATTTTCTTATGAATACTATCATTTCTCTTTCTATTTTTTAATGAGTATATCCACTCAACCAGTTCAACAACCTTGTCCCAGTTACATTTACCAAGTCAATTCTTATGACCATAAAGCCTAGCTACATAGCTGTTATATAAAAATTCTCCTTTGGAATTATTAACAGCTATTCAATAATTTAGAACACTCCATCAAACGATAAGTTTGCCAGAATACTCCACCTTGTCCTCAACTCATTGTTTGAGAAATTCAGTCTGATAAGTATGTTGCCCCAAGTCACATGCAACCAGCTTTTAAGATACATGCATTGTGTTATTCAGGAAAATATTCCAGTGATACGAGATCAATGAAACCCAACCACAATTTACCCTCAACATTAGTCGTACAAATAGGCAACAAATACACTTACAACTTGTTGGGTTACATTAGTCTAAATGTGTATAAGTCATTAGTTTTATATAACTTATATAAAATAGTATTCACGATCGAAGTTGACATGTACTAAAAACTTTATGAAGTACATGCATCAAATCTAATAAGTTAAAAAATAATATATATATATATATATATATATAGCTATTTTGTGTGCATTTGGGCATTCTATTATATTTCACCGACTTTCAAGTTCTTTGAACCCATTCCTTCGTCTAGTGCTTTTCAGCCCCTCCGTCATTCTATAATTCAAGCTCCAAAAACAACTGCTTGGCTTTCTATGTATTTTCCTTTATCAAATCTAGGGATTTATCTTTCTTAAACTACCTCCTTGATTAGATTTAAGCCCTATGGTGCCTTCATCTTTTTCTTGAAGGAAAAAAAAATATATATATATTTTATGATGTTCACTGTACCCCCGGCTCCATCACTGCTACAAAGAATTGATGCATAGAAATGTATGCCCTCTCACAAGTATTCATGATCTGTGGCAATGGGTTCAAATTTCTCAAACAACCATATTCTCAAAATAAATTGATATATGGAAACAAGCTTTCATAGATTAAATGATGTATATAATAACTTACAACGATCATTAATCTGTCTGATAATGAACCCATGGTGCCGTAATGTAAACCAAATGTTAAAACTTTAAAGATTGCTCATCTAGTTCTTGATTATTCCAACCAAACAGTAATTAACACGAAATTACATACATTCAATTCACAAAATTTGAAAATGCATATACATTTTCTAGCTAAAATTAAACACAGATACAATAAAGAAGTGCGACACAATAGAGCACATAATCATTAGCGGCTGAATTTAGGGGTTTCCCCATTTTTGGGTCTGATAATCAGTTTAAGTTCATATAGATAAAGATTTATACATATATACACATTATATATATATATATAGAGAGAGAGAGAGAGGGAGTATAAAGGTAATACCTAAATTCAAAGGACGACCAACACCGATACCAAGACCACAGCCGATGCCGAATCCGGTAAATACCTGACCCACTTTGAAAGTAAATGGATTCTCTATTCTCATTCTCTGTTTAGTAACAATCATAGTAGTGCCACTACCACTAATGTTATTCTCCATTCTTCAACCACAGCCCTCCTCTCTCTCTCTAAAACCCTAAAACCTCTCCGCACACCCTCTCTCTCTTAAAGCTCTTAAAGCCCACTTTTCTCTTCTCTTTCTGAAAGCTAAAGTACGACGATTTACAGTCGGGGAAGGGTCCTTGCACAAAGAAGACGCGTGGTGTAAGGTCGCGCGAGTCGTGAGTAGCTTTAATGGTTGAGAAACTAAATTACTAAATTAGCCCTACACTTTTTCCAAATGATATGGACATACCTTGTAGTCTTTGGGACTTAACCGCCGAGGAGATGTACCTACCCGTATTTCGTCAAATGAGACTAGTGGATGAGAATAATTTTTAGTCCACCTAATAATTCAACTCAAGAGGTACTTAATTACTTAGGTATGGTCACTCAACTTATCTTTGATAAAGTTTTTGAGTTAAGAATATAAAAGTTGCTTAGCGATGTGTTCAATTTTTGATTGTTGAAACCTGTATTATCTTGTCAAAAATATACACGGACTCTGTTTCTATTTGTGTAATACAAATTTAATTCGGGCTTATTCAAAGGTGAAACATTATCTTACAAACACGCAAAATTTATAAAAAAGAAAAATCTTACAAACATGCAAAATAATAAGCGCGTGCACAAGTTAAAAAATAAGCACACAAATTAAAATGAGTTCTACTTTCTTGATAAACATGCTCGTTTTTTGCACTTCACTTTGTTATTGAAGTAGTAAATTTAAATAGGCTCATTGAATATGGAGCATGCATTCTAGGATTAAGAATTTAGGATGTGGGCCTTTAAAATTAACTTCTAAGTTAAGAAAAATATTTTTTTTCATGAGTAATATATTAGGGTTAGGTTGTATAGTTCTTCCCTTTTTGTTAAGGTTTTGAAATAATAGAAGAATTAGGATTAAAAAAATATGTTAGGCTTATTTTTTGGGAGTTTGGTTTTTTTTTTTTTATTATTTAATTGAGGACTAAAAGGTTTAGGGATTAATAATTTTTGATATTCCAAATTTGCAGATTTCAATAGTTAATTATTTTGTAAATTTAAATGATATCTCAAAGACATTTAGGATATAAAAAAATAAATAAATAATTGAAAACGAAAGTATTAGATCAATTAGAAAGATTGATGGTTCGAAATATTATAGAGGTAAATAACATAATCGAATTGCATGAGAGCTAATGTAACAAATAATTTTACAATGAATTATGTATGTAACTGTGGTTTTATGATTTAAGTTCCAGCCAGCCACACACACACACGCACACACACACAGAGTGTGTGAGAAAAAAGAGAGCTAGAGAGAGTCAATATACATGAAATCACACATGATAAGTGGCAGATCATTCATTTATAAAACTAGGGCCAACAACCCTTAGAAAGCAATGTAAAACCAACTTAAACCCACATATTCAAACTGAACTAAAAGGGTGGTTATTATGACTATATTATATATGTATATGTCCACCAAAAACCCAATCAGATCTCCTTCTCATTAGGAATAGTTACAATTACATTCATTCCAGAAACACCCTCATCATGGGATGGAATTACCATAACAAGTCCTTCACCAGAAGCCGAATTAATCCAATATGAAAGTTGTTTAGGCTTATTCCCTGCATGAAAAGCAACTTCACTGGCTCCTAAATCATCCCAATTTGCACCAACGACTCCATTCACAACACTTGATGGCTTCTCAACTAGCCCTTGTTTGGAACATTTTCCAATCTTCAAATTTTCAGAGGCTAATTCTTTCACAAATAGAGAGAATTTCGAAGCCATTTTGACACTCAGCTCGCGCTCCACCTAGTCGATGCATAGCAATGCAACCGTCTTCTCCATATGTCGTTCATCATTCAAGTTGGAATTTTTAGTTGCAATTTTGAACATCATGCTTTGGCCACGGTCTTTAGAAGGGTTTGAGCCTATTATGTTGATGGGTGAACCACCACTTGGTTGGAGATTAGGGAGGTAAAATAGGGGTGTTTTGGGCATATCAGTTTTGGATACTATGTTCTTGTGAATATCAACCCATTTCTTGAGGAAACTTGTGATGACCAAAGGGTCTGCAACAAGAAGGCTGCAGCTAATCCCAATTGAGTATCCCCCACACTGGAAGTTAAGTCACCTGAAAAAACACAACTCCTCACTTATTGGCACATTAGATTATTCATCTATGAAAAGTTCTCAAAAATGAAAAATTATTTGCTATTTAGAGATACCGATTTTGTAGTATCCCAACCAATAACTACTTGTAATAGAGAGATACTGCATTGTCCGTGCTCTCACGGTATCCAAGACATTCACAATTGATATGGTCAAAAAAGTTACTGATTTGCAAAATGTTGCCCCAAGTGGACATTACTATTCACCAAAACTTGGAATGAAATTTACCTTACCTAGTACACATTATTTGTACATAATTAGTTTACTTACCTGAACATAACATAGTGGAGAGAACTGAGGATTTTGTTCATCAATGTCCTTCCAAAACACAAGCTCAGCCTCTGCCTCTTCTCTTGCCTTCAGCTCAAGAAACTCTGACAAGGTTTTCGGCATCCGTGCCTCGACCAATCTAATGCCACTGTCATTTGACACAACCTCGAGTTCTCCATTCCCTTCCTCCACACGGCGTAGCCTCCCGGCTAGTATTGGCTGCTGCAGCAATGCCATCCCTAGCGACTCCTTGGTCCATCCTGCCACCAACCAACCCAAATCCTCACCGGACTCCACCTCGTAGTATAGAATGATGTGATGGCACTGCCGGAAAATGCCGGAACCAAGAGGGCCTGCAACCGACACTCGGCGTGTCTGCCATGGATCGGTCACCTCCAATGGTGAAACAGACAGTGCGCCCTCAATGTGTGCTTTGGGGACCAAGTTGGTGGTGGTGCCATTGAGCATGCCACCTTGGGTAATTAACTTGAGAACAAGTTGCTCATTAGCAAACTACTTATAGAAGAAATCCTCCTCTAAAAAGTTTGCAAGATACATAAAATTAAATTAATGATTAAATACAAAATTGCCCTTATTTAATTTAATCATGCATTTCTTAACAGTTTTCCAACTTTTCCGGCATATTTAATTGAGGATTCTATCATGCATAGCAGGACTAGTATGCTGATATACCCAACTTCCTTCAGGAGTTGCACAAACAAATGGGAAATGACTTGGTTACACACAATTTAGTTATCTTTTTTGCCTTTTAATACACTGGTAATCAGACCAGAACTAATCTCTCTCAATGTTTATTTTAAAGTCATTTTTGCTTTCCTTTCAGAGACTAAGGTTATAGGGTGCTACCTACCAATGTTCCAAAAGGCAATATTTGTTTTCATATGGTGGGGGCACTTCTGGTTATTCATCATGGTAACATAAAAAAAAATACAAGGTTGGACGAACCCACAATATTATCCTATTCAAACACTATGAGAGAGATCATATTATCTGAACTAATACCCGTTGATTTGAAGTAAACTTACTTAGCTATCATTACCCCTTGTTTTTGTTTTTAAAAATTAATTTAGGCTTAACTATCTTTTGGTACCACCATTTGCATAAAGTGATTGTCCTCGTCTTTAGTGGATAATATTTTAGTTTTTATTTTTTTAACCTTGCAAGATACTCACACACTTATTTGTTCGGACTTAAATCACTGACCTTCTACTTTGAAAGACAAATAAATATCATTAGACGATAGATTAATAGATTTTGGTAAGATGCTTACATTTTAAAATACTACAATAGTGCCAGAATAATAGTAAAATAAATAATTTCTCACTTCAAAACTTCTAGTTTAGGCTAGTCCAAGCTTACAATTTAACATTTGGGCCTTAACCCTAGGCCCATAAGTAACCCTGTTGGATTTCAAACCCAATCTGCCTAGTTATTGGTGCAGCCATACCCATACGGGTATATTAGTAATTTCATGCATAACAGAATATAGACCCTTCAAAATCTTCCCGGGAAAAATCTCTTGGATACCAACCGTTGAAATCTACACCACTTGTTTCAAGCCCTCTTTCTCTCTCTCTCTCTCAAAATCAATACGAGTCACCATTGGCATCCATGGCTTCAACCTCTTCTACCCTTTTGCTTCTGAACTCTCCTCTCTCACCCACTTCTTCACTTCAACTCCAAACAAGAACAATTTCACAGACTCAATCTTGGTTTCCAATTCGAACCAGATCCAGACTCATCTGTCTATCGACCACCAATCCTCAATCCGATGTTCGAAAGGAAGATATAGTCGTCGTTGGGGCCGGAATTGCCGGATTGGCCACTGCAGTTTCACTACACAGGTCAGATTAAGCAAACCCTCAAAATTTTCAATGTTGATATGAACTTTGAATTGCTCAATTTGGGTTTTTTTTTGCTATTTTAAGGCTCGGAGTCCGGTCACTGGTGCTAGAGCAGTCGGAGTCACTTAGGTCCGGCGGAACGTCACTCACGCTGTTCAAGAATGGGTGGAGGGTATTGGATGCAATTGGAATTGGCAATCATCTGAGGCCCCAATTTCTTGAAATTGAAGGGTATGTTTTCTCATACTTTCAACTTTGAACTCTACTTATTTTAGCATATGTATTTATTGATCGTGAATCAATGGTGAGAATTAAGTTACCCAAGTGGCCATACCTTTCTTTTCCAATGTCATGCCAAAACCATTATCACTGTGCTTAAATGGGTGAGAGACTAAGTTCTTCAGCGACTCAAATATTTTCCACTGTTTTACATAATTACTCTCCAAACAAAAGCGATCCTTGTTTTTTTCTTAGGGTGGTTATTGTACCAAAATTTTTTTTTTTCACCACCTTCTTAACATCTATGTTAATTTAACTCGCTCCTATTGGGATGGGTTTGGAATCATTCTGAACGGCTTAGGGGCGAGCTTGGGAAAAGGGTTTATAACCCGCAAAGCCCCAAACCCGCCCTTATTAATAATTAATATATTAATAAATATTATTTTATTAGCTATAATTTTTCTTTTCTACTTCTTTTCTTATGATAATTTTAAATTTAACAACATTTTTGTTATTATGTGTCATTCCCCAAACATCATTTGGAAACCGTCCGAATAAAATCACCAAAAATCATTCAAAATCCACAAGGAATATATACATCAAGTCTTTAGAAGTCATAAATGAATTATATACAACAAGAGCATATAAATCACAAATTACGTTAATTTCTTCAAAATCAATTCACATAAGCATTTAAGCAAACACTAAGTGTACAAGACTAGATGGCCTTCCAACTATATGATTTCAGTCCCTTCAATTTCTATCCAAATGGTTATGAAAACCTACAAAATGGTAGGGTGAGACAAGATGTCGTAGTAGAAAATAACTATAACATGCATTGCTATGGGATTTCATAAACAAGGAGTATATATGCATATCATCATATAAATACCCAAGATAGCTTAAAAACTGAACAATGGATGCAAGAGAAGTTACTAGAATCAAAATAATCTAATCAGAGAACAAACTTTAGAGAGCAATTACAAAAGTTACAGCAGTTGTTTTCATGGCAACATCAAGAACTTGAAGGCACAAAATCAGCATAGCAACATAAGTTTTAATCCCTACCTTAAATTCGAAGGGAATGATCGAAATGAGTCTACGGTGGCGGTGGTCTTTCTTCTGCTTCTAAATGAAGCTTTTTCCTCTGCTTAATACTATGATATATATATATATATATATAGTACATTTGTGTGTGTGTGAGTAGCATTGTGTACGTTTGTTTTCTTCTCAAAATGACTAGCATATTGACACATGTAGACATACGTGTCTAGTGCTTAGTGTGTTGCTGGATAAACTAATTAATAATAATAAATGAAATATTTGGAAGTCTCCAGCAATAGTTCCTTCAGTTGATCCATAAAATGATACATATATATCATATAGAAACCAATTTACACACATTACATGTTGGCTGTCACCTATCCCACCAAAATCGGAGTCCCCACCACTAACTCAAATATATGGCTAAGTCTCCAAAAATAAGATTTCATAATTTCATACAAAATCCATTGAAACCCAAATCTTCAATAAAGGACTTAAAACTCTCAATTAATATGAACAAGAATCCAATTTTTATTTTATTTTATTTTATTTTATGAATACATCATAAACTTTTATTGAAGATGATGAAGGGATAGATACCGCAATGGAATTGTAATCAATTCCTTATGAATTTTGTGAGTTTGCTTGAAAACCAAAATATCTGATTGAATGTACATCATTAACTTATGTTAAATTCAATTTTGCTTCAAAACCGAACTATCTCATTGAAGTATGTTTGTCGTTACCTTACGTTAAACTCAATTCTTGGAATTGCATGGAGATCAAGAAAAGGTTGAATCCCCACACCACCTGTGGGGAGATCTAAAGAAAAATTTAAATAAACCTAAAAATATTGAGAATGCTTTTCTTCTTCTTCTTTTTTTCCATCAAAATATTATGAATGCTTAGTTTTATTATTTTACTGTATTTTTCCTTTTTCTGTTATTTTCTCAACTTTTTCATGGTATCAGCCGTGCAGGATGGTGGTAAAATCAGAAGATGGAAGGGATCTGCGCTCCTTTAGGTTCAAAGATGAAGATAAAAGGTAACAATTCTAGTTCTCTCAATGTTCTTGCTCACACTTCATCTCATGAAACTTCTCAATCACCAATTTAATTGATGGCACAGCCAAGAGGTGCGCGCTGTGGAGAGGAGAATACTTTTGGGAACACTTGCCGATCAACTTCCACCGGATTCCATCCGTTTTTCTTCAAAGCTGTTGAAGATTGAACGAACCGAATCCGGTGAAACTTTGCTGGAACTAACAGATGGGACACGTTTATCTGCCAAGGTCACTTCCTATACTTCTAATTTTTTGTGATAAAATAGCAATCACAGCTTAATCTAGACGTCTCAATCTGGAGCTTTGGTATCACTAGCTGCTTACTTGCTACATTTCAATTAAGTTCTAGAAAATTATCTCTTAAATCTGAAATCAGTAATACGTGGCCTTGCATTACCAAACTGTAGTCAAGTACTGCTAAATTGAAAGTCATTCTATGGTATATATGGTAGTCATATTTTTGCAGAGTATTAATTGAAATTTAATGAACGTTCTTATTTCAAAATCCTGATTTTCAACTTCACAACTTCGGACAGATTGTAATTGGTTGTGATGGAATCCGGTCTCCAGTGGCAAAGTGGATGGGGTTCTCTGAGCCTAAGTATGTAGGGCATTGTGCTTTCCGTGGACTTGGATTTTACCCGGATGGACAGCCATTCGGACCAAAAGTTGACTACATCTATGGAAGGGGTGTGCGTGCAGGATTTGTTCCGGTTTCTCCAACAAAAGTTTATTGGTTCATCTGCTTCAACAGTTCATCTCCAGGTCTGCTATAGTGCTATACCAAGTCCTAGACATGATAGTATATTGGATAGTTTTTGGGAAGCTTTTCATATATGTTACTACCTTTTACTGAACTTGTCCTAGTGCAGGTCCAAAGATCACTGATCCATCTGTGTTGAAGAAGCAAGCTGTGGAACTAGTACAAAAATGGCCCTCAGAGCTACTAAACATAATCGATACTACCCCAGATGACACAATCATTAGAACTCCCCTTGTAGACCGGTGGCTGTGGCCAACCATAAGCCCTCCGGCCTCAGCAGGCAGAGTTGTGCTGGTTGGTGATGCGTGGCACCCAATGACTCCCAACCTCGGCCAAGGTGCTTGTTGTGCATTAGAGGACGCCGTGGTTCTGGCAAGAAAGCTTGCTAGTGCACTCAATTCAGGACCTGCAACCGTGGAAGATGCTCTCAGCTCTTATGGAAGCGAAAGATGGCCTCGCATATTTCCTTTAACCATACGTGCAAACCTTGTTGGAACGCTTCTGCAATGGGATAATCCAGTGGTGTGTTCTGTTCGGAACAATGTTGTCATACCCAAGCTAGTTCAGGTTGGACCTTTATTGGAACATACAAATTTTGATTGTGAGCCTCTATAGTGTATACTCAGGTTTTAGATTACTGCAGGATGACTAGAAAGTTCGTGCCATCCTAATTGCCATTGGAACCCTTGTTTTTCTGCATTTTGACATACCTCTATAAGTTTGCTTGGTTCTACAAATACAAGTATATATCTTTACAATTATAACAATAGACATTTCGTATATGATTAAATTAGGTCTGTCTGAGCTTTCTATGTTGTAATAATACAGACCTTGCTTGTTGAGAGCATGTCTTTTGCTGGAATGAGCAACAATACAAATCACTTTGGCATAGGGAGCATAGGTTATAAGGTGGTCTGACCTGTGTGGAAGAGTGTAGTGAAATGTGCCAAAGCTTGTGAGGCATGATCATGAACATCTTTACATTAGTATATATATTAGAGTCCAGTGAAACATGCTGCAAGGAGATGACCATCTCTTAACCTAAATTTCAATTCAACCTCTTATTTATGCATTGTAACATATGTAATATATTGTAAGGGTCATGGTTTGTACAATTGTTAAAAAAGTAAAAATATCCGTTGACAAGCTTGACAAAGAAAGTAAGTTTTAGAGACAGTGTGACGAAGGTTAAGTCTGCATTCAGTCTACTACTTTCAATGCTGTCGATTATCGAAAATCACATTGAATAACAACCCTTTTTATTTTACCCAAATCATAAGCACGGGTATAGTTGCAATCATAAAATCATATATGTACATGTACTTTTCATGATGGAAAAAACACACGAGCTTTTGTAATCAAACTTGGAATATGACATTCTACTTTATTTAATAGTTCGTCGTATCGTCCGATCCGCGACCTTTTTTAAGTCCGATACGCAATTTGTATCGGCCAGTTTACACTGACTTTGTCTGAGTTCGTTTACACCGCGACTGTGACCGATATTACGAATCTTGATTTTAACTTTCACCTTACTAAGTCTAATAGGTGACGGGTAGAGAGTTGGGTGAGAGTAGAGAGAGAAGTCAGAATTGTTAATACAAAATCCACATAAATAAGAAAGTCCATACTATAATTACATAATCTTTGTCATCCCAACTAATTGCATTTTTCTAGTATACTCTCTATATATCTTCAAGTATTTCAACCAATTTGATTTGTCTAACCATAAAACGTAATCATCTTTGCTAATCAGTAATCAACCTTCTACCAAAATTCATTATATAATGCCATTATGCACTTCTAAAAATTAGAGAATTCTTCAATAACTTGTAATGCAACTATTAACTAATACCACAAGAATGATACATGTAGAAAATGCTAGAAAATTTTATGTTGGTAGCATACAAAATGTGATTATATGTGTGTGTATATTAAATATATAATTATTTCAATAATTAAAAGTGACGGAGTTAACTCTAACGAATTCGTCTAGTTGAAAAATACTTAGGTACTAATGCCTCATGAATAATGAAGCATCAAATTTAGTAAAAAAATAATAATAAATAAATAAATAAATAAATAAATAAGTGACGGAGTTCAATGATTTTTAATTACTTGATCTATTATTCTAACTGAACCTCTTTACCTAATAAAAATGGACCTATACGAATATATTAATTATCACAAAAATAAAGTATTAAGCTCTATGGTTGAGACCCATCTAATATATATATATTTAGAATTCAAACAAGCAAATAATTTATTAAAATTTTCTTTTGCCAAAGTGTGACCTCTTTATGTGAAAGAGAAGGCAGTCCATTGAGTCAATTTGGGAGATGGATTCCAATATGATCTAATAGCACCTCATCATCGCGTGGATACGTACACGTAAATTGAGCCAGCTAAGGAAACACTGGATATCCTCATCTATGTGGCAACTGCACTTTATAATTAATTACTCTATTATTTATTATTATTATTATTATTATTATTATTTTGGTTCAATCATAATTAGTTCTTCAACCATATGACTTAAACACCCTTTTATGCTCCCATTCTGAAGTTTTATTATTTTTATTTTTCCCTTCTAAACTAAACTCGATCAACTTAAACTATATTAATTGTATTTAACAATAATATGTTGAAATAATTTCTAAACTCCAATTTCATACTATAAAACATTGCTTCCTGATTTTTCAATTTCTATCTTTTGTCTTAAATTACATAAATGTATAAAATAGAAATTAAATTTAGCAAAATGACACACTCCAATTGTGTACTTTTGTATTATAAGTTATTATAAATGACGCAATTGTCCTTCAAAAAACACTCTTACTACAACCTAAAATTGGAGCAAATTCATAATTCACAATCAGAGAATCTCGAATATGATCTTGTGGATTGATCTATATCCAATTCATATAAAACAAGATACTACAGAAGTAAAATATGCTTTGTTTGGATTAGTTTTCAATTTTAACCTTAAAATTTTCATGCTTGCATCTATTATGAAGATTAAATACCCAACCCAATTTGAAAGTGGAATAAAAAATATTAAAATGAACTTTATTTAGATCAAATTTCGAGCCAAGTTAACTTCATTTTATGTCGTTATAATTATTCCAATAGTACTTAATTATAAAAATCAAATTGAGTGTAAAAATACTAAATTGCAACAAATATCACATATTAAAATTTATTATTTACAGGGAGCTGAGTAATCCAGTTAGTAAAAACACTTCTTGAATTAAAAATTTTAAATTATTAGATAGTGCATCATACTCATCACATTTATACTCATTTTACTCTTCATTTGAATCGGATATAAAACACCTTTAATATTCTCTCTCGTCTGAACTCGCAACACTCTAATTGTGTCGAACCACCTATCCGGGATGACAACTCGGATTCTTCCGGATCGTAAACTTGACGTGACACCAAATAAGTCTCACTCTAATACCAATTATAAGGACCAATCGCAACAAGTAGAAATTGTAATAAGTATGACTCCAATACCCGTTATCGAATCTTTTCTAGTTTGCCAAGGAAAACAAACAAAAAAACAAACCACATACATAAATGAAAAAATTGTCGTGGCATGTCATGTCAAGTAACTCACAACAATGAAACAACAAAAGGCTCTTTCTGTAATTTCACAGGTGACGACGCGTAGCGAACAGTATTTGCTCTTCCTACGTCAACCCCCGCCCTACACAACTGACAATTCCGACATTTTTCGTCTCCTGAAAGAATTGGGAGTTTCTCTCTATATATATCTCATATTCCGGCGACGATCTTTATCCCGGTTAATTTTTTCCTTAAAATTTATAAAACTCAGGCATATTCATCGTCCTTGTTTAGGTCAATCGATTTCAACTTAGTACAGCCATGAATCCTGAATAGTAAGTTCGCATAATCTTTTTTTTTTTTTTTAAATTTGATTTTTAATTTTGAATCAAAACCATTAAAAATGGATAATTTATTCTTAATTTTGTTAAATTCAGTAGGTGTTTGATATAATTTATTTAGATTTGTTATGTTTTTGATAGATACATCTTGATATATATATATATATATTTCTTTTGGTTCTATGCTCGTTTTTGGTAACTTCCTTACGGTTTTGATAATTAGGTTTTTATTCTTGTTTTTTATGCTTTTTAAGGGGATTTGATTTGACTACATAGATCTACAGAGTTTAGTTTCAGATCCACTGACCGATTATAGTAAAATGTATTGGGTATGATTGAAACATATAATTCTATGTATTGATCACTCAATGAATAATAAAATCTTTCTGGATGCTGCGAATTCCCTATGCAAAATATTCTGTCGGGATATATGGAGAATATGGCTGAAACTCGGGTAAAAGTAAGATTTTTGTTTTTTAGGAAAAAATAAAAAATAAAAAACTATTTTTTTATTATTTAATTTAAAAATCTAGAAAATATTTTCAACAAGTTTGTTTAAAGGTAATCTGAACAATTGAAATTTTTGAAATTTCAATGTATATGAATATGGCTGCCCAAACCCATTCAGATATTGGTGTCGAGGAATAATGTTACATCGTCATTCGTCAATAGATAATTTGCTTTAACATGTAGCATGAATCTCTACACTCACACTGGAAGAGAATGTTTACACCCACTTCTTCTGAACTAAATAGGTTGAAACAATCACTCAGCTATTGATTGTGGAAGGTAGTATACATACTTGGATGGATATTTTGGTATGAAGGTCAACCAAATTGTGGTTTTTATCTTCTTCTTTTTTTATAATTAATTAAAAAGGGAATTGTTGATGCATATAAAGTGCTTGATAAATAAACCTGAGAATACTCCTTTGAATACAGTAATGAAAGATATCCAGTATGTTAAGCAGATGCATATTCATAGAAAGAATCACTCCTGTAGCTTCTTCTTCCTTTTTTTTCTGTTAAAGTATTGCAATCCTGTTGGTTATTTAGTATTCAAGCCTCATTGTATTGGACAAGAGATGAAGGGGATTGTGCAAAAAAGACTCTCAAGGTTGTATTTTTCTCAGGAAAAGTTTAATAAATCTGATCGGTTTACCATAAATAAATAAATAAAATAAAGAATGAATTGTTAATGTGTTATTGCGTGAATATATGTTAACTGATATTTTTTCCAATATGAAATGTTAAAAAAGGGATTTTTTTTTTTTTTAAAACCAGGATTTCTGGTTATTATTGAAATTTAGGCATTTCTAGATTGAAAGTGAAGATGTACTCTTGTATCATCTACACATGAACAATTTTTAGATTGCTTTATTTCCAAAGATTCTACTTTTGTCTTTGTTTTGAATAACATGTTGGATTGTTGACTCTCATTTTTTTTATTTAATTTATTTGGAACAACGAGAGGGAAAAAGAGATAGATTATAGAATGTATGTACATTGTTTTCTGCATAATTTTTCACATTTTATTTTTCTTTATGAAGGCACATTTTCACTTCTCTTCATTTAAGAAATTATCTTTATACAAATATTTTGGTCTCTTGTGTGCAAATTTGTAGCGACTACCTGTTTAAGCTTTTGCTCATTGGAGATTCAGGTGTTGGCAAATCATGTCTCCTTTTGAGGTTTGCTGTAAGTTCGTAGTTCTTATATCTCTTTTTCTTTTCTTTTATGGACATATTAATGTATTAGAATGTTTTTTACCTTTATTTCATTCCCTTATCCTACAATGCAATTCTTTAGCAATTGTTATATAGTTTTTGAATGCTGTCACTTCATAACGTGTTTTATTAGTTCCCAGTTTTCTGCAGGAAATAGTTTCCATAAACAGTGTTATTACTTATGGCTACTTAGGGACCAGAAGTAATATGTTCTGATTTTGTTTGGGAAACAACTTCATTTAATGTATAAGCATAATTTGAGTTGTAGTTTTGTTCATTGAACAGAATTCCCATCATAAACTGTGATTGATAAATCTTCTCTTTCACCATGTCTATTTTTTTGTACTATCTATAGCCGAATCTTTTATGATTCATGTTCAAGACTTAGGAATTCATATAGTTGACAATTTGGAGGAACTAAGCTTGGTTAACAATGGTATAGCCTAATAATTAATAATTGTTTCAGAGAAATCCCATATATTATAATTCTGTTAACTATGGTATAGCCTAATAATTAATCATTGTTTCAGAGAAATCCTATATATAATAATTCTTAGAATGGAAATATTTGTAGAACTGCAAACTCACATTGATTATTTTTATATTTATAATATTTTCTCGCATGCCATATTTTGTCCTATGAAATGCATACCAATCAATTATAACTAGACAGGTTGCCTTCAGCATTTAAGTTAACAATTACTATATTTTTAGAGTTATAATTTCCATTTCCTTTTTGCTTGAGTTAGCGGACACAAGATATATAGTCTTTGGAATTTGAAAATATTGTGAATAACATGTCTCATCATTTGCTTTTGTGCAGGATAAAAACAGTTTGGCCAATCACAACTAAAAAAAAATTAACTTCTAATTATTTTACTAATTTAATTATAAGATTTTATCTATTACCACGAAGTTTAAGTGGTATCTTCCCCTCTTTTCAAATGGAAGATTGAGGCTTCAAGTCCGGTTAGGGACAATAGTGGATCTTGAGCAACTTACCTGCAATTTTTTTTTTAATTAATTATTGATAGAATTAGTTTAATAGAAATTTTTAATAATTCTATTAGTTTAACAAATTAATAGGATTATCGAATATTAATTTAGTGCCTCTACATCTATTTTAATTTAATAAATTAGGCCCCAATAATCCTTAATTATTAGAGAGTCAATTGTATTTGAAAAGGAACTGGTGGGGTGTACATTGGAGGGGTGGATATAATGAGGTTTATGACTACATCAGTTTTATAGTAGTAATTAATATTGACTAGTAATAACTTCCGAACAAGTGTAATTTTAATATGGATAGCCAAGGTGTCTTAGTGAAGTTTTTTACCAGGTGAAATTACAGTTCCTTGTGAGTTCTGACAATGCTTCAATTTCAGTGTTGTGAAAATGTAGTTTTCTAGTAATTGAAGTTTTCTGGTCTTCACGTGCCCAAATTCAGTGCAACATAAATAGTTTTGATTAAGATGTATACTCATCCCCTAACCAACTTGTTTTTATGGTTTTCCAGGATGATTCATATCTTGATAGTTACATTAGCACCATCGGTGTTGACTTTGTAAGCAATCATTTCTAATGCCCTTGGCTTTAGCTTACTTACTGGTCAATCTAATGTAAATGTTCACTAAATATTGTGTGTTTTTTTTTATAATGTAGAAAATCCGCACTGTAGAACAGGATGGAAAAACCATTAAGCTCCAAATTGTAAGTTTTTGGTTTGCCTTTGTTCTGCTTCAAGTGCTGTACGGATTTCGATTTCATATTCATGATCACATGTATATGGTTTCTACCGTCTTTGGCACCTTTATTGAATTGGCTATTGGTTCAAATAAATTTTTGGGTTGAATTATGTTCTTTTGTTGATATGAGGGGTTTGTTTGGTTAGACGGAAATTAGTAATGGAAAGTAATAGTAAAAGAAAGTGAAGTGGAAAAGAGGAAAAAGTTTCCAATATGCATATGGTGAGCATGAAAAAATTTCAGGAATTTTTTGGAAAAATATTATTTTGTTAGTTTAGATAGCATGAAAGTGAAAAGAAAATGATTGTAAAAAACTACCCTTGTGATTTCAAATACTAGAAAAATAAATGAATTTGTGTATCAATCATCTTTATACCCAATTGTATATATTTAATTTTGGCAAAAAAAAAAAAAGGTTAAATGTTGGATTATTAAAATTAATGATATATAATTCAATAGATAATTGAGGAATTAGAATCCATTTGGATAATTTCCCAATCAATAACTTTTGCACTTTGGACTCTTAAGTATATTATCTGCATGGACAATTATCTGTAACCTTCTCACTTGGACTCTAATTCTCCAATGAGTAATGCTATCATGAGAGCCCTCTCATTGTCAGCTCTCCTTGTCTAATCAATGAATTGAAAGATTTATTAAATAACTTATTTGAATTTTAACACATCTCAAAAGATTGTCTCAATCCAATGGTTAAATAAGGAGAGCTTGTGCCTCTTGTCATGAGAGGGCTCTCATGATAGCTTACTCTTCTCCAATTGTCTTTCTCAGAAATGATTACTGGATCGCTTCATTGGGGAATTTATTGCTGAAGAAGAGGAAGATGTGTTTATTGTGTATATATTATATAATGCTCTAAACAAATACTTAATATATATATATATATATATATATATATATGTAGGTATGTATCTATTACCGAAGAAGAGGAAGATGGTGAAAAGAGAAAAGAAAAATAACTTTAGGGACATAATAGAAAACTAAAATATAAAGGCCCAACTTTTGTGAGAAACTAAATTTTTTGTGTGTTTTATACGAAAATGTTTTGGGGAAAAATCAACCACTTGCGAGAATGCAAGAATTCTAATTTCCTAAAAAACTTCCTTTTCATCCTATCCAAACTCATAAAACATTTAAATATTTCCATTTTTTTTTCCTTTCCTGCTACTTCTATCTAACCAAACGAACCCATGGATTTTTATTTCAGTTTCACTATTGATGAAACTTCTGATCTAGATTTTCTTGAAATCCCTAGTTAAGGAAATTTCCTCTCATGTTGAAACAGTACTGAAAATTTTATGAAGGCATAAGTGCAAAATTAGTAATTTGAAAGATGGTTCTAGGCTTCTAGCTTGAACAAAATCTAGAAATAGACATCAAGGGCTTAGCTTAAGTAGTATTTCTTCCCCCTTTGAAATTGAAGGTTGAGTGTTTGAGTCCCAATGAGACAATAATGGGTGAGTTTGTGCAACTTATCTACCAAACAAAAAAATTAAAAATCTTGAAATACACCATATTTTCACAATGGAATCTTACTTTAATGACTTCATTTTTTCTTTGGAGCCTGGATTTGTTGTGACGTTTTGAACATGGTGTCATGTCTCTGTTATTATGTTGTTGCTCACAACTCTATCAACCCTTGCTGCTTTTCTCTGGTCATGCAGTGGGACACAGCTGGACAAGAACGTTTTAGGACAATTACTAGCAGTTACTACAGGGGGGCACACGGCATTATTGTAAGTAATGCCTTTTCTCTTTTGTTTAGCGTCACCCCTCCCTGAGTGTTTTCTTTTGCAAGGAAGAAATGTTTTTATGACATCTTTCTGACAGGTGGTTTATGATGTGACGGATCAAGAGAGCTTCAACAATGTTAAAACATGGTTGAATGAAATTGATCGTTATGCAAGTGAAAATGTAAATAAGCTTCTAGTTGGAAACAAGTGTGACCTCACAGCGCAAAAGGTCGTGTCCTATGAGACAGCAAAGGTAATCCTAGTCACCTTTATGTTTTGTATTTTTTTTGTCGTTAATGGAGCTCTTTGACTTGTCCCTTACTGTCTGGATTTTGTGCCTTCTGTGGTCAGGCATTTGCTGATGAATTAGGTATCCCTTTCATGGAAACAAGTGCTAAAAGTTCCACGAACGTGGAACAAGCTTTTATGGCTATGGCTGCTGAAATCAAGAACAGGTGTTGTAGTTTTGTGGTTTTTATGATGGATTAAAGAAATGTGCAAAACTTAAAGATGAAAATTACCATAGAGATCTGCTAATCTCCTTTACGTCGTACCCTTTTTTTTCTATATTCCTGAATTGATCGGTCTCTCTCATATTTTGATTTTTCAATACAGGATGGCAAGCCAACCAGCCATGAACAATGCTAGGCCTCAGACAGTGCAAATCCGAGGACAACCCGTCAACCAAAAAACTGGTTGCTGCTCTTCTTGATGGACAAAGTGTTGCACAGCTAATAATGCCTAGATGTGTACTACATGGAATGTAAAACTAGTGTTTTTTTTTTTTTTTTTTTTTAGTGGTTTGATATGAATTAGACTTCCGTCATGATATGCTTTCCTTGTCCTTGGAACCCTCCATTATTTTCTATGTATTTTGTTTTTAAAGAACATCTGTGTACAAAGTAGGAACCGTGGTGAATAGCAGTATCTACTTTTGCTCTTCCCCCTCTCATTTAAGTTCCATATTGCTTGGAGTCTCCATGCATGGATGCTGGCAATAATTGAATAATCCCATTATGATTGAAATTTCTATGAAAACTTCATTTATCAGGTGATATAGAAGAAATTGGTGGCTTTTGAATGTCTTTGGATGCAAATCTATATTTCAACTTCAATCTTACAATTTCAGACTTGCCTAACTTGTTCGAGGGCAATTTGGTTTCAAAGAGAGGAGATCCGAACTGGATATCCCCATGAAAAGGAGGCAGTTTGGCTTTTGAATGTGTTTTATGGCAGGTGCCGATTTGGTGCTTCCAAAAGCAACATAAATTTAACCTAATGTTTTAGGTTCTATTGTGTTATAAAATATATCTCTGCAGTCTCTAACCTTCAATTTCGTAAATTTATGGGTTAAATGAGCTGTGAAGATGTGTTAGGAGTGTAGAGTGTATAGGAACCAAACTTTTGTATTCTATTTTAATATTATTACTGAATAACTTGGCATGCTAATTTTCATAAATACGATCCTAGAAACCATTAATAACTTGAAAATAACACCACTGATAAAATATCTTATTCGGAAATGCAATGCAAATAAAGAATATTTTGCTTGATGTTCAACAGAATTACATTGATGCGTATCAATTGGTTTTTAGGACGAGGATATAAACTGATCTGTATCATAGAGCTAGGCATCAGAACATTGCTATTCGTTCACATTAATTTTGAATCCTCATCTGGATTCAGACTAGACCATCTTTCTTGCAATGTCAAATATGACTCTGGTGTTGGAAAAGACTTCAAAAACTATCGCATATTGCAGGCTTACCAATAATCACCACAGGAACAGATGCCATCTTTGAAATGATGAAACCTTGTGGTATCTCTCACAATGATTTCCCTCCCTTCTAATACTGATATGTACTTTATGGCACGGTGGCAATCGCCACATATTCTCAAGTTCTTGAACACCCGGATTGGAAACCCTAGGGGGATTCTGATCAGCCCAAAAGCAATTGCAAGTTTCTCACTGTGCCATAATAGGAGTTGTTCTTTTTGCTCTTCCCCCACGTCATGCAATGCAAAATCAAGGTCTGGCACATAGCCTGCCAACTTCATCTTCATCTCCAACTTTTTCAATTTTTCATGTATCGATGCCAGCTCTGGGTGAACCCTATCACATGATCTAAATTCATGAACTTCACTCATTATCTCAATCCAACTATAGCCCGGTGTTTTCACAACTTCATTGTTCTTCATAGATCGTCGAACCCTAGCAACATGGTCCCATCTGTTCATTGCAGCATAAACGTTAGCAAGCTGAACATAAGCAGCTGCACTTGTAGGATCGAGACTAAGCAATTTCTTGGCAGCAAACTCAGCCAGCTCCATGTTCTTGTGAACCCTACAAGCACCCAAAAGGGTTCCATATATAGCAGAATGCGGCTTGAAAGGCATTTTGTTTATCAAATATATGGCTTCGCCTAGCTTGCCTGCTCGACCAAGAAGATCAACCATACACGTATAGTGCTCCGGCCTGGCTTCAACTCCATAATCCTTTGTCATTGAATCAAAATACTGAACACCAAGATTTACCAACCCTGCATGGTTACAAGCTGATAAAACTCCAACAAAGGTAATCCAATCTGGCTTGACTCCCTTATTTCTCATCTCATCAAACAAGCTAAGAGCTTTTTCACCAGCACCATGTTGAGCATATCCTGAAATCATAGAGTTCCATGTAACAACATCTCTACGTGGCATCTCACGAAACAATTTTAGTGCATCCTCCAAATCTCCACACTTACAATACATGCTAATCAACGAAGTCCCAACTGTTGTATCATAAATTAATGGAGATTTGTAAACGAGCTGATGAACTTGCTTACCCAACTTCAATGCAGATAAATTGCTACAACCCAGTAGGAGGCTACTCAAGCTTGATGGATTTGGCTTGACCTCTGACTCCAACATTGTCCTGAAAAGCTTCAAACCATCCTCTGCTCGACAATTTTCAACATAACCTGCAATCATAGCATTCCATGTGACCAAATTCTTTGCGGGCATCTCTTTAAACATTTTCTCCGCCAATTCAACCTTCCCGAATTTCATATACCCAGTTATCAATGCAGTACAAGCAATTACACTCTTAACCGGAGCAACTTGAAACAACTCGACTGCTGAATCCAAATCTCCCGATTCCACATACCCCGATATCATTGCATTCCACGAGACACTATTTCTCTCCGGCATGACTGAAAACAACTCTCGGGCTTTGCCCATCATCCCATTCTGAGAAAGCCCCGAAATCATGGTATTCCAAGACGCTGTGTCCTTAACCGGCATCGAATCAAATAAAGTCCAAGCGGCTCCAATATCAGCATTATGTGTATAACAAGCTAACATTGTGTTGTATGAAACAGTGTCTGGTTCAGGAATTCTATCAAACAGTTGGCGGGCTTCTTTAACCTTCCCGGGCTTTTTTGAATACCCGGCCAAGATTGAATTCCATGAAATTGTAGTCCTTACAGTCATGTTTTCGAACACGCCGAGGGCTGATTCCAAATCACCTGATCGAATATAATTGGTGATCGTCCTGTTCGATGAAAAGACATCACTGAACATGCATTGATCAGATGTTGTGCATTTGTTTGATACATGGGTTGTTCTGCGCAGAGTTGGTGGTGAAATTGTCATGTTACTGGCGGGAACCAAGTGGGTTTTTTGTGGTGAGGATGAAGAAGAAGTGGGAGGAAGGGTTTGTAAGTTTGAGTTGGCATCTGGGTCGAGAAATGTGAGAGTGGAAAAACAGTAATTTTGGTGTTTGGGTTGAGGGAAAGTTGCGAGGAAGGCTAAGGAATGATGGTTCCGCTTACTAGTTCTAAGATGATTATGATACATTTGTCATGGTTGGAAGAGACAGAATGTTGTGTCAAAACTAGGACAAATGACTCGTTTAGGTTATAAAGTTGAAATAGAAATGGAACATCTTCCTCACACACAAAAAAAAAAAAAAAAAAAAAAAAAAAAAAAAAAAACTTATTTAAACTGTTCTTTGTTCACTCCCAAATTTGTAAATAATGGATCCCACTATTTATCTGCACATCCCAATCGTTCAACTCAAACTTAATAAAGTGGGCTCGAATCGCTTGATAATTTTGGTTTGAGTTTGAGTTTTGAGAAAGTTTAATTCAAAATTTTTAATTTAATTTCTTTTAATTTCAAATTCAAATCGGATTCAATACTCCCAAACATAATACAGCCGAATTTAAAAGAAACTTTTTTCTAATTTCACTAATATTCTAAGATTCTAAAGAAACTTTTCTCTAATTTCACTAATATTCTAAGGCTCTAATTTCTCTAATTTCACTAATATTCTAAGATTCTAAAGAAACTTTTCTCTAATTTCACAAATATTTTAAAGAAACTTTTCTCTAATTTCACTAATATTCTAAGACTCTAATTTCATGCAACCGGGTATAATTTCCTTAACTCCAAATTCAAAACAATGCTTCGGTACTCACAATATCAAAGTGTATTTGATATGAAACGAATTTAAAGGGTACTCACAATATCAAGTGTATTTGATATGAAACGAATTTAAAGTACTACGGAGTATTTTAAAAAATAAGTTTCGGACCATTGTCAGGACTCAGGTACTAATAATTTTCTTATAAAAAAATATCATTCTTGTTTATTTTTTTAATTCCTATTTAGAATCACCACAAGAACGCTATTAATTTTAGTAGTTCTTTTAATAACCAAGCTACGGAATTTCAAAAACCTAAAAGAGCATGGGGCATACATTTTGCAAAACGCAGTAATTGCCAACACATTCACAGGATGATCAATACCAGACATCCTCATTTGGAGAGGACGGCATATAACTGGACTATCGGTAACGAAAAATATACAGATGTTAACAAAGAAATCAGGCACCAGTGGCCGTCTTTCAACCTCCTTAGATCATGCTAAAACTTGCAGCTAACCTTTATTGATTTCTTTCTTAACAAAGCACTTGAGTGAAAAAATTCAGTAAGAACCAAATCGGTTAATTAGAAACAGAATAAGTGGGATATCAGAGTAACATACTCATGGACTCGGACATGTAATCACAGGTTTAGAGAACAGTGTACTACGTAAAACTAGGCCAATATAGTCCAAAGTTGAACAAGTGTGAAGAAACACTCCCTCACATCCAACCAGTTTTCCCAACAATTGGGCGAGCGAGAAAGAAATATATTAGGTGAAGAACGAGAAACCCAAAGGAGAGCAAGTGACAGAAAAAAAAAAGAAAAAAAACTTGCATGTCACAGGTCATCTGAAAAGAGACAACAGTTCTTAACAATATATCAATATCCAAAACAAAAATGACCCCACAAGATAATCCGAGATATAAAAATAGCCCCTAACACTAAATTTGTTCGATGAAAGAGTATCCATGAAAATTCAACATCAAGATGAAACTATGGGCACAAACCCACAGAAAACATCTTAAATTTACACTCTTTAACTGCATGTAAGTTTTAAGACAATTTGGTACAGAACACAATGGACCTGTGAATATCCTGCCTCTGATGAGCCCTCAAGGGTCAGTCATATTTCCCAACAAAAGAGAAACCAAAGGGGCTGAGAGAGGCAGGAGGTGGAGACTCACTTAGCACCCAGTGAAGGGAACTGGCCAACATCCTCAATGGATGGGGCCGCCACATTGTTCACCATGTTTCTCCCACTGAATCCTCCTCCTCTTGGACCCCGGCCACGTCCCCGGCCACGACCGCCGGGGCTGTAGTACCTTTCCCCTTCAGCAGGCTTCAGAAACTCATTTATGCTGACAGACTGCACACACACAAAAAAAAAAAAAAAAAAAAGCAATCAGAAGTCGCATCAACAACAAAGTGATGATTATTTTTTAGTTGTAACAACAATATCCTAGAAATCAAGTCCTAATTCAATAATCAGAACAAATTCTAAAAATAAATTGAAGAAAATTAAATTCACGTATATGCAAAAAAAAAAAAAATGAAGAAAAAAATTTGGTCTTGCATTAATTGCTAAATCAAAATTCTACAAAAAAATAAACAATAAATTTAAACATTAATTGAAAGGTGTAGGTAGAGGATGTGTTATCCCATGTGGCACTTGCTACATCACTTAATAATGGCCCACATTGCAAAAAAGTTTAGTCAACAAGAAGTTATGTGGCACTTGTCACATCATCAATAAATATCAAAATTATCAAATAGAAGACTGGAGACTTGAAGACCTGAGGGGGGTAGGACTCGGGAATATTTGGAATCCGATAAGATACTTGGTTTGGTGGATCAAGTCCACAGCCCATCGAGAAAGACAACCACTCCCTCATAGTGGATCAGCTAACTTTCGATTTGTAGAGAGAGACAATTCGACTCCCATTCATCCTATCCTCACTTAAACCAACCATGTTAATATTATTTAAATAATTACCCTTACTACATCAACAATCACACACACTATTATTATCTCCCATCACTTTATATTATTTTCCTTTGCGTTTTAATAAATGTTCATATACTACCTTAGCATGCCATCATCCACCCTCACTCACTCAACCTATAAATAAAGGCCAACGGTGAACTTCCACACTGCCATCCTCTCTCTCTTGTATGTATCCAAGTGTCAGACATCAAATTCCCAAACGAAAGACACATGGACACTACTAAATATTCATATTATCTAATTTTTTATTTAATTTACAAAGTAAAATCATTTACATTACATAGTATTTAATATAGGCATTTAACTTGTTTAACTCGTTTTGAATCATTTATATAATAAATTTGAATCATTCGATATGCTTTTTAGGTGCATGTCAAACCAAAAGTGTCGACACATATCCCATACCCATGTCTGGGTATTGTGTGCCCGACACGGGTACTTCAACTACTTTTGAAGAGTCCGTGTAACATAGTCTCTAAGTTTGCCTCACCTAATTCAGTCCACTCAGGACTTCTGCTATGTTAAAGTAACGACTCATATATATATAAAGAATCTCATACAAATAAAAGGAGATGTCAGGATATCATTATAAGTTCTCAAATTAAAAATATATATATATGTAATATTCATACATTATCCTGCAGTTGACAAAATCTGAGCAAGCAAAAACTAAAATAAATTATCAGGTCAGAAGGTTGTAATGTCTCACTAGAGTCACTACCACACCTAAATTTGAAGAGAGTTATGTAAGAAAGCATGGAGTAATAGACCATTAAAGGATAAAAATTCGGACACTTTAGGGGTCATTTAAATTCCTAGTTGTATGAAAAAAACAAATTCCAAAACGATGAAAATTTCACACATGCCTCTATGAATTGGCAAATTTGATGAGGCAGGTTCATGGGGATAAATAAACTATTAGCGCAAGAGTCCACAGCAGGGTAACCAGAATCGCTGGAGAAGCACTCGGGAGGGAGGCACAAAGTGAGGAAGTTAATGCACCAGTAGGATAACTTATCTTGGCCCTCCGGAACGCTAAGTCAGATTCTATAAGATCATCCATTTTGGATGCGACTAAAAATATGTGAAGATTGTAAAATATTGAGATATCATGTCAGGCATCAAATTCCCTCTAAAAAGGAAAAAGAATAAGTCAGGTAATCCCCATAACAATGAGACGCACAAAGGTAGAGCAGAATTGCCAAGATGAATTTCATGTGCACCGGCCCAAACCGTCCCAAATATATGCACCAAAGCTATATGCAGTGGGAAGACAGTAAAGGAAACAATCAGACTGAAATACTAAACACACCTTTTTGGCTCTCTCTTCTTTTTCAGCAGCCTCTCTACGTTTATCCTTCTCAGAACCCTGACAATAAATGTCAACACAATCAATACACTTGCATTGAGTTACACTGACTGAAATATAGAATAACATCAGTTAAAATGACATCTGAAAGTGATACTGGGTTTCACCAATTTAACAAAGATCTCATCGTCGCTCTTCTTGCTTGAAAGCAATTGCATGGATTCAAATTCTTTGTCCAAGTCAACCTTCCTTTCCTCAGCCTTTAGCGCAGACAGAGCCTTCCTCTTCTCTTCAAGTACCTTCTCATACTCTTCCAGAGTCATCTCCTAATATGACAGAACAGGAATATAATGTAAATATAGGCACACTTCAGCTAAATATACTACACTTTACATATAGCTGTCAGAATAAACATACTAACGATCATGCAGAACTTATTAGTTTCTCCCATTTCTCTATAACATAACAATCACAAAGAATTCGATGTTCCAATCACAGGACTTTGTTTTACAGTTAAAAAAGCAAGAGATTCAAATATCAAGTTCATTTGTTGCTAGATTAGGTATGCACCCACTGTCCACCAGCAAGTAACTACTTATTTGTATAATGAAGTTAATGAACATATTAATTTGTATACCAACCACCCCTGAGATTTGCCATAATTGCACACTGGATGAAACTTTTCAAAAATCTTGCACCGTGGTCCCCATATGTTTGATCACTTGTAACAAATACCCCCTCCGTCCAAAAAACCGTTTGTTTAGTCTAAATTACATGATCTGACCAAAATACCGATTCCTCCATTTGAAATGACTTTATTACCCATACAATGACATTTAATTACCAAAAGAATTTTAAACACTGCATCCCTTATTTGGAGAATATTAGGTCTGAGATATCAGAATTCCAGATTGCTTTTAAGACCTCTTTTCATTCGCGATTATCCTTATTGTCCCAAAATGTGTCAATTCGTATACAAATGAGATGATTATAGAGGTAATAGAAGGTGTGGCAAGTGTTTGAGCTTCTGGGAAGAAGATAGAGGTGGGCAAAGTGGTCATTTCATATTTTGGTGTTTTTAATGTTAAAATATTCGGGGTATAAAGACAAAATCACTCAAAAAGTTGACTGTTTCTGTTAGAGGGGAGGTCATTGCAAAATTTTTAAAAAGTTTCATCCGTGTGTCATTACAAGATTTTTAAAAAGTTTCATCCGTGTGTAATTGCAAGATTTTTAAAAAGTTTCATCCCGTGTGTAATTAGGGTAAACCCTAATAATTAAAAGTTCTTTTTGAGAGAAGGATTTAAGTTATGATGCACATGCCATAGATTTATGGGTCAAACGCAAATGGTTGAAACTATCAAATGGTCGTCTTCTTTTCCTTCTTAAGCTATAATTAATTTATGCCAAAAAAAAAAAAAAAAAAGATTTATAGAATCGCACACATCAAAAGTCCTTCAGCACATGTGCATATAAGAAAGCTGACAAGCCTCTTGTTTGTATAATTAATATATAATACACTAAATGTGCACCCACAATAAATATTCCTAAACATTCTTTCTTTATTTAATTAACAGTCCAACTCATTCTGCAGTTTCTCTCTCAAATTTTCTAGGGCAGGTCTTGGCTATGATCCAATTTTGCTATTGACACATAACAGGATTGTGAAAATCTCAACCTGTTAGTTAACATTTCTGGTTCAACATTATGTATATGAGATTGTTGAAGTAAACAAAAATAAGTTGCAGAATAGGTAACAAATGGATAAACTTGATCATCTTTAAGTTCTCACTTCACAAAAGGACTTGAACATGAGGCAACGACGATGGGTGGAGTATATCGAGGACTATCACCCAGGAAAGGCCAGCGTTGTGGCCGATGCCTTGAGTAGGAAATCACGTAGGAACTTGGCTAGCATTGCCATCCGGGAATGGAAAACTAAAATCTTATTTTAATAACTAGTGGATATACACTAAATTGAGATCAATATTAATTATATTAAAGCTATTACATGCAAAAACTATTATATATTTTTTATTGATTAAAATGTTACATTCATATAAAAAGTAAGGGCTAAATTACCAAAAGGTAAGGGGGTTAATTACCCCAAAATCCCCTGAGGTTTAGAATTTTCACCCATGGATGAAACCTTTTGAAAAATCACTCTGACCTCCATGTCAGAGTTTGTATCGTAATCGACCATTGTTGAATAGACAAAATCTCATTTCTCTCTCTCTCTACCCTCTCCATCTGTATCATTTTCTCTCTCACGCGCAAGCACACAAAACACATATATAGAATTTTGTTGGTTCTGATGATACACTACACTGCTTCCTTTTCTCCTCCTCATTTCCAGTCAGTATCCATGGAAAGCACACAAAACCCACATTCCCATGCCCCTAAACAACCATACCCATTAATCCCAAACCTTCTCGTAAGCCCTTAACTCTCTCAAACACTTCAAAACTTCATTTGGTTGCGAATTCAAATGAGAAAAACTTCATGAAAACAATAAATGTGCCATTTCGGCATGCTGCCCTACTGTAATTCGACAATCTAGTAGTGTCTCTAGGTATTTTTGGAATGGAAAGGAGCTAAAAGAAATTCTGTTGATGAAAATGTTTTCAACTTTGTGGTCATTGGGTTCCATTTTCGAAGATGTGTTTCCGAAATTGTCGAGAGAGTAGTTTGGCAATTAGGAATTTTTTTCTCAAAAGGGAAATTAGTAGGAATTATTTGGAGTATGTGAAGTGGAAATTCTTATATAGGCTCTTTGGTTCTGCACTTCAAGATCTTGCAACTGAAATTAGATTTAACTGCCATAAATGTGTGTATGAGTATATATTATACATATATATATATATAGTACTAGTTTTTAAGTTCTCGTCAGTTTTGCTGTTTTTGATTCTGCATGCAAATCTGTATACAAACACATACATATATAAACTTATTATATATTTATAATTCTAAAATTGCAGTGAGAGAGGGAAGATGAATTAACTGTAAATTGTAATGTGTAAGAGACAAGTATATACTAAATGCTTCATATAATTTAGTAAGTTTATAAATTTTGCAGATTAAATTTTATGCAAATAAAATAATGTATATATCTATATACAATTTTTAATCATGTAGATAAAATGTGTACTAAAATGTTATAAAAATGTTCACAGATGATTTTTAGTAATAAATTTAATAATAAATTATACCAATTATATTACTACAAATGGCAGTTAACAGTGTGTGTGTGAAGTGAGAGAGCAAACAAGGTCGTCCCCTACTGCAAATGGAGGGCAGTAGGGGGGAAGAGACAGCTTGGTTGTTGAGAAATGGAGGGAAATGTAAAATAAATAAATAAATAGAGCCAAAATACATAAATGGCAGTAGGTAAGGATAAGGAATAGGTATATAAATCATTACAAAAAGTTTACACGGTTTTTTTTGCAATTTTTAAAGTATATAAGGGTAATATTGGCACTTCAGTCTAACTTTTTTTAACACCTCTAAAGGCCACTTATCGGCAGGGGAAAATCTGTGATTTTTTCAAAACCTCAAGGGAGGTTGACGCAAATTTGACCAAAGTTCATCCACAAGTGAACGTCAAATCACAGGGGAGGTCAGGGTAATTCACCCCAAAGTAAGACATGCCTAAATCATCACCCATTGAAGATCCCAAGAGACATGTTTACAATCAAAGAGGCTGAGATTTGACCAAGCCAGCTCAATGTAGAGAGAAACTTAATAAATTTTACACATTATTGACAGTAGGTGCTAAAACCGATTACTATTAAAATGCATATTTTTATTTATAAAATTCAGTGAAATTTACCAAGTACATATCCTAACTCGCATGTAGTTAACATTTCATATATGTTACTGAAGTTGAACAAATAACAATTTACCTTTTTTCAGATAAATTAAACAACAGTATACCAACAAGAAACTTACAAATGGTTGATTACGAAGTATCAGAAATGGCATTTAAGTCCCTCTTATAACTAGAATATTTCCTCATTACGAAGTCCTCACTTGGAAATAAAAAATTCATATCCTTTGGCAGGTAGTGTTGTGAACCAACCTAGATGTAATTGTAACATACACATTTGAATGAGTTGATACCTGGCTATTATCTTCAGCAGTACAAAAGGCATATAAGCAAAGGGACAAATGTTTTCTACCAGATGATCCCCTCATAATACTGACTCATAACTATTTCTTTTCCTTTCTAATCTTGGTAAGTATCAGTTAAAAGAAATAGGGAGAAGAGAAATTTCCGGGGGAAAAAAAAAAGAGGAAGAGAGGTGGGGGTAGGTACTAGCAAAGCCACAACTCTGATTGGTTGACCTCACTCAAAAAGGTTCAATGAATTAAATTTGATTAATTGAGATTCTAGAGCTTATAAGCTTTTCAATCCAACATGACAATTCCTATCAATGCTGGAGTACTCAGTCCCGGAACAAAGACTCCTTTAAAATTCAAATCCAATGAGTCGTAGAATTATAAGTTTTCTTCTATTCTCATACCTATTGTCAGCAGCCAAACAGCACTTCAGGGAATTGAAACATAACTTTTTTAAGATGACATATGTCAAACATGTGCAGATAAGAAATTCACCTTCTCCTCAGGCTCCTTCTCCTCTGGCTCATTCACTGGATTCTCCTTATTGGCATCTTCAGCATCTTCCTTTCCCAATTGTTTCTCAGCATCCACAGTCTTCTCATTTTCATTAACAGGTTCTTCAGTCTCCCTAAATTTGTGGGGAAGAAAAAGATAGATGTTGCCAAATATATTCAAATAGTTCTAAAATCATATAAAGGAATAAAATCATACCAAAAGTAAAGAGTCTAACATAAAGCTAAGAGTTCAAAGAGAATCACTTACGGAGAAATCTCATCAGTTGGAGTTCCCCAGTTTCCACGGCCAGCACCCTCGCGTTTGATTTCATTCCTTCACAACAACGCAAATTAATAAGGTGGAGAGAATAATACAAATAGAGAATCATGAAAGCATAAAAAAGAATTAACAATGTAAGCATAACAAAATAGAGAATCATAAACTTGTACAATATAATCAAGTGCAAAAAAATAATAATAAAAAATAAAAAGGGAAAAAAGAAGAAGAAAAACTGACCCACGTCCGGTCCCACTATGACGTTCAAACGCCCTCCGTGGGCGTTCTCCTTCTACAACTTCTCCATTGCTGAAACCACCACGGCGGCCACCACGGTAACCACCGCGAGGCCTATCATACCCACGTTTTTCGGAAGATTTCCCAGCATCTCCCTCCTCAAGTGGTCTGTACCCTTTAGAATAACCATTGCTGTTGCCAAATGGATTCTCATTATTGACTGAATCTCGATCAAAACCACCTCTACCAGAATCACGATCGAAACCACCTCTACCAGAATCACGATCAAAACCACCTCTACCAGAATCACGATCGAAACCACCTCTAACAGAATCACGATCGAAACCACCTCTACCAGAATCACGATCGAAACCACCTCTACCACGTCCACGCCCAAATCCACGTCCCCTACCACGGTCTCCACGAGGAGCTTCACTCCTGGCCTCCCTCACTACACAACAAAATCACATATACAAGGAAAAATCAAAAATAAAACACAAAACCAAACAAATTTCTTCAATAGGACAATAAATTTTTCTTTTCTATTATTTTTTACTTTTTTGGTGGGACGGGGCGGAGAGGAAATGGCGGAACAGAAAATATAAAAATAAAGCCTTGTGAGGCAAATCCTTTGGGAAGTATACATAAAAATTGAATAAAATTGCCAACAGCTATGCATATTCTGACAAGACCCCACAAGAGAGTGAGAGAGTACTGCCATGGAAAAGAAAATAAGGAGGAATGATAATTTTATGTAAATCATCACCCCTATAAGTTATGTATAACCAAAAAAGGACATCAGGAAGGGCAAAATATGAACATCAAACTAATGCATCTGGTTTAGAAAATTGGACTGGAAAACTCTTTGGATCTCCATGACAGAGAAAAGAAAATATGTGAAACCAAAATTTGACTTTTTGGATGAGTCATTTAAGCACACCTTTTCCATTGATATGGAACTCAATTTAATATTAAATTTGACACTAAAACTAAAATGATGGTAGTTACAAGATGATGGTGGAGCTCTTATCAGGATGCTATATGGAATGCAAAAAAACCTGGTAGTGGTAGAGATTGCAAGTCACTGAGCGTGGTATGTGGTTCAAGTATATGGATGGTGAAGGTGGAGAACAACATTGAAGACAATGTTTGACAATAACAAAATTCGTGAAGTTAATGTGAAGAATTTCATTATAGCAGTGGTGGACAAAAGTGATGCTAATGTTGAGAACAATAAACATCTAGTGGTGACGATAGAGACGTGCCGAAATTGGTGCGGTTATGGTGGTGAGGGCTTTTGTAATATCAGAGATGGAGGTGATGGTGGTGAAAATAGGGCGTGCAGGTGATGAATTTGTTCAAAAAAACCATATATAGGAACTGTGGACGTGGACCAATTCAATTTCCATGGAAATTCCAAAGATGCCCCAAGAAAACTAAACCCACTTTGCTTGATCATCATTTGATGAACAAACTCTCCTTCACTCAACACCAGCAATCATACAGTAGTAGGGAACAAAAACCACAAATATGAAGCATGTGCTACTATCTAGCCAATCAATAGATCCCTTTACAGCTTGAAAGGTATAAAAAATCAATACCACTGAAACACAACAGAAAACATAAACAATGACAATATTATAACAGTAAAATTCAAAATATGATGTAATTTCAGTAACATTTTTGTCAATCATGGTGGAAGTGGAGGAAAAAAAAAAAAGTTAAACCAACTCTAATATAAAAAAAAACTAAATCTATGAAAGCAAAAAAAAGTGCAGAAACGAAATACTTACTGCTCTATTTTTTTCTCTCCGTAAAAGGATTGTTGAACACCCCATAGGGCAAATTCAATAACAGTAAAAAATTTATATTTTTTTTTCAGTTACCACTCACACTGATTCTAAGACACAGTAATATATATAGAGAGAGAGGGAAAAGCACAATAACTAAATGTAGGAGGGTATGCATATCTCTCTATACGCGCGCGCGCGCGCGCACACTTAAGAAAAAAACAATAACATTTACAAATCTTTTTCATTTCCAACATCTTTCAAGCAACCCAGAAAAATCAGCATGTGTATCCAAAATTACATATGTTATACATGCATAGCAAAGTGCACAATATGATTCGGAAATGAAAGAGAAAGAGAGAAATTGATGAATTTACCAGACTGAGCTGGAGGGAGGGGCTTGGAGGGCAGCTTCGCCTGCTTAGCCGGCTGAGCAGCGGCGGCTTGAGGCGGAGCTGGAGACTTCTGAGGCGGCGGGAGCTTCTGGATGAGCTGATTGACGTCGTCGTTGTCGTCGTCACCGAGAAGATCAAATGGGTTTGTGGTTGCCATTTGTTATTCGATATATAGATACAGAGAGATAAAGCTCTCAACTTTGTGAAGACAGCGAGCAACCACGAAACCCTAGTTATTATTAAACTCCATTAATGGATCTGATAATTTGAATACAACAATAACTTAGAAATGATAACGGAAATAGATAGATTGAGAGAGAGAGATGGGGGCTCTGAAAACCCTAGCCGAAGTGGCAGAGATTCGAGAAGGACCTAACTTAATCTTAAAAACCCTAGTGGGATGAGTTAGGGTGAGGGTGGCTTCACAGTAGCAAGTGAGGCTGTCACCATCAACCGATGTAGATAGGAGTTGGTCTGGTGGCCTTGAGATTCACACCAAACATACCGGGTCGGGCAAGAAAAGTGTACCAGATACCAATTAAGATCTTCACATGGGATTGTGTGTTACATCATGCATAAAAGGTGCGGGTAGGGCATAAGTATATGCTCGTTTGATACGTGGTTCGTATTGGTCAATTTATATTGACTTTGTTCGAATCTATTATACCGCGATTGCTCTCTATCTTTAAAAAATTACACTTGCATTAACATAAATCATGGTTTCGGTTTGTAATTCTTTTTTAAATGACCGATATCGTTAAATATTCTCATGAATCGAATCGGCCGATCAAGTCAGCTGTATATCATGGTTTCGGTTCGTAACCCTTTTTCAAATGACCGATATCGTTAAATACTCTCATGAATCAAATCGACCGATCAAGCCGGTTTTCGCCAATATTTACTTGTGCGTTGATAAGACAAACATTACAGTTTTTTCCATCCACACACACTAATTTAAAGGACTTATATCTCTTTCAATACTCTCTCTTAATTTTGTGTACAATGGCTATCTATATTTATAGGTGAATTGGAAAAGACTTAGAGAGACATTTTTTTACTAATATTATTGCTTTACAAGTATACAAGAGACTCTTGTTACAAATATTCTGGCCCTACGAGTATTTTATAACAAATGATAGACTTCTACCTAAATAATACAAAGAAAGTGAAATACAAATATATTATATATATTTAAAAAAAAAAAAAAAAAGTATAATAATGTTAACACTAACATCACATCTCTCACAATGGAGCATATAATTATTATTTTTTTATTAGAGTCAAACACTTAATTTTAGAGAGCACAAAGAATCAAAATGGAGGCCTCGTGATCAAACTTCCCACATCCAAGGTACTATACCCCCCTTTACTCAAGGGTGCCTCCTGATGATAAAAACCAAACAGCTAAAAGAAAGTGTTTTCATAAATCACATTTTAGTACGACATTAGGAGGTGTCCATTATGTGTACAAGGATAAAGAATTCTGATTTTAAGCTATGGATACATTTTAATTTACCAAATACTTGTTCAATAACATCTAAGAAATGTTGACTCTTTTGTAAGTTTTGGTGGATCCTGATATATCTTCAATTATACTGCATATTATTTATTTGTCCAAGAATGACCCTACAAGCTTGTATCTTTGAAGCTGGCTTGTATCTTAAAGACCCTAGAAGCAGACCCTGCAAAAACGAGTCCGATGCCTAATCAATTCAAGGCCCACTGGCCCTGTTTCAGCTTTCCCGATACAGGCCCAACTGCCATGTTCATCCAAAATAGACTCTTGCCAAATGTCTCAATTTGAGGGATAGACTTATGTGTACGTTTAATATTTCTTTATTTGTGTCATCAATTAATTATATCATGTCACATTAATTACGAATAAATATTAGGTGTTTTAGGCATGCCATATCATTAGTGTAACCCTCCAATGAAATATAACATATTATCTTATTATTTATAATTTTATAAGTGGACTAACTTTTTTAAAATAGTGCATTATCATTGAATGGATACACTAATAACATGACGCCTGGTGCATCAAATATCTATTCCATGAGTTATATAGTAATATTTAATAAGCTAATTATGCCATATCATCACTACAAGCAATTATTTTTTTTTCTCCAATTTAAGAAGTAGAGAGTTTTTTTTGTTGAAAATAAAACGTTTTTAAGGGTATTGCAATTGATACATTGTTCCTTTTTAAAATTATGGATTTATCTTTTTTAAAGTTTAAATGCTACCATGATCACTTTTCAGTTTTGTCTTTTTGTCATGCCTCGTGTATAAATATTAAGCCGTGAATCTAACCTTTTGAAAGATGATTGTACAGTCATTATATAATCAACAAAATTATAATATTTTTTTTTTACAATAAATCACACCAATCAGTCAAAATTTTACTCGCTTTTTCTTTATTTTGATCAAATTATACCATTAACTTTAACCGCACGTATTGTATAATTTTATTTTATGGTATTTTAAACTAAATTTCCTTTTTACACTGAGATCACTTTAATATTAACCACGTGATAATATAATTTTTGCATTATTTTATTTGCTTAAAATATGTTAATTTAAAAGGAATAAAAATAAAAATAAAAATAAAAGCTCACGATAAGTGTTTCGAGGGAGACTTCGTAATAGCATTACTTTGTATATAAATAATAAAATCAGAAAAAATTGAAATCTTCAAAAATATTTATAGAAAACTGCATTTATATAACCAGATGTCAAAACTTTACTCACTCACTCATACCCACTCATCATTTCTTTTGAGATTAATTCTATATATTAAGAAATTACATATACTCTCCCATCTCCTTACAACATATGTTTACCTTTAAATTCCTTACATTTTTTATATCTTTTCTTTCTATCAACCTCTCACACCTTATTTATAAAGTTTTCAAACTCAATTCCTTACTGCATATATAAGTATTTCTCAATTTGTCTATTAGGAGTTACCATATAAATCTTCAACTCTAAAATAGTACTTGCACATCTAACTGATTCAACTGTTCTTGAACGGTTTCAATTGGGGTTGTATGTCCAATTGGTTCCAAAAAAATGTTAAACTGATTCCATCATAATAACTTCCGCTAAAACATTACTCGCATACCGAATTTGAGCCACAAAACTTAACAATCTCCACCTTGACCCGAGTTCGATTTTCATGCGCTCCTTTATATCTCCACTTCGAATGAAGATCTTTTCATAACTCGACCTCAATTAAAGATCTCTCCACCTCGAATAAAAACACAATAATAAAATTAAAAAATATTCTAGTAGGGAATACACAGTCAGTAATCTCTTGCTAACCAATGAGTATAAAATTTAGCCATACCAAATATGATGACCGTAGATATAATTCAAGTCTGAAAAAATTATAAAAAATAATTATAAGTCATATTAAACGGTCATTATATTTAATATGATTAAATATAATATATACAATGATCTTGCTCGCTGGTAACTAAGAAATTTATCCATACTAATTATCCCTCTTTACAATAAAATATATGCATAAATGATATCTTGCTATTGTTATGGGATTTTTTTTTTTTTTTAAATTATCATTTTTACACTTAAATCATAATCAACTATCAGTATCACCTGTTTGGTGTGTAGATAATTTATTGCAGGAGTAAGAAATCATTATTTTATATGTATATACTTGTGTGTGTGTGTGTATATATATATGTGTGTGCATGTGTGTATATATATAAAAAGTCAGTCATGGACATAACGTGCAAACATGGCGTGATTAATAATGCGATGCCACGCTAGGGGAGATGCTGATTGATGTATACATGAGAAGGAGATTCTCTCTTTATATATATATGTATGCCCTGTGAACCACAAACTAAAAAGGGTGCGTGTATACTGTTTACATAGAATATAGTATCAGTAACAACAATAATTAAACTTATAGCATATGGTGTCAATCTACTCGGGTTCGATGACCATTCTAAGATTTAACAAGTGATTGTCTCATCAACAAAGTCGTTGACGAAAGAAGATTAAGAAAAATAACGAGTAATTAGGTCAACTTGACAAGTACGTGTACAAGACTAAAACATCACCACAAAAATAATAAATAAATAGAAATAAAAATATCTAAGATGGCTGCCAGTACCGTGTCAAGTTCAAAGACAAAATAATAAAGAGAAATTATTAAATTCTTAGGACTTTTTTATTTTTTATTTTTTATTTATATTAAAATTAAAATTTATAATTCTTTTTGTAACGAGGATTGTAGTGATTGAAAATTAATTACTATATATATATATATATACACACACAAGCATTAATTTTCAACAATCTTTAAATGCTACAAGGGTCCAAGACAAGCGTAGAGACTATCGTTAGTACTTCTTTTGTATAATGTATTATTATATTTTTGTAAATTCATATTTTTTTTATTAATTAAAGAGTCTAAATTAAACTGAGACAACAAGTGTAAATAGACTAACCATTTAATAATTTGTTGTTGAACTTGGATCTAGTTTGAAGACTTTTTGAGTTAGCTAGGTTGTCTTCCTGGACCGACTGTTCCAAATAGATGTCAAATGTGATGCACATTCTTAAGGACTTTAAGGTGAAAAGTAATCAAAACAATGGTTAAAAACAATTCTCCTTTATGTTTGTCAATTTGGTACAATAAAATTTTGTGCATTTTATTGTGATCAATTAAAAAATATCTGTACCATATATGCAACCTGCATGAAGTGTCAAGATGGACTTGGCAGACAAGCAGGCATAGGAACTCCATCTCTTTCAAGATTCAAGTTCAAGTTCAAGGCCTTTGCCTTCCTTGTATACAATTTCTTCACATTAGAATTTTGTTCATGGAGCAACTTCACTAGACTTCTCTTAGCATTTGCTCTGAATGGACAATTAGATGCCAAGAACCCATCCACCAAGTGTAGGTAGGCCTCCAAGTCATGGCAACATGCTACATCTGCATTTGGCTTTAGATATGGTGACATCTTTGTCTCCACTCTTAATTCTGCCCCAACATGCGAGTATGCCCATGGCATATTGTCATCCAGCACGTCGAGCACTCCCGCGACATTCGTGCTTCTTAGCTTCTTGTCGAGGTCTTCGCTTGCGAACATTCCTGGAACCCTAGTGATCACATCTTGAGAGTTCACAACACGTAACACCTTGACATTTTTGGCGTTGAGACGATTTGAAAAGCCTCGATTACCAACACGAGGCCCCCCAAAGGAGTAAACGGCCACTGGAGGCACTTTTGGCGCGCACGTACTCAATTCATCCGCCACCAATAGTGCTAAGGCTGCTCCGAGGCTGTGTCCGGTTATAGTGATACTTAGGGTCTCGCCCTTGTATAGTTCAATTAATCGACGAACTTCTTGCACCACGGACTCAGATAGACTCGGCACATGAGCTCCGTGTGTCTTGTATAAACTCAAGAATCCACATTGCACTTTGGGTTGTCCATCGCTGGTGTCATTTTGTCCTGGTATTTGAACTAGTAAGTCCCTCATATTCTCGGTCCACTCAAGACACGTGGCAGTGCCACGAAGGGCAATGACAATATCTCTACGTCCCATCCGTGCAATCTCCCTCCAATCGGTGCAAACGGCCACATACCCGATCCAGCTAGAACGTTGGGTCATCCAACCAAGATCCGGAGCCACATCATCCACCCATTTGGGCAAACCAACTGATGACGTGGCATAGAGACTCTTTGTCACTCTATAGGAACTCTCCGGCAATGTCACGTGTCTCGGTAACGGAGCTTCATCTGCTGACGTGGATGGATCGGAGTGAAAACCATGGTAGGCTGCCTGAACCAACTCACCATACCTGACCACTTCTCGCCGGAGGTTTTCGTCGAGCGGGTCGAGGAGGCCGGACCAGTTATTGCTGCCGTGGTACTCGCGCCACCGGCTACCAAGATTGTTCCTCGGAGATTTCTCCGGCAACATTGATAAAAGCCGGTGGAGACGGTTTAGATGCCGCGGGGACATCTCCTCTCCTTCATTCTTTTGTGGCCAAATTGTAGACAAATTTAAGCCTTCCAAAACATACTTTCCCTTGTTTTCCGATGACCCAATGCTGGTTTTTTTCTCAAGTACTGGTTGTGGGTCATGTTGGTTTGACTGGCAGTCCTTTTGCAGTAGCTTCTCTAGGTTGGATAGGTGCTGCCGAGTCAACTCAGTGGACGTGACCGGTTTAGCAGTCTGTGTTTGAACTTGAACAGCTTGTATTTTTGTTAGAGGGTTCAATAGTGATACATGAGGCTTGAAGCTGGCACGTCTAGCCTGAAAGAGGTGAAGGTTATGTTCCGGAACTGTTAAACCTATCTGCATGATGATGATGATGATGAGAGAGAGAGAGAGAGAGAGAGAGAGTGTGTGTTCTTGAGAAGCCGAAAGGACAGTTACAAGATGTTAGTTGGAGAGTGGGATTAACTGGATCAATGAGGTAATATATAGAGGGAGTTATCAATGTATACCCTTGTTCTTCTCCTAAATTACAGCAAAAACCATATAACTAATGTCACAATTTAAAATGGGTTGCAATTTTGAACGGTCATAACTCATAAAGCCATCTATCTTTTTGCACGAACCGCGGTCTCCTGCTCTACTAGCTTTTGCACATATTTTGACGACCTTGTGGATGAGATTGATTGACCCAAACTCTCCTATTGTTTTGCTAACTTTTCTTACAAGGGATCCATCATTGGATTATTTGCAATTGACTTGTCAATAATTCCAAATATTAAAAATAATAATAATGTCACAACAATTTTGAAACTTGCGTCGAAGGTGTTCCAACCATCTATTCGTGTCAAATATTTATCGGACAATAATACTATTTTATAGACTCTTTTAAAAATGTGTATGTCACTTTATGACCGTGTCCATAATTTATATAGATAATTATTTTGAACACTTAATCGATACATATTGAATTTATTTAGAGGCAGACCCAGTACTTAGTCAACACATATTGAAATTTTTTAGAGGCATACCCAATACTTGGTTTTTGAACACCGTACTCAACTAACACATTCTACAACATGTATAAAGCCAACACATAGTCCTAAAAAATAACATTATGAATATACAACAGAGGGTCTACCATTATATATATATATATATAAAAGACAAAATCAACTTTATATTGTTTTTTTGACACTTTTTATTATTATTATTATTATTATTTTATCCTGAAAAATTAAGGGGAGGGGAGAGGAGATACGAACACGGGTATATTTATACAAAAAGTTGGACGCTCTATCAATTAAGTCACTAATTTATGTTGGATTTGATTTTTCATGACATACTAGCCTGCGTAAAAGAGTGCTCGTCATATATACTGTCACTCTCAAACTATTGATGTTGATCTGTTTCAAAGTTTGAAGAGTAAAAGTCGCCACACATAAACGGGATTCTCTTTTACTAAAGTTAATGGGACGGTGCTTAATTCCTTTTTTTCCTCAGTTTTTCGTTGCGAAGTATCCTTCAACATAGTCTTACACCTACTTTTGAGGACTCGACCAGAATAATATGTTGCCATCAATATCTCCTTTTCTGTCAAGAGATAACCAAATTGGTCATTAATTTGTTAATGCATACAAATAATACATGCAGGTCGAAGAATGTTTAATTTGGTCGTCGGTTTATGAGACAACGGTACGCAAGAAACGCCTCTCACCGGAATTTTGATGCAGTAAAAGGTTGAATCTTGAATTTGTTTACAAGTATGAATAATATTAAATTCAAGTCCAGCTGCAACTTCTGTCAATTCTTCTAAGTTGAATGTTTGTCTGCGTTGATATATATATATATATATATGTTTCAATTGCCAAATATACTACATTTCTTGCAATGACCAAAAACCAACTTGCTTTTCTTTTTTCTTCTTTCGAAAACTCACTAGCTAATATGTTTTAGTACCATATATATTATTTGGTCAAGATTGGCATGTAACACAAGTGACCCAAATAAAAATTTTTAGTTGTCTCAATTAAAACTTCACAGGTGTTTGAAATAAAATTTTACTGCATTCTAGTGCCCTTTTTTTTTTTCTTTTTTTTTCTTTTTCTTCTTCTTCGTGTCGGGATTTGATTCTCAAGTTTGTTGAGTTTTTTGCCAACACGTGATTGTCCTTCCTTACAATTAGTCCTAAAATAATTGCATCAATCTCGTGAAATTCGATTTATCGAACTTCATGAATTTTAACAACAAAAGCGAACAAATGAAGACTTGATTTTTGAAAATTTGGCAGGAGGCTTGTTAATTAGTCGGCTCACGGGCCCCTCCTTTGCTGCCTTTTCTATTCTTAGAATTGGAAGTTTCGAGGAAGAGGAGGAGGAGTTGTTTAAGTATAATTCATTTATATAAATATATATATATATATACACACACACACTTAATTCTATGGCTATATTATCTTATTACAAATAATTATAAGTACTATCAAGTTTGCAATTCAGATTAGTTTAGTTGAATTTGTTTAATGCATTGTCTGAAGTTGTGGTTGGACTATGACTCAAAAAATGAGATTTTTTTTTTAGTTTTGTTGAATTTGTTTAATGCATTGTCTGAAGTTGTGGTTGGACTATGACTCAAAAAAATGAGATTTTTTTTTTTTTTTTTTTTTTTTTGACTCCTTTCGTATTGTGGGTAGGTCTAGTCTATATTATAACCCAATATAAAAGACTGCAATGGTTTGTGCCCGGGTACCATAAAGAATATTAAAATTGTAAGATTATTCTATTGTGATTTAAAAATTTTGTTGTTTTAATCAAAGCAAATATATATTTAGTGGTCAAATGTTCAAAATAAAGAAACAGCATTTCTACATGCGTAGATAGTGTATCTAGTACACCTAACCCTCAACAGCTAAAGTCCTGTGCATTGATTTGCGAAAGGTGTGAGAGGACAATAAAATTTCGTGGTAGATAGTGAGAATAGAGCTTAGGGTTGAGAAAATATTGAAAGTCATGGTAGACAGTGAGAAAGAGACAAAGCCTTGTTGATTTTTTGTTTCTTTCACATAATAAAATTTTTCCTTAATACGTCAAACCAAATACTTTTTGTGTTTGGCCTTGTACTTGTTAAATTGTATGTTATTTGTTTTATTGTATTCTTAATTTTTGTCCCTTATGAAAGCTTTAATTGATTGGGCTAGGGTTTTTTTTTATTTATTTATGAAAAACTAAGAATTCTTCCGATTAACCATTGGTCATTTAGATTTATGACGGTAAGGTAAACTTTGAATATATGTAATCACCAATAAATTACACGTATCATGTTAATTTATGTATTTTTATACTTTTTAAAAATCGAACTTAAAAAGTTCGTGTTTACTATTTACCCTTTGAGATCCCTTAATCATTGGATCTGCATTCTTCCAACCATCGGCCATTTAGATTTATGACGGTAAGGTAAATCTTGAATATGTGTAATCACTAGTAAATCACACATATCATGTTAATTTGTGTGTTTTTATACTTTATAAAAATTAAACTTAGTAGTCGATGGTTACTATTCATCTTTTGAGATCCCTTAATCATTGGGTCTGCCTTGCCTTGCGGCTGCCTTAATTGTAAGTATTAATAACTGCCCACAAGAAAAAGGTTTAAAATTTTGAAATCAAATACACTTTCACTAACCACCATTAGCTCTAATTAGCACACTCATTTTTTGGCCACTCATTTTTTGGGAAAGTAGGACAACGTTCACCATACGCGGTCTCAATCCTAAAGTTAGAAAAAATCTTACATTAAATTCCACTTACATTATGCTTTCGTTCTGTCTTTTTCTTACGCATGCATGTGTTTTTTAAAAGTGGTTTGTTGTTATTACTTACAAACGTGTTTTTGTTCCTGTACACCGACCACATGCAAAAATCGTGTGTCATGCCAGAATTAGCCAATACTTTTCTTTTTTTCTTTAAATAATTAAGGCATGCATGCAATACTATATTAATGTCATATATTAATTACTTTATTAATTTTTTTTTTTTGGTATAATTAATTGTTGTGTTTGGATCACGTGAAACATTCAGAGTCACAATGATGCATAAAAGTGCTACATAGTGGAGGGACTCAATAGTGCCATAGTGGGGGAGTTATCAAATCCATTATACAGTATCCATCACCATAGCGGCTTCATTTTCTTCCACATTTTCATTATTACTCTAATTGAATCCTAACACAAAGTTACAAACTACTAATTAGGTGGTTTGACTACAATTAGTGAAAATATTGACTCTAGATGTTTTTTAATAAAAAGAAAAGGTTACCTTTAGTCGTTGTTTAAATAAACTCAATGTTGGATGATGTGTAACGTGTGACACGGCAAAAACAACCAACGTGTGACCAACATTATTTTGTCAATCAAAAATTTTAAATGTGCATATATGACTCATAGTAAGTGGGAGTTGACTAAATTGAGAATGACCTAGGAGATTTTTTTTTTTTTTTGCTTTTGATACTTAAAGTCGAGTGTATAAAAACAAAGCAAAACAAAACCGTATAGATTTAAAAGCGAAATAGTAATACCCACAAGGAGATCATTTTTTCCTAGAAATAGGACACTCAACTTGTAGATTTTTTAATTAAAAAAGAAAAGAAAAGACTTGCAGAATTTCTATTGAAAAAGGATAAAAAAGTGAAAAGTGATGATATTTTTTTATGGGTTTAGGGCTTTTGTGTGGGCCCACAGAGGCCTGGCCCTGTGAGTAATTCGGCTAACCGACACGGTGAAAGTTAGGGGAAGATACAGAGAAAGAGAGGGATGGGATTTTAACAACCATTGTTAATAATGGTAATGGACTTCACTCCTCAATTAAAAAACTCGTGTTATTCATGAACTGCATGTATTTCTTGTATATGGTGGGAAACATGATCCACGGCACAAACAGAGGGAAAGAGAAAGAGAGAGGAACTCACTCTCAACAAGTAAACCCTAATTGGTAGGTACAGTACTAGATAAATAATATATATATATATATATATATTTCAATAACGAATTCTCCACACGAATCGGGTAAAGTTTAGACTATGTTTGCGGTCATAATCCTTAAGAAATTGATCGCAAGAGAATTCAAACTTGAAATTTAATGCTTCATGAGACACTAAATCCCAGGGCTTCATCACCGAAGCCAATTCCTTAAGGTTATAAATGTTTTATTTTTGTTTCTCTCATATATAATTTATAAAAAATACACGATGCCACAATTTGTTAAATTGGTTTATATCTTAATATTATTATGCTATATTCAATTACACAGAATTGATGTTTTAAAATTAAAATTGAAAAAAAATTTCAAAACTAACAACTAATTTATTTTTAATTTGAATGCCTCAATTCTATGCACGCAGTCCGCTTTAGCTTTAGTGGTTGAAATATGAATATTTTGGATGGGGTTTATCATGTTTAGCAAAAAGTCAAGTCTTCCAAGTCATAAAAATTCATTCATCTTGAAAAACATTGATATGGTATATGGAAATTAGTTGAATGTTCACATTTCAAACTTGTTCTTTATAATTAGTGGGCTATTAGTTTAATGGTATAACCTTTTCGCTTCAAACAGAAGATGAGGGATTCGAGTCTCGTAGTAAACAATCTGTGAAAATTTTTGTATTAGGCATATGCACGAAACATGACGACTTGATTTAGAGCAACCCACATTCAAGAACGGTTGCATCAAAACGGTGCTATTTTGATACACACCGTAGAGCACAGTGCGAGTTGTGCTGCTTTGGTTGGCGGGAATTATTTGCCTATGTCATTTACATAGACTATTCATGTATATTTGAAATTTCACTCAAAATACCCTTCAATTAATTGAAGAGCTTCCAAAACACATGTGAAATCAAGTTCAATCCATGTACAATACTAGTACACAAAGGAAATTGAAAATGAACATACAAATGAAGTTTCTGTTGCAGACAATTCACAAAAACATGGTACAACACCAAACAATAGGGCCAATTATGTCAGTCCTCAAATAAATCTAACCTCTCTTGCTCCAAAATCTCTCCCCTCCCTCTTTCTTCTCTATTTATCCACAACTAGCAAGATTTCATCACAGCTTTTACTCAATTAGGTCACAAGTCATTGAACTATCTATCATATGCAAACAATGAGCTAATTAAAACAAGTACATGACTATCTATGTATTTTACAAGCTATCTTCACGATTCTTCAGGTTCAGGTTCTAAATTGAGGTCAAAACGATTCACATTTTCAGAATTTTTCGTCCCGGATACTCCAATCTGATCATCTTCGACCTGATCATCCACAGCTGTTGAAGATAAACAAGGTGGTCAAGAAACAATGCACACAAACAAACTTGGACAAAAGTACATGTAGATATATAGAGAGAACCTTCATTGATTTCGGCGTTCGGTTCTCTGGCAACCGTTGAACATAATGTCTTGGTTAACCTGACTGAGTCGTGGAACATCAGAGTGTTGAACTGCATTATGTCCTCCATTGCTTCTGCCTCGGTTTTGCGAAAACCGTAGCTGTGTATCCACTTTCCAATTCTTTCTTCAGTGGATGGAATGATAAGATTCTGGACTTTGAGATAGCAAAGTGTCTGAAAATTAAATCAGCACAAGAAGTTCTTTTAACATGCACAAACCAGTTCAAGTAGAACAGAAAATTAATTAAGGGCATCAAAAGTAACTGACTTTAGCTGAAATCATGCATTCCATTTTTATTTATTTTTTTTGTCATTTACTAAATGAAATGCACATGATTGTTATAGTAACTATCTTCATCAAATTCAAATTCAAAAGATAAAAATGAACGTACTAATATCATATGGATGAGTTCATATACAAATTCAAGTGTCAACATTGTGGAAATATATATGAATAATCAAATTTATATTCTCAGACCATTTAGATGCAACTTAATACTCATAAAGAAATTTTTGTAGAATAACATACAGATTCAATTGCTGTCATTAGTTTCGCACACATCCCCTTGCACCGGTAATTCTCGCTGGTTGCAATGAAGGGCATCTCAGCAAGCCTGGTTCCATGAATCCTACAAGAACCACAGTCAGTCTAATATATATATATATATATATATATATATGCAGGTTTATTTACCCATCAATACATATAATCAAATGCATAAATATTAAACAGACTTGCGTATATATAAGCATGTGATGAAGGATACCTCAAGGATGCTACAGAGATGATCTCATTGTTATTTTCCAATATAAAATTATAGAAGCCCCTAAAATTGATCCGATTAAAATTGGATCTGCAAAAATAAACTAAAATGGTTAGAAGTGAGCAAATTTTTTTTATCTTAATTTAAAATTGCATTGTAAGTTCAGTCACACCCAAGAAAATAAGAAGAAAATAAGACGAGGACTTATCAGCAATATTGTCAATTTGTATAATAGAAACATATGGGAAATTTGTAATTTAGTGAACAAATTTAAAAATAATTGTTATACACTGACCATGGTCACTGAGCTGCAATGATTTAGATGAAATTATTGGTCATTTTTATTGCTTTATAGTGAACAAAATTATTTCTAGGTTCGTGCTTACCCACAATTATAGACCACACTTTGAATAACATTGATTCCAGTATGTCGGTCTATTATTGTCTCGAAACAATCCTCCATTACTCTCCATGCAACTGCAAGCTTGGAGTGGCATTCAGTTCTATGATATAAGTCATCCACATGAACACCAAATTGTCGATCCATTTGTCGAAGCAGTGTCCATGTAATTTCTTCATCAATCTGATTTTCCACTCCGACCATCTTTCCAAGTTTCTCATGGACCTTTTTACAAAAAAAAACGAGGTTAGTTATAACTTAATCTCATCGAAAATGTTCTGCTTATCGCTACACTTAGAAAATTTGATCTTCTTAATTTCAGATACATTACATAAAATGAGGATTTTGAATCCAATAAAATGAAATGAAATGAAATTAGTAAGAAGTACCTCTCTGCAGCTGTTCCCACAAAATGGGAGAGGCTCACTATTAATATCAATCACCATCTGCTCTCTGTCATGAAAGCATTCCCAGTGATCTGTTTAACACATTTAAGTCATGGTTTTTAATGAAAACTGGTCCAAAAGCTAAAAAAAGTCCAATTTTGAATAAGAAACTAGTCTACATACATCGCTTCTCGCATTGAGAACAAGTGAGTAAAAAACTGTGTTCGTGACTACTTTCCCCACAATATTTGCAAGCACAGTATGGACAGTACCATGAATTTTGAGGAAGTTCCTGCAATCGAAATTCGTGGATTTTCAATTAATATGTAATAATTTGAACAAAAAAAACGAATAGTTTGTCAGAAAAGAAGAGAGTTTTAGCTAGTGAAAAAATGTCCTTACCTCCATTCCCATGCAGGCTTGATGGTATGTTGAATTACATTCCTCACAACACATCAAGTTCCCTCCATCTGCACAGATGATGCAAGCATCATCGTACGAGTCACTAGCCTCGCCTGGAGCCTCAATCAAGTTGAACTTGTGGTTTTTGGACTCCTCAGGCTGATTCCAAGCTTCAATCATGCAGGACAACAGAGAAGCACGAGTCTCCGCGATGAAAATTCTCTCGTAAGGCCTCTTGAGGTTGCTTCCTGCATGAACCTCGAAGTCCATTACTGCAAAAACCTCGTTGCAGCAACAGCATAGTATCCCCTCCCTCGCGATTTCCCCTTCTTTGATTCCCTTCTCCCCTGCCTCATCCATGCAACAGACTTTCGCGCTTTCTTGAATTGCCTTGGAATCTATTAACCATGACAATATGGTTGCTTTCAGCGCCTTTTTTCTTCTACTTGTAGAGCTTGAAGTTCGACTTGTTTTTGCTCTTGTTTTTCTTGGGGCTTTTACCCTTTGCAATTCTTGAGGACGACCGCGATTCCTTCCCCTACCGGGAGTTTTACTCGAACTTCCTATTCCTTCTTCAAGCTTCATTTCTGTCTTCTTGCTCTTATATTCATCATAGGAAGTGAATTGCTTCTGTTTCATCAGCATCTCTGACCACCTAACAGAGTAATCAGGATCATGGATATGATCTGAATGGTCAGTGCTTGAATCACTTGTATGATCACTTTGATCCTTCGATCTGTCATCCATGTTTGTGATCCTAAACAACTATAAGAATTCCCAATTAGCTCTAAGAAATAATGTAATACAGATTCATGCAAAAAAGGAAACAAAATAAATAAATAAAAACAGTTGTATACAGAAGTAAGTTATCAGAATAAGGTAGTAGATACATAATATAAAGCATAATTAATTTGATTTGTTTCCTATTCTCACTACTGTTTTGTTTATCATCTTTCATTGAAACGTAGATACTATGATAGTTCATGGACAGTTAAATATAGTAATTGAAGCTGAAGAGGAAAATAACAACTAGCTTTTATTTTTTATTGAATGATGATCTATAACTGCTATCAAATAATTTTAATCGTTTAAAAATCATCAAGATTGTCACTTATAGTGTTTGTGGTTGTGGATGCAAGCGTCATGTGATCTTCATACGGTCCATTCAGTAAACTTTTCTGTGTAATTATTTGTATTACTTTTTTAGGCTTCCTAAGAATGAAAATGTTACACGAATAAAATTTTTATTCAGAGTTCATCTAGATGGTAGTAAAATTAAGAGGTGGAACAATTTGTTATGATATGATAGAAGTCAAAATGAGTTCTATCATTTACGCCATTAGTCTAAGTAGTTGGCACTGATTCTGCTTTAGTTGTATTGGTGTTTAGATAAAAAATAAATAAATTACATATATCCGATCATCCAACATGCAGGGCAGGGAGGAAATCACCTCACTTGAGATGTGGTCTTCACAGATAGAGTGAACCCCACCTTATGTGAATGATCTCTATCGTTTTCTATGCACTGACCGAAAAAGATCCGAGTTCGGAAACACTAATGCCTTTGCTAAACGTGGCCTGCAAAATCTTCCATAGAATCTAAGGGCCAAGAAAAATACGAGTCCAATTAACCATATTTTCAAAATGTCACAAGGACTATCTTTTTTAGGCCGTAAAAGATATGGCAAAGACAGGTCCAACCTCTATCTCATCAAGAATCAAATACTACCTACAAATAATACTATCGAGGGGGGTCTCTAACGACAGAAATTATAAATTTTTTATGTTTAATCACTTCACATATATTTTTTAAATATATAAAATGTCAAAATAAATCATTTAATTTATCCTGGTGATTAAATATAAATAAATAACTCTTGTCACCAGCAAACCCTCTAACAAACATTCTCAAAATTAGGTCATGCCTATACCAAAGTGGGCTTGTCATTGGTTCAAGACTTTTCACAAATATGAAGCCAGAGGTACGTCCTACCTCTACTTGATTTTCCTTTGAAGTTAGTTCTACCAAAGGTCAAAAGTCAGAGGTCAACCTTTCTCCTGGTCAACTCAGTAAGCATGAAAAACAAAATAAAAATAAAAATAAAAATAAAATCAAAGAAATGACAACTACAATAAGCTTACTAGATAAACTGTTACAAGACCAGAATGGAATTTCCTAAGATCAAAAGCCTAAAATAGTTAGGCACAGAGTAGGGGTGGTAGCTGCGTTAGTTTGGGCGAGTTTGAATTGGTTAGATATGAATGGATCAATAATTTATTCCTAACCTATTAATAGTGAATTACAAATGAGTAAATGTTTAAATGGACGGATCAAAACGGGTTAGCTCATTCCAACTCTTTTTTTTTTTTTTTTTTTTTTCTGCAATTTTTTTACTTTCCTACCATCCATGGCTAAAAAAAAAATTTAATAATTTGTTCTTACATTAATTTTTTGATTTCAAGCATTACAAATTGTTTTCCTTTTTTCTTTTGGGAATAGTCAGCGTACAACTTAATCAACAATATTAATTAATTTTTTGATTTCAAGAGTTACAATTTTTTATTTTTAATTTGTTATGAGGAAAGTCACTATACAACTTACTCAACATTATTAATTACATATATTTTTAAAAAATGAGTTTTGAGCAAGAGTTTTCATTAATTATTAGTAATTTATTTTATACAATAAAACAAAATTAGTAGGAAGAGTGAAGAGAGGGGGGTTATCACAGGGGAAAAAAATAAGAAGTAAAGAACCAGGGAGGAGAGAGAACGCAAGAAAAAAACGAAATGAAGCAACGAGGTGAGAGAACATAGGGAAATAAATAAAATAAAATAAAAAATAAAAGAAGCAGGAAGAGAGAGAGGGAGGAGAGATAAATCGAGGAAAAAAATAAATAAATAAATAAAAATAAAAATAAAAATGGAGGAGAGAGAGGTAGAAAAGGAAGGGGATGAAAGACAGAGAAATGGAGGAAAAATAAAAGATGGTTTTATTTGAGTGGGTTAAGATGGGTACTCACTCTTAACCCATTATTGATCATTGAATTATATGGGTACCCACTTTTTACTCATTATTACTCACTCATTTAAATTTGATTGTCCAATGATTTAATTTTAGTGGGCGAGTTTGGGAGGTTTAACGGGTTTGGACTTAAAATTGCCACCTCTATACTTAAGTCAACACTTAACAGAAGTACGTCATATATATATCTTCACTTTAGATCTCATCTATATATCTTCACTTTAGATCTCATCTATTTACCCACACTATTCCTGCAAGGATTTGAACTTTTAACCTTCTTTTTTAAAAGAATAAAATTGACTTACAATATTTAACAGTGTGTGAAAATGCATCGGCTATGGTCATTTTTGTATAGAAATTTATGTATAAATTACTCAAAATAAGAGTTGTTGTAGAATTGATAATTTATCAGATTAAATTTGCATCATAGTGTTATGCCATGGACATGTACCTTTAATCAGAATCTTAAAAGATGCTTTAAATTAATTATCACATTGTTAAGTCTATACCAATAGACATTCATGAAAACTCTCAATTTGTCTTAATAATAGAGAAATTGAGAGTTTATTTATTTTTTAAAAAATGACTGTCCATTTGTAGGAGATACCATAAAGTAAATACCCTTAATGTATTGTATACTTTTTCATAATTATAATAAAAAATCTAGCTCTTCATATTAGTACTTAGCTACCATGCTATAATATAATTAGCTAACTTAATATGGCACTGATAAGTTTATCATTGAAAAGCTATTATAATAATTGGAATGTGCATTAGTCATGCGATGTGCATCCTTTTCAATTTTTATGATAGGCGAACCGCTATCTAATTTTTGGATAACGAGATACCCATTAGGCTATACATGGATTAATTAAAAAAAAGGATAAATTGCAAAAAAAAAAAAATCATGCTACATAAAAAATGTACAAGAAACACTCCCGCTTTTTATACAGTTCATATAAATCCTTATATTTTGAAATTTTGTAATACATTGACCCTTTATCATCAATTTTGACCAATTTATTTTTATAAAATCATAAAGGGTAAAGTACAGAAAGCCCTCCTCGAATTATAGCATTTTATAGTAAACCGCATTGTCCATTTTTTTTACCAAAGAACCCCCCTCAACTATCTGAAGGGGGTAAAAGAATTGATATTTGGACCAAAATGCCCTTTTATTTAAATCTTAATTCTCCCGAACTTTAAAAATTCATATCTCACAAACCCCGTATATTTAAAAATTGTAAATAATATATGCACGAAAAACTTATGAAAGAAGGATTCCAGAAATATAAGATTTGCATAACAAACCTTCATAAACAGAGAGAAATAGGTAATCTAAAAATCTATTCCAACAATCTTATTTTATTTTTAAAAAATAAAATACTTGAGATGTTTGTAAGAAAAATTTTCGAATTATTCATTTACATATGGAGCCAAATATATAAAAAAATTAGCCCCAACAGAGATCGATTTAATGAGATATCATATTTTGCGTCAAAGTATTTTTATTCTTTTATAAACTCACCATTTTAAAAAAATAAAAATGAATATTCGGTCTCTATTAGGGTTAATTTTTTTATATGTTATGCTCCATATAAAAATGAATAATTTTAAAAATTTTCTTGCAAATAACCCGAGTATTTTATAAAAAATAAAATCAAATAAGATTGTTGCAGTAGATTTTTAGATTGTCGATTTCTCTCTGATTATGAAATTTTGTTAAACAAATCTTATGTTTCTAAAATCCTTGTGTTATAAGCTTTCCATGCATATATTATTTGCAATATTTGAATGTACAGTTTATGAGATGTGAATTTTTGAAGTTCGGGAAAGTGAAGATTTAAATAAACGGGCATTTTGGTCCAAATATCAACTATTTTACCCCCTTTAGATAATTCAGAGGGTTCTTTGGTAAAAAATTAAACAAGGGGGATTTATTGGGAAGGGTTATAAGTCGAGGTGGGTTCTTTGGTAAAAAATTAGATGAGAGGGGTTTGCTGAAAAAGGTTACAAATCGAGAGAGGTTTTGTACTTTGCCTAATCATAAAAATACCCTTCAGGGAATTTAAGGTATTTCTTTTTTTTAATAAATATAAAATAAAATTTAAAATTTAAAAAATAATAAAATAAGTAAACAAAATTTTAAATTCCATTATTATTTATTAGTATTATTTTTTACCTTTTGTTTTATTATTATTATTATTATTATTATTATTATTATTATTATTATTTTACTTAAGCGCATTTTAGGTATTTTAGTCTTCAAATTAAAGAATTTTCTTTATTTGCATAATATAAAAAATATAGGTTTTTTTTTTTTTTTTTTTTTTTAACAATAAAAAGGTATTTGTGCATTCTGTATATACAATTTTTTTTTTTTTTTGGGCACTTTACCCTACAAAAATGTGGTCTTATTTTTCACCAATAATAACAAAATAATAATAACGACAACAACAACAATAATATACAGATTTATAAAAATCATTAGTCATAATCATTTTCAATTACAAGGTTTGAGTTTAAAATTGTTCAGAGATTAAAAATATATATTTCAATTACACATTAATAATTAGTAAAATTTGAAAAAATAATTCCTAGACAATTTGGATGCACCTTAAATTCTAAAATAATTTTGAGACAATTTGGACGCACCTTAAAATATATGGGCATCAATCTAATAATAAAATAAACACATTTTTAATTAATTCATATAAATTATGCTAAGAATTATTAATGTGTAAAAACTTTAACCCGAAATCTCGAGGGTGAATTTGGAAACTAAATCATTATTTCTTTTGCTACACAAATAATGTTTTTAAGGAGAAAAATTTACCAAAAATATAACAGAGTATATCAATATATCTTGCATAAAGTATCAATAACAAGGCAAACATATAAATCTCATTGATTAATGAAATAAGGCATTGTTCTGCCATGACTTTATTTTCAAAACATGAGATGTTACAATCAAGTGAAGAAGAAGTTTCGACTTACCTCAATGAGACAAACCCCAACTGTACAGCGCAAAGCCTGATTGGAAGAACCCAAATCCTCTGGATGAACTGAAATCGTAGTGAAAAATGAAATATGTGCTCAAAAAAATCTAAGAACACTCACATATCAAATTTTTTACAAGATCTTTCGCGATTTATTCTTCCCTTTCTTAGATCATGCCTCACTACAAAATAAATTGTTTCCTTTGTTGTTAAGCTCTAACAACACACTCTTCTCCTTGTATTGTATGTCATTCAAGTTAACTAAAACATGAAAGTCATACACACATTTCTTTTTTTCTTTGAATTAGGTAAGATAGTCTTCACATTACTTATATACTCCCTACGTCCTATATTAATTATTCGCTTTTTATATTATAACTTTTTAAGCGAACATGCAATTAATGTATTGTCCCCTTTTAAAGTTACCAAGTTATCCTTTCAACATTAAATATGTGTATTATCAAGTAGAAAGACTTTTGAAAAGTTAAAGGGTAATGATGAAAAAATTGTATTTATTTTGCTTTGACTTTTTAAAATGGGTAAGTAGCTTAGGACAACCGCAAAAGGAAAACTGGACTATTAATATTGGACAGACAGAGTATTTAATATTTAAAAAAGTCTAAACACAAAATATAGATAAAAACTTACTTATGAGTCCACAATATAGTTATTTATTTTTATATTTATTGCATAAATAATAGTAAGATTTAGACCATTAGTTACGCTCATTAACTTCAAATTGATAGTAACGCTTACTAGTTGTACTTTAGATATTGTTTATTTATTATTAAAAAAAAACTATTGTTTAAGTACCGTGTGCAGAACCCGTGCAACACATAACTACAAGCCTGTTTGATATTGCATTTTGATCCCATATCACGTTTGGGATGGGCTGATATAATATTAAATAGTATAATAACAAATACCAAATATAAGCCCAAACCCATATCACCAATTTGGTGATATTGAGTATTATGGGCACTATAGCAAAGATATCAACCCAAACTGATATCAATAACTTATATCAAAACACTGTAGCAGCCATAACAAATATATAATATCGCATATTAAAAAACCCTCATTTGCAGCCTCATTTTCTCTCTCTTTGCACAGCTCCTTGGAGGCCATTTCATGGTCGATTTCATGGCCGATCTTCCTTTACCTTACGCTATCGTTGCTAAACTACAGATCGATCATTTTTCTCTGCAAATCTTTCAGAAACCCTACCATTGTTCTGTCACCCCCTGTGCCCTCTCGTTTCTCTCTTTTCTCAGTCAGTTTCTCTGGGTGATTTTGGTTATCCGACTAGAACCCTAGAGTTCAATCGTTGTGCCACCACAAATCTTAGGTTTTGAGCTGCAAAATCATTGTTCTGTCACTCATTTTTCTTTGTTGTCTCACCTGGTGTGAGACAATTCAAAGCTCATATGACTGAAACCCTAGTTCGTTCGCAGAGGGTCTCTAGAACGAGAGACCATGAAAGCCCACGAAGGGTTTCTTATGGGGGATTAAATCACAGCTTTGATTTAGTATATTTGTCCAAGTTATTATCGTAGGGTTGTGATTTGAGTTTTTTTTTTTGGATTATTGTCCGAAGATTTTGGAAAATCAGTTTATTTACTTTAGGTTAAATTTTGATTGTTTTGTGTTGAATCGTGCTATTGGATCTGGGTTTCTTCATATTTGGGATTAGTATCGAATTTCTTAGAAGAACTAATATATTTCAAAACTCTTTTATTTCATTAATTCTTCCATGCATATGCAGCTGCAGACTCTCTTATCTCTATAGGAAATAATGAAACATTAATATGAATCATAAGGTTATGTGGTTTAAACTTCTTAGTGAGGCATCAAACGGGATGGACAACAACTTATTTCTTTGAATCTGTCTCTGCAATTCCCCTAATTTTTTTAATTTTTTATTTACAACTCTGTTATTGAATTTTAGTAATATTGTAGAGGTATACTTGTTTGGTTACAAAAATCCATGTTGTTACTTCTCTTTGCAACAATATGTGAATGTATATATTTTTTTAAATAACAATTTATGAATGTGGACAAATGGACCAAAATAATTATTGTTTAGAGTTGGTTAAGTGATTTTTATTTTGGGTGAATAAGCTTTGTTCTCTCTCTCTTGGACTATTTATGCAAGTCTCCATTTATTTAATTCTGCAATTGCATGTTTGTAATACCCCTAATTTTAAAAGGATATTTTTGGTATTTAATTTTTGATTTAATTGTTTTGATTTAATTTTTTTATTCGATTGTTTTTATTTGATTAATTGTTTAATTGTTTTATTGTGTTGATTAAATTTTATTTGTTTAATTGGTTTTAATTAATTATTTAAATTAAATTAAATACTGAATTTATGTAACGTGGATTAATTACCTGTTTAATTTCTAATACTGATTTAATTATTTTATTTAATTAATGTACTGTATGTTACTTTATGGTAACTTAGGGTTACAGTTATAAGAGCCGCTGTAGGTTAGAACTGATAATTTCATTGGCCGGTTAGAATTGGAATTAGGGCTTAGCCTCTGATTGTACATGGATTAGGGTTAGTGTTAATTTGCACCTATAAATATATGTATTACGGTGGTTTTGGGTTTAAAGAAAATAAACGTGCGTTCTGTAAACCACAAACAGAGCCTCTAGTTTGGTAGTGAAAACCAAAGAGATACAGAGAGAACCGAAGTGGGAATTTGGTTGGTTCACAACACAGAATCAATGAGGGAAGTTTGGTGTGTGTTACTGGACTGTAGTAGGAGCAGCAAGGGTGGGTTAACATTCAGAGACGTGGAATTAGTTTTCAAGGTTGAGACTCAAAGGCAAGTCTCTATTCTTCTCTTTCCCTTTAATTCGTGTTCTATGCATGCCTAGTTAGACTCCAGGGATTAAATAAAAGCTAAAACGGATTTAAACAAACATTATAACAAGTCTTTTATGCATATATGAATTTTATTTAATCTCGTTGAATTAACTGGTCTGCATAAATCTGTGATGTTCTCTTATTTGTTTTCTCTCGTTGTTTACGTTTAAGTTTTGTTTAATAGAGATTTGTAATGGATTGGATGTCTTGTAACTAATCTGGGACTGAGTTTGAACCCTAGAACAAGTTCTTAAAACAGTATTTGATTTCATTAAATTAATCGGTATAAATCTGTTGTGAGTTGCTTAAAATTTCTAACGATGATTCTGTAATTCGTTGCTTTAAAACTGGTGTTCAATACATATTATGATTGATTATCAGTGGTTTAAAATTTATCTAGGACTGAGATTGAACCTAGAACAGGAATTAAAACACAACTGTTATCACCGGAATTGGAGAAGATGAAACTTGAACGGACAACGGCTGCTAAGGGGAGGGAAAGCAGGCTCCCAATTTCCTTAGAGCCGGCTCCCAAAGAGGTGGAGCCGGCTCTTGGAGTTCTTGGAGCCAGCTCTAGAAGAAAATTGGAGCAGGATCCCATTTTAAGAGCCTGCTCCTTCTTAAAACGCACAGAAAATGGATTTAAGGGTTTTTGGGCTGTGGTTGGGTTTTCTAAAATTGTTTAAAAGCTACTGACTGAGGTAATTCAATGCTTAAGACTTATAGAAATGTTGGGAAGCAAGCTTACATTCAGGTATTGAGGATGGAATTAACCTAAGTCTAAATAGAGAACTCGTAGGTGGATAATTGGAGAATTAATTTCTTTTGGCTACTGTTTTTGGATTTTAATTCTTCTGCAACATCTTAAATTGCTAATCATGTTTTAGTTGAAGTATAAGCATATAGTATTTCAAATATATGTATGCTTGAATGGAATTAACCGATGGTTTCAATTTGCTATAAATTGCATTAGTATGGTACTGTTGGTGAAATAAATTGCATAATCTTGCTTTGTCAATTTAATGGACTGGAGTTGGAATTCTAAATCTTTTGTTGGATACAAAATTTAGTTATACACACATTAAATTGTGTTTATGCTTATTTTGGGAAGTGGTTGATAAATAGTTATACTGTTTTGTCCACTTTGTTAATCGGAGGACTGTATGTATCGGTATGGAACGGTGACATATTAGGTATGGACTAGTTCAAACACTAAGTCCTACCTAATTTGGTTTAAGGTACGGTTTAATCATATAGGTTAAGTCCATCACCTACCTGTGTTATGTCAACAAAATAGTTGAATGACTTAATAGGCCTGATCACGGTTCGGATCAGTTCGGTTTGGGGATAAAGATCAAGCCGAACCGCTCCCCATGGATTGGAAAAAATGAAACCGAACCGATCCGTTGGAGCCTTCAATCCGAACCAAACCGATCCGTGAAGTAACGGATCGGATCGGTTTATGCGGATTAGGCTTTGTCAATCTTGATTATTTTTTTTAAAAAAATATGAATACAAAATAAATGATATTTACATGGAAAGAAAGGAGTCATGGCAGCAAGGAAACCCTAAAAGAAAAAAACACACAGAAACAAAATTTCAGAAAAAACAAACCTCCTCAATTCGAGACAGAGTTTCATATGGGTCTTTTTTCCAATGAATAACTTTAAATTTACATCTTGGGAAAGGTTAGGGCAATGGATTCCCTGTCTTGACAAAGGAAAATAAACTGAAGGTCTACTAACACTAGGCTGAATTGTACTCCGGCGACCTGAGAGATCGGCGGCGTTCACCGAAAAGATACGAGAACCCTCCATGATGGCGAATACAGTGGAGCCTGAAGCCACACAGTTATAGCTCAGCCACGGGATGACCGTCGGCGTCGGCGGCGGCGTCTTCCAGAATAAGAAGATCCATCACTGTGTTACGGTGATTAAGAGAAAATATTGATTTTATTTACAAAAAATGTTCAGAAAAGAGGAGAAGAAGAAAATCCATACAAAAATTTTGTGAACTCACCGGAAAAGAGATAGATCCACTCGAAGAGGTCGCCATTGCTTCGAATCTGGTGAACGATGGATATGGATTGAGAGGTGAATGATTGAGAGGTGAGAGATTGGGAGGCGAAGAGTGAACAAAAACAGAGGTGAAGAGTAAATAGTGAAGAGTCTGGGAGAAGAGAGAATAGGGTGAAGAGAAAGAGACGAGGGAGGCGCGACTGTACTAATGAGATACTAGATGAGAGTGATGAGTTATTTGGGAGCTAGGGTTAGAATAATGAATAAAAAAAGAAAAAGAAAAAAGAAATGCGGTAATAACTAATAAGTATACTGCACATTACTATATTTAATATTATACATATATATATATATATATATTATTTAGTAACGGTTCGGTTCGGATTGGCAACGGATCGGTTAACGGTTCGGATCGGTTTTCCCATAGTCCAATCCGTTAACCGAACCGCAAATGCCGGATTACAAATTTTTCAAACCATCACCGAACCATGACATCTGAAAACCGAATTGAACCACACAGATTGGATTGGTTCGGATCAGATTGACGGATTATTTGCTTACCCTTATGACTTAATATGATTTTAGGACGGATGATTATACATATATCAGACCACTATACAGATAGATGGTATTTTGTATTAGGAGGAGTACGGACTTTATATATTTATTATATGGTGTCATGGTACGAGCTTGAGTCTCAGGACCATGGTTAGGGTGCGTATATCGCCTAGGATAGATAACTGGACATAGGTGTTGTTCCCTGGTAGGTCTAGGTACACATGACCACGTAATGTGCGATTTGCATGGTATCTTTACTTAGGCCGAGACTAACCTATTGGACTAGTGAGCGTCCTATAGTGTGTAATATATACATATATGGACTACTCTAGATATTGTTGAGTCTATCTAGGATGTATCTGCGTATCGGATTCCTCTATTTGGATCGTAGTAGATCAGGACTTGCATGTGGGCTTAACCCACTCTTTTATTTTTCAGGTGCTCGTCAGTTCCAGGGTTAGAGCTTGGTCGTGCAGAGCAGATACAGACTTTTATTCCATCGACTACGTAGAACTGCTTACTTTTTAGCCTTGGATCTTATTTTAGTATTTTCATTTACAGTTGGGATTTTTATTAGGGGTCCACTAGATGGATTCCCGAGTTGTTAAACTTATGGAGTTTTGGATTATCATATTTGAATAATTTTATTTTAAGAATTTTCAATTAGCATTCCTTCAGTTTATTATTTTATTTCTTATTTCATCTTGTATTATGTGTTCATTAAAGTATTAATTGTTTGATATTTCCCTCGGGTTTGGGACTGGGCCTGATCAACCCGTGTCTTGAATCCGAGGGGTATCACAGTTGGTATCAAAGCACTCCAGGTTCAAGTGTCTCTAGGATTCTATCGTATAAGACTTCCGCGTTTTCTCTTGATTAGAGCTTAAGTATTAGGATTCATTGTATTCTTTACGGTTCGGTTTAATCGTGCTAATGTCTGTCTTTCTGTGTTGACAGAAAGGCTAACGCAAGAACCAGACGGAACAATCGGCAACGAAGGGAAGCGGCCCGTAGGCAGCGTCAGGAGGATGAAGGTCAGTTCTATGAGAAGCAGGAGGAAGTTCAGCAGACTCGGGATCAGGGAGGAGATCCAGAGTTTCTTCCTCACCTCAATGACCTTATTGCCCGGGCTATAGAAACAGGGGTAACGGCTGCACTTCAGAATCAGCCTCAGGTACAGCTGGCACCGTTATCAGCACCGGTTGTTCAGACTGATACTTGGGAGAAGGCTAGGAGTTCTTTCACAAAGGGGAGCCCACCTGAGTTCACAGGCTCCACCGATGCGAGAGCAGCTCACCAGTGGAAACAGGACATCGAGCGACATCTTCGCTTGGTTCAGTGCACGGAGGTTTAGAAACAAATGCTTGCTATTTTCAAGCTAGTTGGGGATGCACTGCAGTGGTGGGAGTCAGTTACCACCATAGAGAAGAAGATGGCGTTGACTTATGATGAGTTCAGTGCACGCTTTGAAGAGAAGTACTTCCCTTATGCAGTCAGGGCAGCTATGAAGACTGAGTTTCTAAATCTGCAGCAGGGGAACATGACAATGGCAGAGTATGAGTAGCAGTTCACACGTTTGTCTCTCTTTGCACCAGAGGAGGTGGATATAGAGGAGAAGAAGTGCAACAGTTTCGTTAAGGGACTGATGTGGTTTATCAAGAGAGCTATTACGGGTAGTCCAGCTTATACTACCTATGCTCAGGTGGTAGATGCCGCTCTACAGCAGTATCAGTTGATCGTGGATATCAGACAGGCCAAGGGTAAGAAGCGGGGTGACAGAGACTCTGCTAATCAGTCAGCTGAAAAAGGGAATAGGAACCGTCACCGACAGAATGACAAGGGCAAGTTCCAGGGACAACAGATCAGCAACAGCAGAATGGGGGACCACAGCAGGACAGGGTCAGCCACAGGCTAACCGACAAATGAGACCATTTGGTACTTTCCAGGGTAGTTGTCACACTTTCAGGCAGTGTCCTACAGCCAGACAGGGACAGAGACAGGGACAGGGGCAACATGTGCAGCAGGGGCAGAGGGCGCCAGTGACTTTACCAGCTCTACAGGTTCCACGGATTCAGGGACAGACTTATCGGGCTTTACCAGCGCCGTCGCAGCCTCAAGGACAGGCACCGCAGCAGCTACATTATGGTAGGGTGTACAACCCTATGTCACAGGGTATGCAGGCACCTCAGGCTGTTGAGGGTAAGTTTCCTATACATGGTTTTCATGGACGTGTTTTATTTGATACGGGTGCTACACACTCGTTTGTAGTTAGGACTTTTGTTACTTTGTCTGGGATGACGACTCGGGTATGCAGTAGACCTCAGGGTATTTCTACACCGTTGGGCGATACAACCATTCTTCATAGGAGTGATGGGCCTATGGCATTAAATATTGGCAGACTCTGATTTCTAGCCAATCTATTGGTCCTGGACATGCACACTTATGATGTGATACTTGGGATGGATTGGTTATCGCACTACCATACCCAAGTTAATTGTTTTGATAGATCTATTGTGTTTACCATACCTGGTCAGGACATGTATGTCGTCGTCATGCCGCGTTCTAGCGGAGTCATTAGCACCTATTTGTTTCATGCGGAGGAGAAAACGGAAGAGGGGACTACTGTATCATTGGATAGCATACCGATTGTACAGGATTTCCTAGATGTATTTCAGGAGATTCCAGGGTTGCCACCTAGTCGCGAGATCGATTTTGTGATAGACTTAGCTCCAGGCACTGCGCCTATTGCTAGTGCACCTTATAGGATGACACCAGTGGAGATGCACGAGTTGAAGGATTAGATTCAGCAGCCACTTAGCCAGGGTTTCATTCGCCGAAGTACTTCACCCTGGGGAGCGCCAGTGTTATTCGTGAAGAAAAATGATGGTTCGCTCCACCTGTGTATAGATTACAGGGAGTTGAACAAGGTTACGATTCGTAACAAGTATCGTTTGCCCAGGATCGATGATCTGTTTGATCAGTTGAAGGGAGCTACCTATTTCTCTAAGATTGATCTGCGGTCAGGGTATCATCAACTTCGAGTTCGGGAGCAGAATGTTCCGAGGACAGCGTTTCTCACTAGTTATGGATCATATGAGTTTCGGGTGATGCCGTTTGGGTTGACTAATGCACCAGTGGTCTTCATGGATTTAATGAACAGAGTCTTCAGGGCTTACTTGGATTAATTTGTCATTGTCTTCATAGATGACATTTTGATTTACTCAAGGTCAGAGGACGACCATGCTAGACATCTACGGATAGTTTTACAGACGCTTCGTGAACACCAGTTGTATACCAAGTTCGAGAAGTGTGAATTTTGGCAGCGGGAGGTGAAGTTTTTGGGTCACGTGGTGTCAGAAAAAGGAATAGCGGTGGATCCAGCCAAGGTTTCCGCAGTGGTTGAGTGGGGACAGCCTACTTCACCTACCGAGATTCGGAGTTTCCTCGGTCTGGCAGGATATTACAGGAGGTTCATCCAGGGGTTCTCAAAGATAGCAGGACCACTCACTCATCTGACTAAGAAGGGTGTACGGTTCGTGTGGGATGAACATTGTCAGAAAGCTTTTGATGAGCTGAAGAATAAGTTGACTTCTGCACCGGTTTTAGCTACCCTACAGAGTGGGATAGAGTATTTGGTCTACACAGATGCTTCATTGCAGGGTCTTGGATGTGTTTTGATGCAGGAGGAGCGACCGATTTCGTATGGATCGCGAAAGCTTAAGGCTCATGAGTTTAATTATTCGACACATAATTTAGAGTTAGCAGCTGTGGTCTTTGCCTTACGCATTTTGAGGCATTATCTGTTGGGTGAGTCCTTCAGATTATAAGCGATCACAAGAGTCTGCAGTATTTGTTCACTCAGCGGGGCTGAATATGAGACAGCGCAGGTGGTTGGAATTCGTGAAAGACTATCACTTCTCTATACAGTATCATTCAGGGAAAGCGAATGGGGTGGCATATGCACTCAGTCGCCGACCTATTGGTAGTCTTTCTGCTCTGTTCGCTACTGAGTGGAACGCTTTGACGATAGTGGATGAGATGTCTAATACTTTCATGGCCTGTATGGTAGTTACACCTTCTATCATTCACAAGGTTTTGAAGGCACAACTCACGGATCAGCAGTGCATTGACAAGGTTGCAGAGATAGCTTCCGGAGAGGTTCCATTCTACTATGTTGGGGCTGATGGGGGTTTAAGGTACAAGGGACGGTTAGTGGTACCTTCTGCTGATTATTTGAGGAAGGATGTGATGACTGAGACTAACCACTCTGAGTTTTCTGTTCATTTAGGAGGCGACAAGATGTATCAGGATATGAAGCGGCAGTTTTGGTGGGCAGGTATGAAGAGGGATATTGCTCTTTTTGTTTCACGATGTAGTACTTGTCAGATGGTCAAGATTGATCATCAGAGGCCGCCAGGAGCTTTACAGCCACTACCGATACCGGAGTGGAAATGAGAGAGTATTTCTATGGATTTTATG